ACTTGCACCTCAAGCTCCTCGGCCTCCTTCAATCGGCCTTGATTCCCGTACGTCGACGCCAGGTTGGCCATACTTATCAGCGTAGAAGGATGGTCTGCTCCGAGCTTCTTCTTGCGAGTCTCCATCACTTGCATAGACAGCTCTTCGGCAGCATCCCACCGTCCTTGATTCCAGTACGTCGACGCTAGGTTGTCCATGCTCGTCAGCGTGTCTGGATGGTCTACTCCGAGCTTCTTCTCGCGAGTCTCCATCACTTGCACTTCGAGCTCCTCGGCCTCCTCCAATCGGCCTTGATTCCCGTACGTCGACGCCAGGTTGGCCATGCTCGTCAGCGTGTCTGGATGGTCTGCTCCGAGCTTCTTCTTGCGAGTCTCCATCAATTGCACCTCAAGCTCCTCGGCCTCCTTCAATCGGCCTTGATTCCTGTACGTCGACGCCAGATTGGCAATACTGATCAGCGAGGAAGAATGCTCCTCGCCAAGCACCCTCTTCCTCGTCTCTATTACTCGCACCTCTAGCTCCTCGGCCTCCGTCCACCGGCCTTGATTCCTGTACGTCGACGCTAGATTGGCCATGCTAGTCAGCGTGTCTGGATGCTCATCCCCAAGAGCGCTTTGCCGAGCAAACACGACCTCCTTGAATAACTTTTCAGATTCTCCCCATAGTCCTTGCTTTTCATAATCTATGGCCAAAGCCGTTTTAGATCTCAGCTGCCTATTCTGTTCATCTCCGCCTTGATGGTTCCAATCAAATTCGGACTGGTCTTCGATTGTCTTTACCCTAGTCCAATCTTCTTTGTATGTTGATGAGTTCAAATAAACTTCTAACTGGGGATTCCATGACGGAAATACCAGATTCGCTGATTTGATAAACCCAACGAAAGAATATGCCGGACTACTAGGAAGCCTGTCCCAGATGAAAATCGGGAGAGAAATCAACAGGAGGTATGAGTTGCTGAGGAATTGCGCTTCCAGCTTGATCAAGTCACGTATCTTTAATCTCCCAAGCGCATGAACCGACTCGATATCATCCGGCGCAAGGTCATGGCACCAATTTTGCCAAGATAACAGTTTTGGTGTGTGCTCTGTGTCTTTGAGTCGCACTGCAAGTAATACCAGTGTTTCAGTCATCGATTGATCAATGCTGACAGTAGTATCTGCTGAGGACCGTTTAGAACTTGAATCTGAGATTTCTAACAGGGGGATGTTACCTACAATGCTCATCTGGTTCGATGACTGAGGAGATATTTCTGTAGAAGCTAACGCGGTATCTCCAAGGTATGTGTACCAAGGCTCAGTAAGAAGCATATGAGGGCCAGGTTTACGATACCGTCTCATGAGCCGGGCGTGCAGCATAGCAATATTAAATCGTGACGTACTTAGTGACCTGAGCTCTTCGATGAGGTTTTGTGTGAAAGAGTTGTCGTTGACACCAGTCGTAGTAACCTGCGAATTGCATGCCCAAAGCCCCTTTTTTGAGCCAGCACATCTTGCTGCACTTGCGGCAAAGCAACAGTCTAGGATGAAAACAACATCGGACTTGGCGCGTTCAAGGATACCTTGCAGATCAGACCATACCAGCGATGCGCCTCCATTTCGATTTGCTTGCCAAATACTTCTACTTGGTCGTTGTTTGTTGAAGTCTAGGGAGCCATGACCGCCATAGTATAGAATCAAAAGGCTGGATTCATGATCATAAGCCTTGCGGAAATCGTTGAGTTTGTACTCCAGTTGTGTCGCCGAATCGCTTGACGGAATCAAATATCTTTCGGTTCTGTAGTGGTACATGTCTCGAAATACACACTCCAGGTCGTTTACTTCAGTTTCCGTCCCTAGATCATCATCTTGTCATCGTAGGAGAAGGACAACAACATCACGATATCTCCTTGATGTCCTAGGAAGAACTGTTTTCGCAGCCCGATTGAGATGCTCGAAAAACTCCTCAAAGCTTTCTAGATGGTCACTGCTCTGTGCATCTGCAGCAAGAAGTGGAATTCCGTTGACTGCTAAACCCGCATTATGTTGCATTTCTATTGTGCGCTCTGCTTTAAAAATTAGCCTCGTCATGTCTGGACCTTGACTGGATTAGTAGCTCCACTGACGCTAAGAAGACTTGATGACGGTTGGTGTGGGCTCGTCGCCTATCTTTGATATGTGTGACTGTCTCGTTGACACAGCAGACTGACCGTGGTGGAGGGTTAAGTGTTAAGTGCATCCGTAAAGATTCTAGGCAACAGCGAGTTCTCCTAGCCAAGCCCCTATTGGGCTAGACTACTTTCGGCCAAGTCTTACAAACTGCCGCCTTGACCTTTGCTCGCCGATTGTGCTCGTCGCGATACAAATAATTAAAGCAGCGCACAGAACGCGAGAAGGAATTCCATAGTCTTGGCATATCTTCTTCAGGTGTTGATCTATGACAAGGATAAGTCCTTGCGGTTTATTCACCCATCTAGCAGCCAAGGGTCTACCAAAGGAAGTAGGGAATAAACTACACTCAAGGTATAAAGTGGTATTGTATGGTAACTACCGGATATATATACCTGAACCAAAGAAGAGATTAAATATGGACCCTGCGCTACCTGTTCCGAGAGTAGCTTGGCTCTTAGTTCGGAGTTGAGAATTTTCTGTGGAAAAATGTCGACGATGTCTCGGCACACAGGGTGTCTCGCGACGCAGGGATGGACGGTATTAGCTCCAAAAAGTGATGATATGATTGGTGCATTCCATTTCCGCACAGCGGAACTCTTCCCGAACAGCAGCTTAAAGGAGAGCTTCTTCCGACCGGCAACCCGGCACTGGTACTTCACCCTTAGACGGCCTCGATTCGTCGGAAGCAGGACCACGATTGACGACGCGAATCAGACTAGGGGAGCTAGTGGACAGAGAAGCTTTTCTTCTGTACTCTAGAAGTTTTGCCTTGAAGCACTTTGATTTGAATCGTGAGGATGGGGTTGGAAAAATGTAATATGAAAACATTTTGTCCACAAACGAATCAAAAGAACAATTGATATTGGAACAGATATGGCAGACCAGCAGCCAATGGAAGCGGGAATGCGTGATTTCCCGCCAAAATTGCTGACTAATGACCCTTGCGAAGGATGGAAGATGCCTGTCTTCTGGCAAAAACGGCACGTTGTGGCTGGACTATGCCTCTTCAGAGCAACCACCACCGCAAAAGCATGACGCCCCACCACTTGGAGCAGATCCCCCTCCTTGGTCGCGGGTCAGAGGTGCGGAGGGGTTTGCGAACGGGTATCAAGCCGCGAGAGCGTCCCTCTGAATCATGCAGACCGCCATGGCGACTTGCGCTTCTTCTCTTCTCTCTGTCAATCTCCTTTCTTCTCATACTTTCTTCGCCGTAATTGCACAAATTTCTTTTTTCAGACTCTGCTGAGGTTCATGTCTAATTGGGGATAAACGACCGCTCGCTAGTATATACCCCGAGTCGAGTCATCGCAAAAGATTTACAACGTTTTTTAAGCCCTGCTTTGGAGCACTTACACGACGACGAGCTACTTTGCGCAGCTTTGCTATACGAGGGCCTAGCATAATGGCCAAAGATGCGCCAGACGCCACTTCATCGCCATCGGGCTCGATTGCTCCCAAAACGAAAGACCTAGATATCGAAGCCAACGACCGCAAATCCTCAATCTCCTCGCGCTCCTCGATATCATCCAGTAGTGACTCAGAACGCGACTCCGACTCAATCCACGAGACCCACCGTCACGGATACAATGTGGAAGCAGTCGAAAAACTCACACCGGTGGTGTCGCGGATGAGCGCTGTGACAGGCATGTCAGTTGCAACAAATGGGACAACAGATCCTGCGTTCGAGGTTGATTTTGAAGATGGAGACGGAGCCGACCCAAGAGAATGGAGTGTCCTAGTCAAGTGCTTGATCATCGGCTGTATGAGCATATGCACTACCACCGTAGTCATGTACTCAACGTCGTACGCCTCTGGAATTCCGGGAATGATGAAGACCTTCCATATCGAAGATGAAACTATAGTGGTACTTGGATTGACAACATACCTGCTTGGACTTGCGCTTGGCTCGATTGTGCTTGCGCCTCTCTCGGAGATGTTGGGGCGTAGGCCGATATATTTAGTGTCTTTGTCGCTTTTCACCATCTTGATAATTCCGTGTGCTCTAACGCCGAAGCTTGAAGGGATCCTAATTGCGCGCTTCTTTGGTGCAATTGCCGGAAGCGCAATGTTGGCAAATGCCCCTGGCACGATTGCCGACTTGGTCAATGAGGAATATCGCGCTCTTGCGTTCAGTGTGTGAGTGAAATGCCATCGCAGCTCAGTAATAGTTTCTGACAACATGCAGATGGTCTATAGGTCCTATGAACGGAGTTAGTAACTTCAATAATTCATTTCGTCTTCTATTCTTCATGTCACGTGCTTACAGATGTCTTCGCGTAGCCCGTACTTGGACCACTCGTCGGCGGTTTCGTTTACCAGAATCTAGGATGGCGGTGGACTAACTGGGTTGTCCTCGTAAGCATCCTTTTCCTGACGAAGAAGTCCTGCTAACGCACCGATAGATACTTGCAGGCTTCTCTACTATTTGTATTGCATGTGTCAAGGAAACCTACGCGCCCGCTATCCTTCGTAAAACAGCAGCCAAGGCCAGAAAGGAGACAGGAGATGATCGCTGGTTCTCGCGCTACGACGTGAAACTGGAATTGATCCCTCTGGTGACCGAAAATCTGAAGCGGCCATGCATCATGGCTATCACCGAACCCATCTGGTATGCCCTGCTTCTCCACAAATATCTTCACTCCAACACTTCTACTAACACTCAACCCAGCATATTCTGGAACCTTTACATCGCCATCATCTACGGCATCCTCTACCTCTGCTTCGTCGCCTACCCCATCGTCTTCTCCGACCTGCGCGGCTGGTCCCCCGGCCTCACAGGCCTGGGCTACCTAGGCCTAGGCATCGGCGGCCTCATCACCATCTGCTGCGAGCCCCTAATCCGGCGCATGATCAACTCGCACCAAAAAGACCCCGCGACCGGCAAAGTCGCCCCGGAGGCCATGGTCTCCGTTGTCGTCATCGCCGCCATCAGCATCCCCGTCGGCGAGCTCATCTTCGCCTGGACCTGCACGCCCAACGTGCACTGGGTCGTCCCTATCATCGCGGGCATCCCCTTTGGTGCCGGGAACTGCGCTGTCTTCATCTATGCTTCGAATTATCTTGTGTATAGCTACGGTATCTACGCTGCGTCTGCGCTGGCTGGCAACGCTGTCCTGAGGTCCATCATGGGCGGCTGTCTGCCGCTGGCTGGGCCGTCGCTGTACGCGAAGCTGGGCCCGCATTGGGCGGGTACGTTCCTCGGGTTGTTGGAGGTCTCGCTGATACCGATCCCCTTGATCTTCTGGAAGTATGGGCACACGATTCGGAAGAAGAGTGTGCTAATTAGTCGGATGCGGGAGGATCAGGAGAGGGCGGAGGCGAAGCAGAAGAAGGCGGCTCATAGGGCCGAGCGGACCAGGAGGCGCGAGGAGAAGTATAGGGTGGCGGGTGAGAAAGAGAAGGAGGCGACGGAGACGAGGACGGAGAAGGAGGTTTTTGAGGTGTGAGTCGCGCCAAAATCTCGGAGTTGGTTCAGTAGGCATTGAGGGGGGAGTGTAATATATCCTTAAGATTCCATATCGAATTAGCGGTTATTCCTGAGACTTGAGGGCTAAGTGAGACCTCTGGAGAGTGGGCGTGAGTTGCGGATCATATTGACGGGTTAGATACCGCTCGGTGTTCACAATAAAATAGGGAGGCGCTACTAAAGCGGAGCAATCACTGCAGCACAGAAGTCACCGCATCAAAAAGGTCACAGGGCAAAAGACATTCAACAGTCTACAATACCATAGCTATACAAAAACAAATGTGTATGAGTGATTAAATCAGTGATCGCCGACCATAGTACTGCGACCTTCTCAGCGATACGGCACAAGAACACGCTGTGACTTGAAAAGCAAGTGAACAAGAGCGTAGACGGCTGAGTGGCCATGCAGAGAAAAGAGGGAAAATAGATGGAGGCTTCGAACCCGACGGAGGGACCAGAAGGGATAGGCCTGGATGCTGCGGCCACCTAGCTACTTCAGAAGCTCGATTTCCCTCTGGAAAGCACTCACAATATCCCCAACGCAAGTTATGGCTGCCTCCAACACTTCGAACATACACAATGTGTCAACAGCGGCGTTATGGAGCTTCAACGTACTAATAGAAGCAGATACACTTCCAATCTGCCTACACCCTCTTGACGCTGCCTGGGGTGGCCTCGCGAGTTGACTACTTGTCCAAAATGCCGAACTTCTCTCTTATTCGGAATGTGGAAAATATTATGAAGTTCTTCATGCAGCAGCAAACGAGTGTACCGATTTCTATGACGAGGCATTGCAACAGCCAGAAATGCAATGGGGTTTTCCGTGCCATATTTGAAAGCCAGTAGAGTGCATCAATAGTTCTGAGATGTTTCGAGCGCAAAGTACTAATTAGGAATGAACACTCCTCAAACCCATGCGTGGTTTCCATAAAGTGAGGCGAACGTTCCCCGCTCGTGATCGAAATTGCTTCCACGGTTCCCAAACAAAGGATTGTCCACATTGCTCCTGACGGGGAGTGGGTTGGAATCAGAGCGCCGCCAAGATATTGATATCAACCGTGGAACAGCGTGAACACCCAAATATTGGCGAGCGCAATGTCGCAGCCCTGATGCCATATTTTCGAGGCCTCTGTAGGCTTTGCCGAAAATTAGAGGATGCAGTCTTGTTCTCCTGGTCCTGTTTCCTTTTGTTCGCCAAACTCTCCCTCCTAGAAAACTCTACGGCCCCCCTTGCACAATGGCGGGTCGGTACTATGGTTCTGGTACACAACAAGCCTTTGGTACCGAAGCCCAGCTGACATTTGACCATGGTAGAAGAAAAATGCTTCAGAGCGCACCCTTCAGGAAATGCATCAGAGCGCGCCCTCCAGAAAGTACTTGAGAAAGTCGAGTTCCCTCTCAAGGTACTCACACTCGACTTACGACACAACACCCTACCGACCAACAGCACACCAACAGCAACCGACACACACGAATAGACCTAAGCACTCACACTCGAGATACGACCGAACGCTTTACCTACCAACAGTACAAACCACAAGCAATACACCAACTCAATATGGAGGCCCAACGAATGACGACAAGACGACAGAGCCAGAAGGAGGTCGAGATGAAGGCCGCAGCCGAGAGGGAGAAGATAGAGATGAAAGACGCAGCCACGACCCTCGTCAGTCTCTTTCTTGACGCTGAGCTGGCCCTTCAGAAACAGGCAGAGGACGCTGAGAGTCTTCGACGCCGTGAAGAGGAAAGAACAAGGCGTTCTCTGGAGAAACAAGAAAAGAGCCGATCTATCTTCAAGCAAGCACAAAATCATCGTCGAGGAAGTACTAGTTCGAATGACACGATAGACGACCCCGACGTGCCGGCGAATTTCAAGGAAGGGCGAGCGGAAAATGAGATTCGAGAGACGAGACAGAAACAACAGGCCGTCGATGAACAGACGGATCTTGCGCATACGTTGTTAAATTTGTGGCACATACGCGATTTTGCCAAGGAAAAAGCTGAAGAGAAGGCTCTGAAGGATCGTTTGGATGCCGAACTGGCAAGACACAGGATTCCAGTGTATCCGAAGGTGACACATGCGCCCGCAGTACGTCAGATGAACCGTGACAACCAGGAGCTGTGGGGAAGACACAGAGCTAAACTGATTCGCGAGAGGGAGGAGAGACATAAAGTTGAACTGGATCGTGAGGCGGAGGAGAGACACAGAGCTCAACTGGCTCACGAGGTGGAGGAGAAACAAAGAGCTGAATTGGCTCACGAGGCGAAGGAGAAAGACAGAGCTAAATTAGCTCCCAAGATGGAAGAAGAAAAGGTAACTGGACGCAACAGGCCTCTTCTAACTCCAAAGCCGGCCCAGATAAAACTAAATTGGAATAACAAGGAGGCTGAACGCCAGAAAGAGGCTGGACGCAGGAGACGCAAGAAGCGTCAAGAGAAGGAGAATGCTAAAAGCAAAGATAATCACCCCGAGCATCAAGATGTAAGTTGATTTCTACTTCCATTGTCGCGGAAAAGCCCTGCAGGCGTAGTAGGACGGCGCCAACGACCATATAGATGCCTGATAAGACTTCCACCGAACCCGAAGCGTACGCACCTCTACAAGGCCCACCGAGCCGCGACGCTGTCGAGACCGCTACGTCTTCTCCGAGCAAGAAACGCGAAGCATCGGGTCCTGCTAACGGCAGTTCACCGAAAAAGAAGCGATGATCAACCTTCCTGGATCCCAACACCAAAAAAGGGCATCCCCAGACCAAAAGACTTTTATGATCGAACTCGGCCTCTCATCTGTTTTGCTTCTTTCGATTTATGCCAGCAAGCTTTTAGAGGACTATATGGATTTTGACGTACGCATTATGACTCCAGCTCTTAAGATTTGACGGAAAGAAACGGTAGCATCCACACCACCTTGGCAATATCGGGAGCCTTGTGGCAGGTTCGGGCTTCGAAGTCATCTTTTGAATCACCTTTGATCGGGGCTAAGAGTCCGTTTCTTTTTTTCATTTCCTCCTTTTTGTTTCTTTCCTTTGTACTTATACAGATTACTGTGCTGGGGCTTTGAAATCCAGAATTGCCAAGCCGCTCGTGCTGCCCTAGATTCACCACCTGCTATTCTGGATTTCAAAGTTCTCTCGCAATATGTATTACAGATCTCATGTTGGGTAGCGAATGGGAAAATAGTAGACGAAAGCCACCACAGTGACAGGACGAGATAGAATTGTGATGCGAGACTCCCTCGGTTGAACCAAACTTGTAGGTCAGATTCAAGCGTTTCTTGCTCAAAGCCAAGATTGTAGAATTTGGACGCGCGCGTGTGATGGTACAGCAACGATGTCTGAAGTGCTCCATGAGGTCAAGAGGAATCAGAAGGTAATTCGAAGGTCTGCATGACGCATATCTGAGACTCTAGTTGCCCTGGACAGACTCTCAGGGCAGACAGGATTTCTATGCGAAGCACCTCGAAGTGTTGCAAGCATGTCCTCAGGTGATGACGGTACGCAGCGCATCGCGTGCAGCTGCGATATCGGCTTGGGCGATACTGGGTCTGCACTGTGATGGCTTGGGAAAGTCACGTGTCGCTCAAGAGTGAAGTCTCTCATCGCTTAAGCACACGGGCTTGCCACGAGATTAGACCATCCGAGGAAGTGCCCAATCGCTCAACCGGTAGGCCCTTCTCGAATTCCCGGAAAGGCTTGCATCGGAGATGCCTTGGAAGTCGTTTCTGCACATGGCGTGCGGCATGGTAGAAATCTGGGAACAGTCAGCGCCATCTAGGCCCACCCTTGGCAAATAGGAAAGCTTCTCGGAGGCCACCACGTTAGACGGTGGCATTGGCTGTGCGGTCTTCCTATCAGAGAGTCTGGCGACGCAATGACAGTTGGCTTCAGGATCGCTGCAATTAAGAGGGGGGCAACGGCGGCAATGCTGGCAGCCGTGAGCCCCCAACGGCACAGAGCGAATGGCCACACGCTCGCCGCGATGGAGGCCGGTGAGACGTTAATGGCAGCGCTGTGTCCTGGCGGCCGTCGATGCAGTGATGCAGTGTTAGTCCCCCGCAGATCGACACGATAAGGGCTTTTGATTGACCCCTGTTATGCACCCCGTACGATAGTCTCCTGCTGCATATCTTTTAGCTATTCATCGCTTAGCATTACCAGAGGGAACTGTAGAAACGAGCGCGCTTATCAAATAAGCCGGCGGAGCAGAAAGTTGAATATATGGACAGACAGCTCTAGTCGCATGGATAGCACTGCGGTGGTCGTTGGAGGTTCGCCGACAGTATGTTACCGACCGTGGAATGGTGTTGCGATGATGTGGTGTCGTCTCGATCAAAGTAGCGCCCTTTTGCGCCAAGAAACTGGCATTCAAAACTACAGTATCCCCCCCTGTACGGACTGGACACGACCGTGCGCAAAACAAGGGTTTTTGTATGTAAAATCCCTTGTTATACGCACGATCGTGTCCAATCCGTACAGGGGGGGATACTGTATTGCCCAGTTGCTCATAGCATATACCCTAGGTACCAATTAGGGTCCCTTGGTCCAAGGGCTAGGCGAGCAATTCGTCAAATACCAGAACCTCCCGATCCCACTAAAGCCATCAACTTCAACAACAATCATCTCAACGACGAACCAGAGGCTTTCTCTAAAATTCTAGACGTACATAGAAAAGTACTCTGACAATCCGGATCTCAGTTTTGAGAAATGGCTCTACTCCCGTTACCGACTTAATCATTATCTCTGAACAAAGGGTATCATTTGGCTCGGCAAAGAATTACTCGCTTAGCCTAGGGCTGAGTCGTCGACACGCATACTTTCTCGCGTTTCCTTGCTATATGCTCAGCTTGCCCTGGTGCTAGCTAAGGGCACGACAATAATGTGGCGAGCTGACGGGTTTTATTTATGTACAATCAGACGGCAAGTCCGCAGCAGGACACGGCGGTCGCCTGACCGCGCTGCTTCACTGCCCATGCTCTGCAGGCGTTTGAGGTTTCAGCTCCTTTCTTTCCCCTACAGCCTCTTTGTACGTCCGATGACCTAGCGCGAAAACTGAGTCGACCTTCGCAAACCTCCTTTTCTGGGCTAATGCAGAGCCGGCTGGAAGATTCATTGGCTAGGGCGCTGTGATTCCCCCCCTAAAGGCGTCCGGAATCGCTACCTCATACGGTAATTTCGTGGCTTGATTTCCGCGCTAGGTCACCGGACGCAGGAAGATGCTGTATGTAGAACGCTTCTGCATGAAGTCAGATGCAACTGGTGTCGTCGCTGCGACCTTTCCTCTCGAAACTGCAAGTCCGTACTTGTGCTGGCTCGAGCCCCGCTCACCCACTCGTCGTCCTACTGACACCGCTGCGAAGTCCGGCCGTCTCGCGGTCGTGGTCATAGTTATGATTGTGATGGGGGTGGGGAAGAGGGTGGCATGGAAATATCAAGATAATGCACCTTTCCTTCCTACGGAACGCCCATGCCGGGTCCCTTTGCATGCGCTATCAGTGGCCATGCTGCCCGTGACATGATTGCATACTTCTGCTTCCCCTAGCCAGCCACCTTATGCCCCGACTTACCCATCAGCAGCGCTACACGCAGTATCTTTGGACTGCTCGAGGCACCATTGGAACACGAGAATGGCATCAAGTGCTCCATGCATGATCTTCTCCTTGGCGTAGAGAAGCTCGGCGGCACGAAGAGCTACGAGGAGTTCGTCGATAAGCCTAACGACCTAGCGTTAGCCAGGGGAAAGGAGGACCCAAGTAAGTCTCTGCTGCTAGACCTTACAGTCAATATTTGACATCTGCGTAGCAAAGTTCTTCGAGACGAGCGTAAACGCCAATTTCCGTGGAGTTACCCTTCTTTTCTGGTCAAACTTCAGCGTCAAGGCGATATGGCACGACGCTAAACATAACCAAGACTTGCATTATACGTATAATGGCCACGCCTGGGGTTTTGGTGGCGGTAATCCTCTCTATATTTTGGATTAGTTTTGTTTAGTTCTGATGCAAACTTACAGCTTCGTGGTACTCACCCGGTACTCTGAATTTCAACAAAAAGTACAACGGATACCCTGACTTGCCAGATTCAGGGAGTTGCTATGTGTGGATAGACGGCGCTGCAATAATTAATACATATAACTCCGATTCACATCAGAAAACCTCGGTTAGTACTCAACCTCTAATTACGAACCGTAGCTTACGTTCAATAGTTCACTGGTGGTAAGTTGTTGGCGATACTGTCGCGAACAATGTGGCTTATATATAATTGCAGTCCTCGATGCAGGAGTTTCAACTACCTAGGGTACCGGTGGGTGGTCAGAGGATCTTATTGACGCCGAACCAAGTGGTTAGTCGTTCAATCGGGGCCTTTTCCCGCCTTCAATCTCTTAGTAGTCTGGACAGGCGACTGACCAGTCCGGTGGTCTTTCTGATCCTCGAAGCGCAATTTGCGCACATCTTCTGTATCTCGCCGATATGTTCAATATCATGTGTTTATGCGCATTGTTTATGAATTTGTCGAATATGGGTTGCGTGACTAAAACGCATGTAGGACGCACCTTCAAGTCCAGGTGGGCGCTGCCGCTGCCGCTCGCTTCTGGGTTTAACGGAGGCAGGATGTATTCAGCTAGCGCATAGTAACGGCCCATACCCTACGGGTGCATGGCCATAATAGAACATACATACATACATACGTGGATGTTCCGAATTGCCTGGGAGTGCAGAGTGTGAAGTGTAAATTATAAGAGAGCAAAGCCACATGTGGCGCAGCTTATAAGATCGCCACTCCATGAAGTGACAGCACCCTTGTTTGTCGCTTAGCTTAGTTTAGTAAGGCGACCGCCAAAAGTGGCTTGGAGAGAATCTTGCGGCGCGCTGGGAGGGGAAGCCGGTTTTGCAAGCGACTGTATGGGTGAGGTGGAACCAGAGTCTGGGTAGGGCGGACGTCAAAATGACTACCGTGGTGGCGCATGGAAAAGTTCGTATCTTAGTTTTCAATTCACATCTCACTATCGTTTACCTTCCCAAAATGATGTCTCCAACCTCTAATCTCTTCTCCGTCAAGTATCTCTCGCATTGTTGGCCATAGCTTACTGGAAGCCATCACAGCCACACGTTTTAACAAGTCAAGAAGGAGGAGTATGCCGTGACGGGTGGAAGTACTGGCCTGCAACCCATCGAAAGGTCCCTGGCACATCTAACGAATAAAACATCAGTGAAAAACAAAGACATTCGAAAGAGGAGTTATGACGTACAATACTGTTGTCAGGCAATAAACTGGAAATGTACAATGACCACTTGTGTCCGATGACAGTCCATCCTACCACTGATGGCACCAGCTTCTCAACTTCCTCCTCGTTCATAGGCGTTCTTCGTCTCATATTGATCAGCTCCCGAATTTTCCACAGCATAGCTGCATGGTAGACCGCAAGCAGCATTTCGGCCTCTGTGGCTTTTCCCCCAGCCTCCTTTAGCTCTATGGCACATGCAAGAGTAACCCCAGAGGTGTATGCGTCTGTCATTGGGCTGAGTGTGGCACCCGCATTAATGGATCTGAAATTCTTATAGACTCTGCGAACGTCGTCATCGTCGTCTTCGTTAAATGCAAGCACAAAGTCCGCCTTCTTGGATACAGTCAGCCCAGAAGTGCCTATGGATAGGAAATCGGAATGTATATTTTGAGACTGGCTAAATAGCTTGAACGTTAGCAATGTAGATAGAAACGGTGGTAAAACTCACACGCTGTTAATTTCTAGGCAAGTCATGTCACCCTCTTCGACTACCGCTTCCAGAGCGTCCCAAACCACTCTTGCCCAAGCATTTTCGTCTTTATTATTATCGTTGCATCGCTTCGCCCTTGCGTGAATGCGTTGCACGTGACTCCAGAGTGACTCTAGCCTATCCATTTTTGCTTGATCCAATAGTGTTTCATCTGACCGGTCGAACATGTAAGAGCGAATGTCGTTTTTGAAAGCTACAGGGTCGGCTTGACGGAGGCGGTGCTGGACCGGACGCCGGTTAGCTTTTAGCACATGGGAGCAAGAGAAATGATCATGGCAACGTACCTTGAAGTATGTCGGGACGAAATCGTCAGAAAAGCGTTCGGAAAGTATACCTTGAAGTTCTTGCAACGAAACAATCTGACTTGTGCCATCTGGTTGTCGAATGCGAATGGGAGGTTTCCCTTGCTCAAGCAAGACGCGCTGGGTTCGTTCCGGACTTTGCGAGCCTTTGCGCCCTTTCAACGGACTCGTAGCTTTTAATTTTCTCCTTGAGTCGAGCGAAGTGACAGAAGAGGCGTCGGTAGTTGAATCCATCTCGAAAGAGTTTGGCGCAGATGATCGCGCCGACGGGCCAAGTCTTGGACGGACGCGTCGACTTGAGTTCGGAGAGCGATGCTTTCGTTTCAGATACGATGGAGGGGAAGTTTGAATTGCAAGCTCCTCAAAGTTCTCTGGACATGATGGGATGGCATCTACCCAGGCGTCGACGTCATCCATAACGGTGTTGGCGATAACGGTGGGCTTGGTTCTGCAGGAGAGAGCTGTTTGCTTGGGAAAGCGGTGCGCTTTGGTTGACTCAGCAACAGCACCACGCTAGACTTGGGCCGGAAGTGGGGAATTTTCGGCCCTAATGAGGGCCATAGATCGGCTCCCTCGCCAACGTTAGCGTGCGCCCGACCTCTGCCTCAAGACGAGAAGGTCCACTCCAGCTCCCCTCAGCCTTCAGCATCCTCACTCAACCCTCGCGCCATCTCAACGCCTCATATCCGCTATATATGGTCCAATGCCCCTGGATGGCGTCATCGTCTCCGCCTGGCTCTCTGACGTCCAGGCTGCTTCATCACGCAAGCGGCCCCGGAACCCAGTCCCGCGTCAACCAAGAAAGCGACGGGCGCTTTTCGAGGTTGCGGGGAACATGAATATGGAACCGGAAAGTCCATTAAAGAGCCTAGCGAGAAGAAGAAGTCCGAGGAAGTGCGTAGACGCCCCGAAGGATACAACGAGGGGGAGGCAGGCGCGGGAGGAGAGAGCATCAGGAGAAGCTCCACTGCCCGAGGGTAAAAGAGGTCGCACCGCTGGCTGTGATACCGCGCTCGACAACCTCACGCACCCAATTTTGTCGCCGTCATCATCTTCACAGTACACCGTGGCAATCTCAGCGAATACTGCGTCCGTCGAACAGGCACCCTGGGACGTTGGGAGCGCGGGCCAGAAGTCGAAAAGCTCTGGGCGACGTCCTCCAAGCCCTACAAAGACGGTGAGCGACATGGAAATGCTGGATAAACCTTTCCGATATTGTTTCCACGACAAGGACGAGCATCCGCTTCCACCAGAAATTAGCTCTCACTGGGAGGTGTTGGAGACACTGTGCAGCAATGTTGGAATCATTCCCGCAGCCATCAAAGTATGTTGCCAGCCCCTTCGCTGCAGTAATTAACCACGCTGACGTTATTTCCCCAGACCAATCTGGCGCGACAGGAACGTGTGTTCCCTCACATGGTGGCCGCGCCAGATACCCGAAACCCCACTCCCCCAAACGACGTTGAACATGCTGCCGCACATCAAATCGAGTTCGTAACCTTAAAGGGGATACGAGACGCTGCGCGTGATTGCTCTGTGGATGGATCTCACGAGCCTGGTTGGAACGGAAAGGTTCACCAGCCGCTTCTCTCCTGTGCGCTGGAGCCGATCAAAAAAAGGTTCAAATCTGTCAATGTGTGAGCGTGTCATCCCGGTACTAGACGTTTTGCAATGCTAATGCCGGACAGGACGCTGGCAAAGCCCCTAAAAGAGTTTGCCCCTCTCTACAAAGACGACCCCAGCGATCCTAAAATTGTCGACTTTCTCGTCACATTTAAACCACCCCCGACCGTTGTTGATCAGATTCGGCATCTTCTGCGCGCTGTACCGGAGGAGGAGCTTCGAACCATCAACCAGACGTCCCACACGCGCTACGAACCTGCCGTTATGTCGATCGAGACAAAGCGAGGTCACAACGATGAGGATGATGCCAAATTTAAGCTTGCAATGTGGACAGCTGCGTGGCAGAACCAGATCGACCGGTTTACAAAAGGCACGACATGTACGCCACTACCAGGCTTCATTGTGTTTGGTCATATATGGAATTTGTATTGGCTTGTTGATTTCGGAACGAGCGTGGTAAGCTGAAAGTCTCCGACTGTATGGTTATGTCTGACATGGGACTAAAGGAGGTTATCAAGTTTCCGTACCCAGTCGGGGACACGCAAACAATTGCCGGCTGCTACCGTTTAGTCGCCGTAATCAGGCATTTATGCGGCCAATGGGTTGAAAATGTCTTCCTTCCGTGGTTTACGGACAATGTGCTGCCAAAATCGACCACATTCCCAGGCAGAGTTCCGACTTGCGCGACAACCAGTCCACATGGTTGAGGTACGTTAAATCGTCGGGAAGAGATGCTAGTGAGTGCAGGAGGGATACTCCATGTCGGGGATGAGTAGAGAAGGGCAATCCGACCACCAAGTGCTCTCCATCGCTTCAACGAAGGAATCCGTCGGTCGGGGAGACAGGAAGGCATACCCCTCCTCAGACGGCAGCGTTGGGATGCTACGGGGACGAGGCACAGGAGGCACACCATCCTCGGAGTGCAGAGCTGGGATGCCACGGGGATGAGGCACAGGACGCACTCCCTCCGCGAAAGGTAGAGCGCCTCAGACGCCGAAGAAATGCGCTGGGGAGAATGAGTGGAGGAGTCATCTGTTCCTAGGCTTGCTACAACCGTTATAACAGACTGGAACTAGAGAGTTTAATACTAAGTACATCTGAGAAACATAAGTCCACGGCCACAATTTTGCATGAATCATTCGAGCACACACTAACTACATCCTTCTTAACCCAACCGCACCGTCACCGTATAACTTCATGCCTCGCCTTAATCCCCTCCCTCTTCAACAGATCGTAGCACAACCTTCAAGCCTAGCCATACCCCAGACTCAGCTAACAGCCTCAATCCTCCCAAAACCCCCCAGCCCCTCCATATTCAGCGTGCCCTCCACCGCCTCCAGCAATGCCTCCTCCGAGAATCCGAACGGTCTCTCAACATCAAAGCCAGATATCATCCGGAGCTGCATCACGGATGTACTTGAAGTTGCTGTAGGAGTCTTCCGCCATAGGTGGATATTTGCAAAATGTGGAGCAAAACGGATAGGAAGTGTTATGGATGTCCTTGAAGCTGCTGCGGGAATCTTCCGCGGCGGTTAAGACTCTCACAAAGCGGTTGAGCAAACTGAATAGAATGCTAGACAAAACGGATAGGCTGTCTCACGGTTGTAGTCGAAGCTGTTGCGGGGGTCTTTTGCGGCAGTTGAGATTCTCTCAAAATGGGTAGGAACCGTCGCTCTTTCCTATCATCGACACTTTGACGCACTTCTCAGAACGACGTTGAACCACACTTGAGAGTGGCAAGCATCTCAATTTTCACGATGTCGAAGTTGACATCACATTCGGAACTTTAAAAGCTTATAGGGGCACCCCAAGCAGTGGTAAACGGGTGTGCACAGATTTATTGCAAGTACAAACCATAATTTGGTATTGTAGGAATAGCCAGAAATCGTCAATCATTAAGACTAATACAATGTTACCTCCAAGAAATGAATAGAAAAAAAAAATCGTCTCTTAGGCTCGAGAGACCACTACGAACGCAATTGGCCAGCTCCCAGCAATGCATATGTTACTTCCCTAGACTCATACAGCATACAATTACAAAATGCCGCCCAATACAAACGAAAAAAACGTATCCGAAAGACTCATTTCGTAAGCGCTAAATCGAGGCCAGCAATGTAAAATGTCATATCAATCATAATTATGCAAACAAGAAGAGAAGGGAGAACAAAAATCAAGCAACCATCTTCCTCAAACCTCCCCAGAATCCTTTCATTGGCGGTTCGTCTTTCTTAGATCTTCTCCTCTCCGTCTCTCGTCTCGAGATTCTTGGCTTCTCAGCACTCTCGACTTTGCTTGATCGCGGTCGATCGCTCTCGGCTCTCACAGTCTTGGGTCTTTCATTCACTGACATCCTTCGGCTGGATCGATGCGCACGTCGTTCGCCGGGAGAATGTGATCCTACTACAGCAGCCGCGTCTTGGACGAGGGCCTCGGGAGGCGCTGGTGGCTCCTCAATAGGTGCTTCACGAAGTGCTTCACGAGGTGCTTCGGGGACTACTTCGGGCTCTGCTTCCAAAGTAACACCTCCGCCATCTGCAGCTCCTGACATCTCGAATTCCTTCTCTTTGGCACCACGCGCAGCGCGACGCTCCTTCCTAGCTCGGTGTTCTGCTTCTTCTGACTCGGTTCTCTGACGGTGGTGATGGGAGTGGCGTCTGTGTCGGTGATGCGGGCGCTCCCCTTGACTGTCTTCTGAGCTTAGCTTGCTGCTTGTCGGGCGTTCTTTCTCTTTCCCAAGACTTCTGACCGCTGGCGGAGGAATCGGATCCGTCTTGACTTTGCTGACAGGCTTCAAGACTTTGGGAGCGATAGGTACTATAGGTTCCGTCTTTGATCGACCAAAAAGACCTCCGAGAATGCTGTTTCTTCTAGCCCATGGAGGTGGTGAAGCGTCACGGGCGCGATCACTCAGACCAGTCTGCCGTCTTGAAGGACCGCGAGGAGATACCGGAGAAGCAGGAGACACCTCAGAATCTTCTTCAGCAGCGCGTCGAGCAGCGTCTCTGGTCACTGGTCGTTCCACCTCTTTGGCCTTTGGTCGGACTCGATCGGCCGCCCTCTTGGCTTCTTGTTCACGCTCCAACCTTTTCTTCTCGCGCCGTCGACGCCGTCTTTCCGTTTCCTCCTCCTCTTCTTCACGCTTTGCTGCCGCCGCTTCTTCCTCTTCCCTACGTTTTGCAGCTTCAAGCCGCTTTGCCTCTCTTCTAGCCTCATGGCGCGCTCGCCTTTCGGCTTCTTCTTTTGCAATGCGCTCTTTTTCGGCAATGCGCTCTTCTTCAGCCTTAGCTTTCTCTGCCTCAGCTTTCTCTGCCTCAGCTTTCTTCGCGGCCTTGCGCTCCTCATGTCTAATCCTCCGTTCTTCCTCAGTCTCAGTCCTTTTCTTCTCTGCCTCTGCGGGAGCCTTTCGCCGAGATTCGTCCTTCTTCTTACTGTCAGAGGGTCGATGTGAGTCACGACGCTTGCGGCGTTGTTCAACCTCTTCTTCAGCAGCACGAAGGGTACGACGATTAGCCTCCTTTTCTGTTTCCCGTTCCCGGCTTCGAGGACTAGACTTGTCTCCTTCCTTCTTGCTTTCTTTACCCTTGTCCTTGCTAGCGTCCTTGATCACTTCTCTAGCCTTCTCCCTGGCCTTTCCAGAATCCTTGCTTGTCATGCTATCTCTCCGCTTCTCCTTTCCGGCACTCCCGATAGCCTTTACTGCAGCGACGAGAGAGATTCCACCGATGCTAGCATCACTCTCTCGTCTCCTTCGGTGTTGGTGCGGTCGAGCCCAGGCATCTCGATTCGAATAAGAGGACCGCCTGGGCCGTTTCTCTTTCGAGGGCGAACTCGGAGAAGCTGGTTCGTTGGCTATGGCGGATTCATTGGGTGGAGTCTTCGGGGCTGCAGGCGGCTCGGCAGGCGCTTCAACCGTTTTCTCTTCCTCGGCAGGTGCTTCAACCGCTTTCTCTTCCTCGGGAGGGGTTAGAGCAGTGTCTTTCGGTGTTGGCTCGACATCCACCGCGTCCGAGGCGGGTTGCTCTGGGGGTGCTTCGATTGCCTTTTCTTCCTCCACAGGGGCCGGCACTTCGGTAGGGGTAGTGTCTTCGGCCGGGGCATCGATGACTGGAGGGTCGTCTGCAGCCGGTGGAGCACTCTCAGTTTCTTCTGGAGGCGGAGGGTCTTCCGAGACTTGCTCGATCGCCTTGTCTTCCTCGACGGGGGCTGGCTCTTCAGCAGGAGGAGGAGGGGGAGCGTCTTCGACTGGGACTGGTTCTTCGGGAGGAGCTTCTTCGACTGAGGCTGGTTCTTCGAGAGGAGGCGCGGTAGCATCTTCGACCGGAGCTGGTTCTTCGGGAGGAGGTGGGGTAGCGTCTTCGACCGGAGCTGGTTCTTCGGGAGGAGGTGGGGAAGTATCATCAATTGGAGCTGGTTCCTCAGGAGGAGGAGGAGGAGGAGGAGGAGCGTCTTCGACTGAAGCTGGTTCTTCTGGAGGAGCTTCTTCGACTGAGGCTGGTTCTTCGGGAGGTGGGGGAGTATCATCAACTGGAGCTGGTTCCTCAGCAGGAGGAGAAGCATCTTCGACTGAAGCTGGTTCTTCGGTAGCTGGCTCCTCAGGAGGAGGGGGAGCATCTTCCACTAGAGCTGGTTCCTCAGGAGGGGAAGCGTCTTCAATTGAGGCTGATTCTTCGAGAGGGGGGGCCTCCTCGACTGGAGCTGGTTTTTCGGAAGCTGGCTCCTCAGGAGGAGGAGAAGCGTCTTCGACTGGAGCCGGATCTTCAAGGGGGGCAGGCTCTTCAGCTGGCGGATCTGTTGTTGGGGAGTCCTCTACTGCTGGGGAGTCCTCTACTGCCGGGGAGTCCTCTACAATAGGCGCAGGGCTTCCCACTTCATCCACTTTGGCTTCTTCGCTACTTGGGGCTTCACTCGCTTCTCCTTCTGGAGCAGGAGGATCTTTCGGAGCTTCCTCAACCTTTGGTTCAACCTCAACTGTTTCTACAGGAGGCACGTCTACTGTCGCGGTATCCAATGGGGCTTCGGCAGGGGGTTCATCGGTATCAGCTTCTTCGCTGCCTTCAGGGACCTCTGGACTAGGCTCTTCACTAGGTTCTTCGGGCGAAGTAGTCTTAGGAGAAGGTTTGGTAGCCTCTTCGCTGGCGGGCGTTTGCTCACTACTACCGACATCCTCTGAGCTAGGCTTATCCTCCGGATTTTCCGCCTCTGTTGAGACCAGTTCTTCTTGAGTGGTTGGGCTCTCATTAATCTTTTGCTCCTTAGCTTGTTCTGGCGCGTTAGTCTCCTCTTCTTGTGCAGGGGGAGGTTCCTCTGGCTTGGCTTCAACTTCTTGCTCACTAACGACATCCTCCGGGATAGGTTCAGCTGGCTTTTCTGCTGCTGGACTCTCATCGGGCACTTGGGGTTTGTCTTCTGTAGGAGGGTCTTCTGCAGGACTATCTGCGGGAGGCTCTAAAGCCGGATCTGGAACAGTAGGGGCCATGGCTTCGGCCTCGATTGGTGGGGAATCATCGATGCTGACAGGAACTTGTTCAATATTGGCCTCTTCCGTAACGGCGGCATCTTCACCAGCTGGAGCGGCATCGCTGGGCGTCTCTACCGCGGTAGACTCATTAGCAGACTCTGCGTCTGAACTCTCTGGCACATTTTCTGGCTCCTTTGTCTCGGAACTGTCGGTTGGGTCGGCTGCCTCAGGGCCGTCGTCTGATTTCTCATCTACATCGGGAGCCTCCGAGGTGGGCTGCGTTGAGGTGTCGACTGGGCTCTCTTCGTCGGCAGGAGTAGGATCCTCAGTGGGTACTGTTTCTTCTCCTGGGGCATCTACAGCGGGAGGATCCTCTGTAGCAGGCTCGGGACTCTCCACTTCATCCGATTCGTGTTCATCACTGACAGTATCCGGGGGTGCTTCAGCCACCTTCTCCTCTTCGGCAGTAGGTGGAACTTCGGCAGTAGGTTCAGAGCCTTCCTCATCGTCTACTTTCTGTTCATCATTGACAACCTCCGCGGGTACTTCAGGAGCCTTTTCTTCTTCGACGGGGTTAGCAGCTTCGGCAGTGGGCTCAGAGGTTTCCCCTTCATCCTCTTTGTGTACATCTTCACCAACTTCTGGAGGTGGTTCATCCACCTTCTCCTCTTCAATAGGGGCTGGAGTTTCGGCAGTAGGTTCAGGGGTTTCCCCTTCGTCTTCTTTGTGTTCATCTTCGCCAGCTTCCGGGGGTGTTTCAGTCGCCTTCTCTTCCTCAGCTGGAGCTTCAGGAACAGACTCAGGGGTTTCCGCTTCGTCCACCTCTTGCTCATCATTGACGGCCTCCTTGAGCGCTTCAGCCGCATTCTCTCCTTCGGTCGACTCAGCTACCCCTTTGGGGTCGTCGTCTTGAGCCAGTTCACTGCCTACAGGCGCCACTCCTTCTTCCACTTCCGTAGCAGACGGTGTTTCGGTGACAGGGTCCTCTGGTGTAGGTTCTTGGGCCGCGGCTTCTTCAACATTGGGATTTTCTTCTTTGTTGGTTGTAGACTCTTCCGCAGCAGGCTCCTGGACGGCGGGTTCTTCAACACTTGGTCCGTCGGCTACAGTTTCCTCCACAGCAGTTTCTTCCACAGCAGGCTTTTCCAGGGCAGATTCTTCCACAACCGGTTCCTCGGTAGCAACAGGCGATTCGACGGCCGAGTCTCCGGGCTTTGCGCCGTCAGTCTCAGGTTCCTGTTCCTTCACTTCAGGGTCTGCCTTTAGCTGAATATCTTCGGCAATGGAAAGCGGCTCCTGGCCGCTTTGGTCCTCGGAGGCCACTTCCGTGGGCGCTTCAACGACTGGGGCCTCCGATTCCTTTGCTTCAGCTGGTGGTGCGCTTTCCTCTTCTTTCGCTTCTCCAGGGACAGGTTCACTTGGCTCTGCTGCTTCCTTAGGAGCTGCAGTTGATTCCGAAGCAGGTTCTTCAATTGGGAGTTCCGTTTTTGCCTCGGGTGAAGCAGCTGGTGAAGCCTCTTCGTCTTTCTGCTCTTCGAAAGTGGGCTCGATTGGCTCATCTGGTGCTGTTTCGCCTTCTATTTCGCCTTCTATTTCAACAGGGGCTTCAGGCGGAGGTGGAGTTGGGTCTGATGCGGGCTCTTCAGCTGCACTTTCCGCCTCTTCTTCACCTACAGCAACCGGCGTATTCTCCTCTTCTTTCGCGTCATCACCCGCTGCCTCAGCTGAGTCCTCTAGGGCTTTCTCAGCACTCTCGCCCTCGTCTCCCTCTTTTGGAGCTTCTTCAGGTGATGGTGGCGTTGGCTCTGGTGCTGGCTCGGCGTCATCAGTACTCGTAGGTGTCTCCTCCACGGGGACCTCAGCTTCCACATTTTCCGGCTTTTCTTCGGCCACCTCAGCGACTTCGTCTGCAGGTGGTTCCTGAGGGGCGGGTGGTGAAGGAGCCTCGTTTTGGGCTTCACTTTCCTCGGGCTGGGCTGAGGTAGACTCGGGCTCCGGGTCAACGGCCTTCTCTTCAACTGCAACATCATCGGAGGAAGGCGATGTCACAGGTTGCTCAACGGGCTCGCTGGGCTCTGACGAATCTTCGGTGGGCGCAGGCGGTTTCGATTCCGCGGGCTCGCTTTCAGCTTCTACACTGTCTGATGGGGTACCATCTTCTGGCGGTGATGGCTCTTCTGCATTTCCCCAGGGCGTTTCTGCGGGCATCTCTGGCGGGGGAGGCGGAGGCGGAGGCGGGGGAGGCGAGTCGTCTTGAACGTCATCCCCTGTGCTTGTTTCCGCCTCGACTGTATCGTTTTGCTCATCACTGTTTTCTGGCGGCGTGTCCGCCGGCTCGTCAGGTGGCGGAGGGGGTGGTGGAGGGACCTCGTTTTGCACTTCAGCGCTATCTGTAGGTACATCTGCCGGGGCTTCTGGTTCAGGAGGTGGTGCCGGAGGGTCGTTTGGAACTTCAATAACCTCAGGGGACTCCTTGTCAAGTGACGCAGACTCGGAATCCTTATCTTCCACCTTTCCTTTCCCTTTCTTACCCTTACTCTTTTTGTCCCTCTTGGCTTTTGGTTCCACTTTCTTAGTGGGAGTCTTCTTTTTCTCGTTGGAAGAGGGTGGTGGCGGAGCCGGCGTAGCTTTACTCTCCTTCTCCTTTTTCTTGACTTCTTTTGCTGGAGGAGGAGCAGGAGCAGGCGCTGGTGAGTCCTTTTGCCTCACAAAACCTTTGGCCTTTCCTCTACCGTTCGCTTTGCTATTCTTCTTCCTCCCGATCGTGCTAGGTTTGGGCTCTTTCATGTCCGGAGGAAAGTGCACATTTTTCTCTTCATGCGGCATTGCGGCGGCAGGATCAGCGGCAGGATCAGATGATGGCACATCTTCACTTTTAGGTTCTTCTTCAGCCGCAACAGGGTCCGCAGGGGCAGGCGGAGGGGGAGGTGGAGGGGGCTCGGAGTCCGGTATTACAGCTTCCATTTCTCCCGGACCTTCTTCGGGAGTCGGCGCGGACTCTTCAGGTGCTGTTTCTGGCTCCTTTACTTCTTCGGGTGCACTAGGAGAAGGTGTATCTTCAGATTCTGCAGGCTCCGCTGCTTGCTCCTGGACTGGTTGTGCTTCGTCAGGGCCAGGAGGCGGTTCTTCAGTGGGTGGGCCAGGCTCTGGTGCGGCTTCACCCGTAGTATCATCGGCGCTAGCTTCCACTTCTGGAGTATTTGCTGGCTCAATTGGTGGAGAAGGCTCTTCAGCTGGCTCTTCATGCGCAGGCGTGTTCTCTTCGCTAGGTCCATCACTTGTGGCGTCTGGGGAACTACCTTCGGACTTTGGGTCATCAGGCGAAGGATTCGATTCCGATGCCGGCTCGGCACTGTCAGCGACTATCTCGACACCACCTTGGTCACCTTCCGTAGCCGGGATTGCACTGTCGTCGTCGCCTTTAGGCTCCGCGTCCTGTAGTGCTTCACTGACGGGTTCTTCGCTAGCAGCGGGTTCGTCTAGCGGTGCACCGCCGTCACCATCATCGTTCTGTTCGTCTTGTTTTACAGGTTCTTCCACGACTTCTGGCTCTTCTGGAGCCTCTGGTGGGGCGGGTGCCTCGGGGACATCTTCTGCTGCAGCTGAACTCTCCTCAGGTTCTAGTGGAGGGAATGGAGGGGGTGGAGGAGGTGGTGCGTCCACTTCTGGCTGGCTTTCTGTTGGTTCAGGTTCAGGCGGAGGGGGAGGCGGCGGAGGCGGTGGTTCTGGGTCGCTTGCTGGAGGTTCTGGTGCTGGTGGTGCCTCTTCTACAGGCAATGCTCCAGACATTACCGGGGCGCCTACTTGACAGTCAATTGCAAAGGCCTATGGACAGTTTGTCTTGGTACGCCTACCCGCAGCTCCATCATCCTCATCATCACTTTCTAATATCATCTGCACGTCCGGATGTGTGAAGACTGGAGGGGGGTATTGTATTACGCGTTTATACGCGGAAGACTCGGCGGACTGAGCGTAGGGCTTCGCCGGTGTCAGCGCACTGGCAAACGGGTCCAACCACGGTGAAATCGCAACGTTATGGTACCGGCGCATTGTGTTGATTTGAAGATGGCAAAGACTGGGTGGTGTCTTTTGCGGAGTCGAAGAGATTGACTGGGTGTGCTACTTTGCTCTTGTTCTTGGACGCCCTCCGGGCCATTGTACATATAATGACGCGCTTAGAAACAAGAGCAGAACGTGGGGGAAGAAGAAATAACTGTGGAGCGGCGAATGAAAAAAAGTGTGAGGAAAAGCATTGAGCGCCTTCGTGGCTCAATGCGAAGAGGCGAGTCGGGAAGAGGGCAAGGAGCGGCAGCGGCAACACATCACCAGACGGTTTTAGAAAATGAGATCAGGTCAACTCGAGGCTTCCACGGGGCCTTCGAAAATGGTCGGGCTGCATCTGCTGGCAGCACCCGTGCTGCTCCGCAGATATGGGGGGCGGCTTGGCCTCCAGTAATTGGGCCACGTCAGAGAGGGCTCGCAATTGACTTCGCGATGTCGATGGCTCGCGGCGGGTTCCAGCGCAGATTTTCATGCAGCCGGCATTCAAAGACGTTACGCCGCTGCACAGCACGGGGTGCCATCGGACGTGGTGCAGACATGGTGAGTGCATTCGGATAGCAGGTGGATCGTTGTTTTCGTGACGTGGCAATCTCGTGAGACAGTGACACCCCTCACGACGTCTTTCGTTTTCTCTTTGCGCCTAACGTCCATCCCTCTGCAGGCCTAGAAACCCCCGTGCCGAGAAAAAAGATGGATGATTACAGCCCCTTTGCGCATTCTGTGGTGAGAGTGCAGGTGGCGGCAAGGGTAAATTACGGTACTGGAAGTTGATGAGAGAGATTTCATTGGCTGTAATAGCCTTTACAGGGTTAACTAAAAGGCCTTTATTACGAAGCATTTATGAGATACACTAACCACAGGATGGGCAAAGGGGCTGTACATCTGTACATTGACTCCAATCAACTCTGTGCAACACATCATTATTTCCCACAGTTCTGGGTAAGATGTGTGCTGTGGCGACTCCTAAAGCCTTGGAACACGTCCCACCTCAAAACTACGTCCGCATCGTCGCCTTCACCCTTGATTTGCGGCGAGCCTTCTTTCATGCAGTCACGCAATTTCTGCACTACAGCACCACTATCGAGCTCTTATCACTCCTCATGCTCACAAATGGGCCTTATCCGAGTTTTAGAGCCTCACTACTATACTGGGAAGTCTAGAGATTGTAGATACGTTGATATTGGCTCAAAATGAAAATGGAAATTGGGCTTGGCGCCCGTTTCTTGGTATGGCACTGCCGGCTCTTCTATAGGCCGAAATTAGGTGACGTAGGGAAATGGCTTCTACTTCTCTCCCTTTTCTCAACCATGTACTTTTTCTCTGTGATATTCTAAGAATTATCTATAATCATCTTTCTATCATGCTCTATCAATCTATCTATTCAGCACGCATCCGGGCACCCAATAGGATGATATTGAGAAAAAGGACAAATAATCTGGAGGGTTTCCTGTTGCTTTCCCTCCTTCGTTCTCAACCTTTGTTATTGAGTTAACGTACTAAACTTAACGGCCAACTCTCAATACAAGTTCCTTAATTACTTTACACACTTCCAATACTACCGGAGCCTAACTCCCTTCCGACGTCTTACTTTCTCCCACCTCGATCTTCTTGCAGGTGAGTAAGAAACCTGACCATCCGGACGCTCCTGACAAAGTCTCTTTCAGCTTAACCTTTATGTTGAACGGGACAGTTCATTATATTTACGATGTAAATTAACATTAGGTCTAACTCAGTTGCTACCCCTTCTCCTCCTATCAGTGCTATCATCGTGCGATTCTTTAGCAACCAGTGGCCTTTGCGGACAAGACTGCCTAGGCTGCCTAGGACCACCTCAACAACAAGCGTGTCGTTCCAGGATTATTTCGTCGCAATACAAAACGTTCTAAACTTATCCAGCCGTCGCCGATAATAGCCAAGAAATCTCCTAACATCCTTCAATAACAGCCTTCACCAACAACTACTAAAGACTCTCCTGGCTAATAGGCAATCACTGCAACGCTTATGAGAATAAGCTGCCAGATTCCGTTACACCCAGAAGCGAGCGGCAGCGGCAGCATTACCACAGTATCAAGCTCACGATGTCCACAGCCTATCAAGTGACGGACAATCAGAACGCAGGAATTAAATAGCCGCGATTCAATTCTGCCTAACTAACCCCGACTCAGACGGAGACTGGCGTACCTATAGACACACAAGGGCGAGATCAAGGCTCTGACTGCGCATCACCTTCAACCGAGCAGAACAGAGAGCTGTGTAGTATCGCGCCGTGACGATTGGATCCACGGGAGTTTCAACGTCTGTATATCAATCTCAGTAATGAGCAAGAATAGAAAGCCAACCAGAAAAGTACCGAGTCCAATGGCTCATGCTCTGGCCGAACATGAACTAGGGGTGGAGGGGTGGAGTAGGTCAATGTCAGACATGAGACTTCATCCGCATATGCCGTATTGCTTGTCTAGACTGTGGCTAGATCCTTGTTCATCCTCTCACTTGTCTACCACACAGCCAACCAGCACTGTCAATGCCACGATAACCCCCGTTTTGTCCTGCCACATCACCTCGTCACCATGCCGCCTACCGTTGAGAAGCCCCTCAACTAGGATTCCGCACCACAATGTCTTTCCAACTGCCTCAGAGCCATTCCTCGCTTCAAAGTCAATCCTCGCGCAATGGCGTCATTCTTCGTGCCCAATGTAATGGTCGGGAACGACGACTGCATCACTCAGATCACTATAGAGCTCTCACATTCGAAAGCGCTCTCCACCGACGCCTTCTCTTTCCAATCCTCTTCATCAACGATCCGCGGAGGTCCTCGGATTCTTCTTGCGCGGAAGGATGGACATCTTAATTGCATACAGAACTCGCGAGCTGCACTAGGGAACGGAGCTCACGCGCCGCCGCGAGTCCACAGCACGTTTGACTCAGGAAACGCCATGACACTAATCGACAAGGCCTTCCTCTCACCACAGGACCTGAAGGCTCAGGTCTTGCCGATCGTGATCGCCACCTACAATCCACCTCTTTTTGCGCTTCTTGTCTGCTCCCGGCGCACCCACTCAGAGGCTACATTCTTGGAAGATATTAACGTAGATATCAACAGATCCATCTCATCCTTGGTTACCAACGGGCTGACAGATCTTTGCGCGAATTGTGGCTTTCCTCGCCGACTTAGTATCTAGAGGGCTCCTACCTCAAACCAGTGGGTGATGGGCTTGGCGATTACCAAGCTGACGGGTGTGATTTTGGAGTCGAGAGCTTGGATAGGGTTCCGTTGAGATGGTGGAAGCGCTGTTGTGATGGCTGGTCGAAATGGAGCTTGCGGAGTCGTTTCGTAGGCGATGACGTCGACGTCGCAGGGTCTTTTCGCGAAGGTGGTGATCCGGAAGTCTGTGTAGGGCCTGGCGGTCACAGTATGTTATGCTGCTCACAATGCGGACCCGATGTCACATACCGTGACATGCGCAGAAGAAAGAATGGCACAGAAGGGCTACACCGAAGGCTCATGCTTCCCCTAGTTTTCTTAGCTGGGCTCTGAATGCGCTCGGTACAGCTTCGCTGCCCTCCGTGTTAGGCAAAGCTTTCATAAGGCCGCGACGTAGAATCGAGGGGCAGGCAGCAGTAGCCGGTGTCGGAGAATGACCTGCGGTGTCCAGGGACTGTGCATATGCTCGGAGTCCGGGCAGGAGAGTTTACAATTTTTGCCGCGCAAGTTCGTTTTTCTCTCAGTTTGGCCTTACGCCCGTAACGTTAACTCCTCTTCTCTGCTTGAATGATACGACTTGCGTGGGAGCACTCCATCACCACCACCAACATCACGTTCCTTATTCCCATTGGATTGGATGGACCCATGTCCACCACCTCCCCTTGGGCCGCAATTTCTATTGTAAGCGGATTGTGCTAATCGGTCATGTAGCATGAGCGGACCTCATTCTCAGGAACTAAATTACCGCATTTTTGATAACAAGGCACCTTGCAGGACGAACATCATTCAAAAAACTGACTTGTTCCGCACAACAACTTCGAAGATTATCCGAGATTCCAATTACAGCTATGAAGCGATTGTACAGGCCTTGACCTCTGCCTCTATACCGCTGTTGGGGATGGAGCTTCTTAGGGTAGGCCATCCAGAATGTTCCTATGCCAGTCCACCAATGCTCGCGGTCAATCTCCGCATAGTATCTACTTGCCCGATTTCGCAATTTCTCTGCTTCCTCTATGTTTCCAAGTCTAAGATTAGCATCACAGCTGGAGTAATCTATTATAATGGGAGTGAATTCTGTAAACTTGTTCCGGAGAGTCTCTGCTTGGTTTCGAGCGTCATTCCACAGATCTCGTGCTTGAGTGTAGTGGCCTTTGAGGTGTGCTACCAATGCTCCTCCAAGGCAGGCTTTGAGATGGATGAGTTCAGAATTCCAGGTACCTTCACTGCCAGCTTTTAGTCCGTGTGCTTCTTTCAACTCTTCGAACCGACGTTTGGCATCGTTCAATTTGAGAAGGATCTCTTCGGAAAGTGCTCTTCCCTCAACTTTCGCGATTAACCCATGGCAGAGCCTAGCCTCTGCCAATGAAACTTGCAAGTTTCTGTATGTTGAGAGGCTTCGTCGGTTCAATTTTATCCAGCTTAGTAATGCATGGCTTGCGAGGCTCTCGGCCTTATCCACAAGGCCTTCGTCGCAAAGTGACCCGATAAGATGACTGGTTATGTTGCAACCAGTTTCATCGAACTGGGAGGTTCTGCGAAGTAGGAGATCATAAACAATCTCACTTGCTCGGAAAAATCTGGCGTTCCATCGATATATTTTTTCCTCGAATCAGTACATGCTGATAGTGCTCTTCCGTTTCCATCAAGGTGGAACTGCCTCGGAAGAACGAGAAGTGATTTAACGCGTCGAGTGCTCCATCGTGATCATGCGCCATTATCCGTTCCTGTGCCTGAGAGCGTAGCATCTCCCTATACAGGGCGTTGGACCTAGGATCTACGGGAGGCCGCCTCTGATGTGGGCCTTCGATAGAGATGTTCGCGGCGACAGAGGCGGGCGATCTTCCCATCCTTAACTTCTTTCGGAGTGGGATAACGGAGAGGTTGAAAATGGCTCCTGGACTCTCATTGATGACGATGAAATCCCGCGTAGTTGCTCGGTTGGAGGGTTTAGCACAACCACGAGAGAAGTGGGAGATGTTTTGGTAGCCGGATGGACCTTGCCCACATGATCGAGAGAGTTAATTACGTCATTGGCGTTGTATCCGAGAGCAGTACATATGTCCTCAGTCCTGCGCGCTGGCTAGGATTATCCTTCTCATGAGAGAATGAAATCATACGAGAGTGTATTCTCAACGTTGCCCAAATGGACCATATACATAATAAGACGTGGGATAGAATATTCAGGTGTAGGCAATCGCCGTAATCATGCGTCACAAAATAGCTTTGCTCAAGAAAGGTACAGATAGAATCCCAACTCTTGTCCTGCAAAGCAATCAGAGAGGTGAGAGAAAGAGGGTCTGTGATGCATTAGTGCATGCCGTGCTGAAAGGAGCTCATGTTACCTGCTAAGAAAGAATGATTCCGTAGCGCGAGAAATGGACCAACCATTCTTGACAAGTCTAGCGATCGCATGATTCACTCTTGAGGCGCCAGAACGTAGTCTTTGGTAATCCTTCGCCCCAAAGAGATCAACGGATTCCATGATTTTATCGACATGATTCCTTTCCTTTCCAGTGTGCAAGAGGACTATACAGTATGAAAGTAGAACAAGCGCCTGAAAGTAGGAAAGCGATTTCTCAACTCCGATTTCTTGTGTGCAACGTTTGTGAGCGAAGCGAAGTCGAGGCCGACAGCAATTAGCCCGTCCGAATGTCGACCTTTTTGGCTGTTTATCGTTGGATCCCACGTTGCTTCATTAATGAGAGAACAGATGATTTCCGTGTACTCCTCCGTAGTGTGAACAATGTTGGCCTGTTCTTTATTACATTCAGTAGCCTTCGGTATTATCTGAAGAAATGACGCATCGGCGGTCTTTCTTGGTTGTTTTGCAGTTGCAGCACCGCCTGACAAGCCAGTGTGCAGATGCTAAATCGCCGCTGCGACCGCCCGTTGGTTAGCGCCTGCTGGTGGCCGGCATCTGCTGGTGGCCGGCATCTGGGAATCGATTCCGTCTGGTCGCCCGCTGGGCTGGCATGCATGGCGCGGGCCTCGTAGGGCGATTCTGGACACTGGCAAAGCCGATCGTCTGGGAGAACTATGTAGGAGAAGCGCGGATCGCGCCTCGAGGGCAAAATTCATTGTCGGTCAACCGCCATTTCTCCTGAACACCTGGGCAATGTTGGCAGTGGTCAAGCAAACTGCTGTACATGCTGTCGTTGATGACTGCCATCTGTGAAGGGTGGACGTTTATGGTGTACTCGTGCCTTTCCAGCCACCCTGTCGCTGCGCAGGGGGGTTGGAAAGCCCAACGCATGTGGATTAACTAGCGCATTTTCTAACCACGGGACTTCCCCGTGTCCTGAAACGGTCTTCAATCTCTCGGCTCCAAAAAAGAAGGCTGTGTTACAACTCCCAAGACGTGCTCACCGCCGCCCGCTCAATCGCATCAGTCGCTGCGTGCTGCTCGTGAATTCAGCCCGCGTCTCTCATTTTCGTCCTAATAGCATGGCACTTTTCATGCCCAGGCTACACCTTCAGCGAGGGTACAGACGTCCTCCCCACATCCGGCCAAAGCTTTGCAGGAGTTCCAAAGGCGGGGTAGGTGCGCTTGGAGTATTGTATGTGTTGGTGGTGCAAGCAGCCCCACACTGGTTCCGCCACCCAAGCCGACCTGTCCAGGGATCCATGAGCCTTTGCACAGTCTCCCCTCCCCCCTGTGCGGGCTGCGCGGGTCGGTGCCGGACAAGGTTTTTTACAGTGCAATTGACCCTTGCCCATGCAGGGGAATCTCGCCTCGCTAATCTTTCCGGGCAGCGCTAACGCCCGATACTCACTCACGTAACACCCACACACGCTGGGCATGAACAAAGCGGCACACTCATCAAGTACTCAGCCCGTGTATATACCCGTCTGCCATTGCATGAAGTGCTTCAACAAGTTTCTAAAGCACCCCAAGCAGTGGCAGACAGGTGTACACACGAGACAGCCTGTTCTGGAATTGGTGTGCCACCTTTTCCATGCCCCGCGTGCCACATCACTGCAGCCAGATGACACAGAGCCTCTCGTTTGCAGTTGTGCGTTACGTCAGGCGCCATTACGATAAACGCTGCAATGCGAATGCGGACCTGTCACATTGTCCGCAAATCTCGCCATCGTGGCTCGCTCACACATAAGGCGTCCAGTGCATCTCTGTGGGGTTTCTCTTTGTCCATAGGTCATCTTCAATCGTGCTCTAGTACGTCGGCTATCTTTGTCATGCCCTTTCGCACTTTGTTCACGTTCTTGATTTCTGCTACACCATGTCGATCAGAGATTACAACGAGATCAATCCTCGGCTGCCGTAAGTCTCCTGGGACCTTGATGTTCCATACCTGCTAATCCTGCGCGGCAGGCCTCTATTGACCCACCCGACGTCCACCTCCTCACTTCCTAGCATCCAGGCAATCCTTGATGGAGCCGCGGTCCCTGTGGAGATGGAGGGTTTCCTCATTGGCTCCGTCTTTTGTGATTCGACAGAACGGCTTCCCAACAACGCCGCCCACTTACAAGCATCCATTTGCACGTCCAAACTGCCTTGGTTGCGGGAGAATCTTTCTGGAATCACCATTCCAAAGATGGTGTGATCAATGCATTGCGGCTCCCGGGCCGCCATTCCACGGTTTGGATAGCAGCAGGGCATCGCCAGCGACTCCACAGCGGCCGATTTTCAGCAAAACGATGCCTGACTGGCACCACGCCATGGAACGTAGGGTTTCAGATTGCTCTACGGACCCTCTTCGTCAATCCCCAGTCGGCGGATACCCAGTCGGCGGATACTTCTGGTCTCAACGCGGTGACAGACGCTCAGATGATGGAAGTGGTACAGATGCCGGGAAACCTCTCGGGATTTCGAAAACCCCTCGAAATCGTGCTTCAAAGGCCAAGCACGAAAAAGAAATGCGGAGCTTTCATGCTTGCAAGATCAAGAAGCTTGAGGACTTCTTATTACACAGCACCATGTCTGATCAGCTCAAGGAGACTGCCAAGTTGAATTCAAATAATTCGCACAAAAGTGGCCTGACGTACAGAAAGGACGACGTGTTGAAGTTTGCTATTCTGTTGTTACAGCATCAGGAAAGCGCGCTTCGTAACCTAATGGGGAAAATAAAGGTTGAATCGCGCAAGCATTGGGAGCATTGTGAACTTCTCAAAGAACTCGACAAGTTCAAAGAGTGGGCTCCTCAGAATCTGCATATCAGTTGGTAAGTACACCCAGCCGCTCGCTACCTTCACCTCGAGTTTCTCTATTGACAAGATTATCAGATAGACATGGGGGCCCCGCTTCAAAGTCGTTCTGCGATACACGACTCTAACGATCATCCAATTTCGGTTTTTTATCTTTCTTCTCATTGAAAAACAGCTTCGTACCCTGTTTGCGCTTCGGTTTCCTTGACACTAATCTTCTTCCATTCCCAATCACGACAATTTCTTGTTGGAAGGTATCAACCTGACGCTCATGGTCACGTGACTTCCCGGAGCCTTATCCGGTCACGTGAGGAAGGACTTCCACATCAAGGATTCACTTCAACATTTCTCTCATTCAGCGGAAAACTTTGATCGGTGGATATCTCGCAAAATTTCTTTTTGTTTCAAGAACACCAAGGCAATAAAGGGTGGCCGTCTCTATATCTCCGGCAGCTATTAGGCGCGAGAATTAAACTCAGGTCCTGTAGTGCATAGTCTCTAAGAAATTACAACCTCGTGATGGGTCAGAACCTCTGGCAAATGGGGCAGCTATTGCATCTTCCAGGTGTACGTGGGCTGTACCATTGTGCAAAGGGAAGAGAACAGGGAACAATATGGAGGCTCGGCTCACATAATTGTCTCAAGCGCGGACCCCATGCTGTAATGCAAGCCAGCCTTCGGTAGTCTTGAAATATATCTTCATCATTAGTCTCTTCATCCCAAATGTCATCAGTCCATCGCAAGACAACTGTAATGCTTGGGTGGATAGCAAAGAGCTCGAGCGGAAGTGCTATGCGCTCGAAGCCCCACCCAGCAACACCCGCTAAGTTAGGAAAGTTCGCGATACTGTTGACGCTTCAATTGTGGCGAAAGCGCGGACCCACGAGGCAATGGCGGAGGCGTGACATCGTGGGAGACTCGCGGTGTCAGTACACTTCTCAATGCTGAGTGACATGTTGAGCTGAGAGATTCTGTATTTTCATAGCCTTCTATCGTAGCTACGAGCCCTTTCCGTGTCGGCACAGCAGTGGTGTTGTGTAGTCGGCCATTTTGAGACTAGCGTAAAGTGGAACCGCCGAACGTCATCGCCTTTCACTCCCGCTTTTTTGCCCGCGGCCAACATCGTAGCCAGCTTCCAACTCCACCCACCTTTCCGCTCCCATATCCTCCCTCCTACATCCTCTTCTCCGGACCACCACAGCACCAAAAATGTCCGCCCGCCGCAGACCCGCGGACATACCCTCAGATCTCAACGGGCCACCTCTCACAACCACCATGCCCGCCTCCTCCACCCCTCCCTCCCCGCGCTCGCCCTTCCTCCCCACGCGCCTCGAAGCCCTCCTCATCTCCATCTACCCGCTCACCCTCTTCCTGGGCTCCGTCTTCTCCACCCTCTCGGCAACCACGCGCTCGGCGCCCTACAGCGCGTCCTCGCAATCGCACCCGCCCGAGTTCGCGCCGTCCTACTTCGCCAAGAAGAAGAACATCTTCAACGTCTACTTCGTCAAGGTCGGCTGGTTCTGGACCACGCTCGCCTTCGTCGTCTTCGTGCTCACGAACCCGGGCCTCGGCGTGCCGCTGCGCCCCTACGTGACGCGCCGCCGCGTCGCCGCGTCGCTGCGCTACGCGGCCGTGACGGCGTGGTGGACGGTCATCACGCAGTGGTTCTTCGGCCCACCGCTGATCGACCGCGGCTTCCGGTTCACGGGCGGCCAGTGCGAGATGCTGAGGGATGCGGCCGCGCGCGAGGACATGTCGGATGCGCGCGAGTATTTCACGGCCGCGGCGTGTAAGGCGGTTGGCGGCCAGTGGAAGGGCGGGCATGATATTAGCGGGCATGTGTTCTTGCTCATTATGGGGAGTGGGCTGTTGTGGTTTGAGATTCTGCCGGCTTTGACGCGCGCCGAGGGGCTTAGGGATGGGAGGAGGGTGCTGTTGAGTGATGGGAAGGTGGCGAGTGTGGCTGTGGAGAAGCAAGCGGAGAAGAAGGAGGCGGCGAACCAGACGCAGGAACAGGTCACCGCTGCGGGAGTCAAGATTGCGTTGGGAGTGGCGGCGCTCATGTGGTGGATGTTGCTCATGACCGCGGCGTTCTTCCATACTTGGTTCGAGAAGTTCACGGGTCTGTTGGTTGCGTTTGCAGGGCTTTGGGTGGTATACTTCTTGCCGCGAGGCGTTCCGGCGCTGAGGGCAGTGCTGGGTATGCCGGGGGTGTAGATGTTCTTGTGTCAGTGAAGCGAAGCATGAGCGGTGTTTGGAGTATTGCGGTGTTTTTCTTCGGTTCGTAGATGGATCGACGACTGCATAATAGAGAAAATAGACTCTCAACTATTGGATTTTACAATTGCAAAGGGATTGAACTAGGACTAATTAAGCAAAGATCCCTCTGCTCCGTCATACGCCGAAGAAAGCAGAGAACCGCAATTGTGCCAAGCGACTACTAGGAACGATGCCTCTGTACGCTCGCAATTAAAGAAGCACATATTGCCTGCACCCACCCGCTCTCCACGCTATATTAACAAGCACAGCCCTCCTTAGGTCCTTGAACATTTGCCCCAGTCAGGTTGACCCTCGCCGAGTCTTCTTGCCTTCCAAGATTCGTCTGCCCACCAACTCCCCTGGGGCCCTTCAAGCTCGTCTCCGGAATTGCGTTCGCAATAGCCGTGAACACCTCCGCGACATTCAAGCCCGTCTTGGCGCTCGTCTCAAAGAAAAGCAAGGCCTCCTCATCCGCATATGCCTTTGCCGTCTTCGTCGGAACCTTCCGCGCATCGCTCTCGCCATCCACATCCTCCTCCTCTTCTGCAGTAGCAGTGGCATCAGCGTCATCTCCACCGGTGCTAGTGTCCGACGCCGGGTTCGCGGACGCCAGATCGAATTTGTTGCCGACGAGCGCAATTACGATGCCAGGGGAGGCTTGTCGCTGCAGCTCCGCGACCCAATGCTGCGCCTTCTGCAGCGACGAGGCCTTTGTGATATCGTAGACGACGAGCGCGGCTTGCGCGTTGCGGTAGTACATGGGCGCCAGACTGGCGAAGCGCTCCTGGCCCGCCGTATCCCAGATCTCGAACTTGATGGTGCGGGTGGGGAGGTTGCATTTCTGCGTGAGGAAGGCGGCTGCGAGAACGAAGATGTAAAAGTTAGCAGGTCTGCTCTGTTGGAGGGGTAGCATGCATGTTGTAGTTCCGCGGAAAGCAACGACAAGTACCACGGTCGAAGACCATGAGCGCAGGTGGATGTACGGGGATACCGGGTGATGGGCAAACCGACCTCCTATTGTAGGCTCCTTGTTCTCTTGGAAGTCGTTGTTCACGAAGCGCATTACTAGCGACGACTAGACGGCGGGTGTTAGCTGTGAAATGGCAGAGTGGGTGGCGCGAGGGGGGTAATGCACCTTTCCTACGGCGGCCTCACCCAGCAGCACTAGCTTGACGCTGCTGCTGGGCTTGGGTGCCGATGTGGCTCCTGAGTCGGCCATTATTTGCGATGTGGGTGCTTGTTGTCTGGGGATGGGAAGATTGGATGGTGGTTCGAGTGCAGGAACGAGCGTGGAGGGAGTTGGGAGGTCTCCAACACTAGTGGTGGGAAGTATTCTGCTTCGATAATAATCAAATCTGTCCTTAATGTGTCGTGAAGAGGTGCCTGATCAGAGGATGGTGGAGGCAGACGGTTTGGGAGTTCACAGCTTGGAGCTTTCAAGATTATGACGACGCTGCACTTGGGCATGCACGTGATCAAGCTTTGGCTTTTGAGCCACATCTGCAGCCACGCCTACACCATCTGTGACAAACACTACAGGCATTCTTCAAGATTTGGTAACACACTAAACTAACCTATACAGTGGTAAGGCAAGTTCTCGAGGTCTAATGGGAAGATTGCATATCCAGAGCTAGAATTCGTTTTGCCGTTAGTCCTACACAGGTAGTCTTTATTCGAGAGAATATCAACCCCGTGCGACACATGGCTCACTCAGGGCCCATAATAGTGAATGTCCGTTATAATTGCTTCATACTACCTCATCTGAGCATTGTGTTGGCTCGTTACTTGGCTCGAGCTTTTCTTTCGACAAGATCACATCCTGCTCAGCTGTATATCCAATTCTAGGAAGTTCTGAATACGTGTTCGAAGAGATTCCCTAGCACGGTGCCATGTTATCTGAGAATTACCAGCTTATTGAAATAAAGCAAAAACTAGATTCACACTATATTGCCCAATATCAATCTCCTCCAAATGGTCCTTTATATCTGCTGAAATCGGAACGATATCCTCATCAAATGTACAGGTGTCAGATCGACATGAGGTGTTCTCCAATCCATCCACTTCAATGAGTAATTAGGGAAATTTAAGAAATTGAGTCCATGACACGCAGCGCTTACGCTCTCAACGCATATCGTTTCTCTGGAAAACAGTCGAGATTCGAACCTCAGATCTGCAGCTTCAACCTCGAAGACCATCGGCACTCACTTCCTCTTCGCCTCGCCAGTCGTTCAAGTGGCAATATATTTCTGGCTTTGGTTTGTGGAGTGACTCGAGGAGGTAAGGTGACACATGGAGGTCTTCTCATAGGTGCTGTAGAAATAGATTCGAAGGATAGCGGAGGTTGGCTACTTTGAGTGATGTCGGAAAGGCTTCAAAGGCATATTGCGTGAATGAAAAGTTGAACAAAACCGTGAGCTTTCAAGAGTGACAGGACAGTATGGCACACTGCGGCAAGCTAGTATTCCATAGTCCCAAAGACACCGTCGTCGTCCTCGTCCATGCGATGGTCTCGGGCAGGGGAGTGCTCGTCGAACTCGTCCATGTCTTCTAAGCCTTCGTTATGCATGTCCACATCTTTGCTTTCGTAAGCATGTGGCAAGTACGAATTGCTCCGTATCGAGGACTGATTCGCCGTGATAGTGGTAGTGCTGCCAGATATGGACTCCGACTTCATGCCCAAAAAGCGTGCGGGTAATGGTGGAACGGGGGGAACATCAAAGCCGAGTGCTGCAGGTCCGCTCTTAGGTGTGCCGTAACTACAGCTTAACAAGCCCACGGCGGCGGCAAGGTCGGCTTGGTCCTCGTCATCGTAGTTGGACCCCGCTACCGAAGTCCCAGATGTTGTTGGACGCCCGTCGTTACTCCATTGGCGGTAGTGGGACGAGTGGTTTTGACCTACGTCGGAGAAGGCGGATGTGGACTGGTAGGACTGTGAGTATGCACTGCTGGTTGCACTGAAGCGTTTCGACCGGCCAGAATTAGAGCGGCTGGTAGAGTATGACCCAATTACTTCATCAGGCTGAGGTGGAGGAGTCGTGTCGGTCGAGCTCAACTCGTCATCACGGAGGTCTGAAGACCCCGATGCGGCGGGTGAGGCAGAAGAATGGTCGCTGTTCCCTGACTCGCCTTCTTGATTCATAGCGACCAGGACCGAAGCGGCCTCAAGGAGCTGTACTTGCTGATGCTTGGAAATAAGCAATTTGGATGTATACTGCCATTCAGGCGTGTGCTCCCAGCTAAAACAACGCGTCAACGCAGAAACAAAAGAATCATCCGAGTGCGTGCGAGGAGAGACAGGCATGGAAATCGCGCAGGCAGAACGTGCAAGAGTGAGTATTTAGGGATTAATACGCACAGGTGTTTGGTCAGGCAACTGCTGTCTTTGAGAACAGTTAGCCTAGCTCAGTCATGATAGAAAGTATGTATATTACGTTTATAGCCCTTGCCACATTTCTCGCACTTCAAATCGCTGCCGCTGACAAGCCTCTTGTTGGCTTTTAGGTGCGAGCCTTCGGACGCGCGTCGTAGCCTGGCCTTATTGTTCACTTTTTCTGTCTCTGGCATTGAAGCCAACATTGGCCCATCGGCCACGGCTGTCTCGTTATATATAGAACCATTGTTTGGAAGACTGTTTGGCATATCCGTGTGTTGGAGGGTGGGTCCTTGGAGTCTTAGGTTGGCCCTTGAGGTTGACGACATACTCTTGCGTCGCCCCACCCGGTGGGCCGGATTTATCGAACCCACAGATAGAGAGTGCGAGTGTATACGCGATTTCGAAGGGAGGCTCGATGCGGTCGAGCTTAGGGAGGTTCGGTGCTGACTGGAGGTTGGACGAGCCGGAGTGGGTTCCTGAATGGTGGCAATTAGGTTACGATCAGTGAATAACAGTGATCGATTTCGTGGTGAATTCTTGCCTTGAGGACGGTCATATTGACGGTTGTAGGTTACCAAAGCCCGCTGCTTTGTCCGTTCCAGGGTTGGCCTTCAGTCACGCAGTTTGTGGTGTGTTCAGTGCACAGCCCCGCCGAGGAGCTGAAACTCGAGATTTGGCAGTAGGTTGACGGCAGCGGCATTAACAATACAGCGAAAACAGAACGCTGACTGGGTGTACAGAAGAGGGCTTGAGACTCGTCGGGGAGGTGGATTGTTCAGCGCCAAAATTATGTTGCGATTCCCCGCGGCCGGTAATTGCGCTATTACGGTTTCGGATGCTACGCAACAGCAGTCCTAAGACGGCTCGGAATGCGCGGAGGAGGCAGCCAGTGGCGTGAAAGAAAAAAGGAACGACGAATGTTAACAAGACGGACGAAGTGGAGCTGTTGGTGGAGAAAAAGGGTGCATGGCTGCGGCGCATCCAGGTGGCCAGCAGGCCAGGTGATATCTCCAGGCTCACTGGGTGGCTGACCTCCAACTTGGTCCCTGAGTGGTGGTTTGCCGCCAGCCCCCTCATTGGGATAGGATCACCCTGCGCAGTATTGGCCAAGTGCCGCAATCTTGCCAGTCAGTCCAGTGCCATCTGGGCTCCGTGGGCTCCTCCCAGCGCCGCGCGAGGCTAGTGAGACGGCGGCCACGACATGCTCGCTGGGCACTTGATGGGCCCTTAATCAGCGGGCGATGAGCGGCGGATCATCGAGAGAACGGCTGGACCATGCGTGGATGAGCCACGATGGAGGCAAGCCCGTGATGGAGGAATCAGCAGGAGTGCGCCATCCACCATCGATGGCGCGATAGCACCGGGGCCAAACCAGCCACCGAGCCGGCTGTCGTCTGGCAGGCGTCCCCCGTGTTCCGTCCCTCCCCCACTTTCTTCGGGCAGCCTAGCAGGAATTGTGTTTATCAGGTTTCGTACAAAGGTACCTACCAAGGCAGATCTTCAGCCGTTTTAGATGCTATTGTTTGCAGTGCTGCGTTGCATTTTCAATAATCCAGATACAAGCTGTCAGCCTTTTCCGTTATCCGAGCGAAGGGAGTTGTAACTGTGCCTATGCACGTACAAAGGCATTTTAAAGATACGAAGCGCTGCAGACAGTGGCAAGCCAGATTGTCATCGCTCTCCTATGTAACTATTCGAGTTGTTGTCGCAAACCTTCCAAGATTCGTTGCGAACTGTACCACGGTTCTCGCCAGGTACCATGCACCCTTCACTTCAGCACCATGGTTCGGAGCCGGACACCCGCATGTTACCATCAGGCTATCCAGGCACGCCAGGTACGAGGCCTGCAGGCGTCGCTCGTGCAGACACCCAGTTCTGTCCACGGGCGGTGGCATTGCCAAGCTAGGCCAAGCACCTGGGTAAGCTGATCGAGCCAAGGCCATTTACTAACACCATGCGGCCACATCGCGATATCTCCTGTCAGTGACCGTTTTGAAGACAGCCAAGCCCCTTGCTACATAGAATGTCGAGCATGCAAAAGCCCCCCTCGAGCCGGACCAATAGCCGCCATGGGCCAAGCGCGAGGCTGAAGGTTTTGGGTGCTTCGCGCCTCTGTGGGAGGCAGTGCACAGAGATCGAGCCAGAAACCTCGTTTGTGCAACTCATGCTAAGTGCCCCTTTTCGTCTAGCACCCTCCCATTTCAGTAAAGTCCTCGACGCCTCCAATGCTTCAACTCGTTCATGAAACCCTGGTTGGTCCGCCGAACTCTAGACCGACAGGGCGAAGCGACTTCGTGTTCTTCTTCCCTTTTTGATCCTTCGGCGCGTTGGGCTGGCCCAGCTGAAGATTTGCTATAACCTCCCACCTGCCCCTTGTGATCTTCGTCCTGCATTTCACCCTTCACGAAATCATGACGCGTCTGATCCTTCTAAGCACGATCTTTTCCCTAGCATCGTTCGTGGTCGCAGAGTATCCCAGCTGTGCTGTAAGTATAGCAGTGTCCACGAAGTCACATGAGTCCAAGCGCTGACTGTTACGCCTCCTAGTTGTCTTGCTTAGACGATGCTACAGAAATCAGTGCAACGGGCTGTTCCGCCACCGATGGATATTGCCTTTGCACCAATACACCTTATCTTGAAGAAACGACATGCTGCATTCGCTCCAGCTGCGATTCTGCAGATCAGACGAGTGAGTCCTTTTATTGCTTCACGTTGTAGTGGAATCTCATCTGACCTACTCGTAGCTGCCTTCGACCAGGCGGTTTATAACTGCGCCACGTAAGTTTCCGCCGTCAACACACCTAGTGTAGTACCCCTTGATAGCCATCTCTGGAATCGGGTACGACGTCGGTGAACAAAGATGTCAATCTAACTGTCGTCCAGATGGGGTGTCACCCTAAATACACACCTGTCGGTCACCTGTAGCTCCGCAACTACTAGTAGGATCCCATTTTCTCTCACCACATTACGTTTGACTACCTCAACTGGCCTTTACTGACAACCATCACAGCAACCGCAAGCGCCGCATCCGTCGCTACTAGTTCTGCCGTGTCGTACTACTCATCTAAACCCAATTCGTACAAATACCCAAAAAACAAAAAGGGTCTCTCGTCCGGTGCCAAGGGGGGGATAGGGGGCGGGATAGCCCTCATCGTGCTCATCTTTACTGCCCTGTCCGGCTTCCTTATTAAGCGTCGCAACTCCAAGAAGGCTGCAATCACTGCAGCGGCAGCACCACCAACAGCAACAGTCCCAGGAGCACCGGCTGAGTATCCAGGAAAAGAGGCCGCCACAGTCACAGTCAACCCCGTCCCATCACCGGCACCGCAATACTCAACCCAGGGCGGCCCATACGCTCCACCTATGCAACCCCAAGGACAGTATCCGCAGCCCATCTACGCGCCACAGCCTCAATACCCAGCACCGCCTCAGCAGCAGCAATACGCCCAATACGGACAGCCACCGCCGCAACAGTATCCACAACCGGTATATTCTCCTGGACCAGAGTTGCAAGGCTCTCCGATAGGACAGCAGCCACAGCAGAACTTCTCGGGTGCGGAGCTCTCTGGAACGTTACCGCAACCTAAGCACGAAGCACCGTGAGCCCAAAATTTTGATGAGACTCGCTCTAGGCCGCATGTTGTAGGGTGTTATGGAGTTAGGAGTATCGTTGTGGATAGGTAACTAGGCTAATGGAGATATGTTTACGAATCTTTTGCGTCACATCTACAGATGGCCTTGGTAATTGGAAGCGGGAGGTTTCAAAGCGCCACAATATCTCATAAAATCCATGGATGTCCATAAGAATCTTGCAGGAGTGCAGAAACGATTTGACCGATATCGGCGTCGCCAGATCTAACCGCTTTAGATAACCGATAAGTCGAGGTCACTCGACAGCATTGAAGCCAACTAACATGAAACCAAAGCTTCAGCTATTTGTTTTAGATTTCGTCCCACTTATAAGCGTCAGCATATCCGGAATTCGCAGTCTGCGAGAATCTACCATCATTACGCAATATACAACGCTACTCCACGCTTGCTGGACTCCATTCTGATCATAGCGTCAACGTAGGCCAACAAATTCGCCGTCAATCTGCGCACAGTCAATATTGTCGCTGCTTGAGATGCTTGAATGGGCCATCGAGCACCGAAATAGGTCTATCATTTTGGCTGGCTTAATACGAATTGGATATGACCCCAAGGACAGCATACCACATTTCTACAACGATGATACTTCTGCATGCTACAAACTGAAACGTTCAGGGCCAGAGCACTAATTCGCAAGTAAATACTAATAAGATGTCACCAGGCTCTGGCCCCCCGGGGCTAGCTTTTGGACCCTAGGCGCAAGAGAATGTACAAACAGAAGCGACTCAACTTTGACTTCAACGCCTACCAGCCACACGCAAAAAACCCATCATGTTAACCCTCGCATTCTCCAACTAAACCAAAAGCCAACCCCACCCGCCAGCTCGAAGAAGCCGGCCGTTCTCCTCAAACCATTCACAGCTCAAACCACCTTACCCGCAGCCTTCCTAATCACATCCGCCGTGAACTTCGGCATACTCAGCGTCGGGAAATGCCCCGCCGCGCACCTCTCCACGTCAAACAGGCTCCCCGGGGTATTCGTCATCAGCTCCTGCACAAACGCCGGAATACAATTATCCTTCTCGCAGATCAGGTACGTCGACGGAATCGAGCGCCACGCCGCATGTGTCGCGTCCGAGACCATCGGGCCCCAGGAGTGGCTCTCCAACTTCTCCGCCATAGCCTTTCGAGTCTCCGGGTCTAAATCGTCGAAAAAAAGCGTCTCGGGGTCTCTGACATAGACGCGGTTGTCGGACTGATCAAATTGATTATTATTTTTAGCGCGCGAGGGGGTGTTGGAGCGTAGTGAGCTTTTTTTTTTTTTTTACTGACCTCCAGCCGCATCCACGGATACGGCTCGCCTCCCACAGCGCTCTGCCCGTTCAGCCCAACCTCCAGCACCACAGCCGCCAGATACACCAACCACACCACCCCTCCCTGCAGCCCGTACGCTTCCCGCTCGATCTTACCGAGGCCTTTCATCGCCTCGGACCCGGGCACGCCGGCCCAGGAGTGCACGACCACGACGACGGCTTTGCCCGCGCTGATAGGCGCCATGGCAGCGTCCTGGATCACGGAGACCTCGCCGCTGAAGTCCGCGTGGGGCGGGTTGGCGCCGACGGAGGGCAGCGTGACGGGGATGACGTCGTAGCCTGCCTGCGTGAGGAGGGAGGCGGTGGAGGTGTAGGCGTCGAAGTTGCTAAAGGCGTCGAAGTTGCTAAAGGCGCCGGCGACGAAGAGGATGGTTGGTTTGGGGGGTGGCATGGTTGGCGGAGGGGCTGCGATGCTTTACAGGTGTTGAAAGAAGAGGTGTGGATGTTACGACAGACTAGCGTGCTGACAGGCAGTTTATGGCTTTATATCTAGATGGTAGGGCGGAGATCTTGTTGAGGCTTATGCAGACGGTGTGGTTAGGTGCGCTGCGCTAGCTACTGGCCACACCTGACTGGAGGAATTTGGTGTCTATCTTGATAGTGCTGACTGTTCGAGAGCGGCAACCTTTTTCGAACTGCAAGTTCATTCATCGAATGTGGCGGTTCAGCTGAGAGTGCGGCTGAGAATGTGGCTTCAGGCAACTACATTTCTTGTTGCCTAAGACGACCTTGAGTCAAAGACCTTTTACTTCAAATGAGAACTCAAGTATCTGTACTCTATTATTCAAGGCTGGATGTCTGCCGAATGGAATATACCATACCAACATTTGTATGAGTTCTCAGTTTTCTGTGCTGGGCGGAAGCGCCCCAACGTGCCGTTCACCGCAACCGCCCAAATGCCTCCCGCGCTCCTGATCATCGACCTCCAAGTTGACTTCGTTCTCTCCATGGCATCCTGAAGAACAATCACATCCCTCTTGGCCCAATCCTCGCACGCCTGGTACCTGTATGTTCTGAATTCAAGGAGAAGAAATGGCCTCCCACAGCCATCCGCTCCGAATACTCAACCACGAACCAATCGGACGAGAAACTTGTTCGTCATCTGAAAAGACTAGAAGACAAAGAGTTCGAGGGGATACCCAGTAACGATGAATGGCTATCCGGTACTCACACCGGCTCACGGCCTTTCTGTGCGCCAGGATCCACGGGCGCATCATTTCCAGAAGGAGTACAGGGCCTCGTGGATCGCTACGCCGGCACAACCATGACGAAGAACTAGTACTCTGCCTCCACCGAAACCGGATTACATGAATGGTTGCAAGCGCACGGGGTGGGAAATGGACCGTTGTATTTCGCAGGAGTGACGACGAATAACTGCGTTCTGGCGACCCTCACAGACGCTTTCTTCCAGCAATACCAGGTCCGAGTAATCCAAGAGTGCGTAGGAGCTGTGAACAAGAAACTAGAAACTGAGGCTTTCAAGAAAGATCGAGAAGTATTATGGCGATATAGTGAGCGCCGAGTCCATCACTGCCCAGCCGTCGTCTATCGGCAGTGGTAAAAAAGGAGCCGAAGTCGAAGTAGCTAGTACATTTCCACCTACTCAAACTCTGCACGGGGTTTCCGGATCAACTCTTTGTTAGCGTGTAATGCTCTGCCTCTGACAAAAAGGCATTCTGTATACTCGAAAGCGTTCGCCCGCCATGTCGACGCCGAGACGCGATTGCCCGAATTCGCTGCTTTAAGCCCGAAATGCAAGACGCCAGTGTTGATTGGTGCGGACGGTAAAATAGTCATGGAGTCGATGGCGATTCTACGGTACCTGAAGACATACTATGGCCATTAAGTGGGCACTAGAATGATGCCAGGTGTGAAGAATAAAGATAAACATAGCGCTGACCTACAGCGCTTCCATGAGTCGAAGAACCTCCATAACAAATTTGACGATATCGAGTTGTTTTTTTGCCGAAGTGGGACCAAAACCCGAATCGAGAACGCATTTTGGAGGCGTATAAGAGGATACTTGAGGAAATGAAGTTTCGGGAGTCGTATCTGAAAAAGAGCGTATTCGTGGGAGAAGACGCGTTCTCGTTGGCGGATTGTGCATTCTATCCGAGTCTGGCATCTTTAGTACATCGAGGGCTGGACCTGGAAAGGGAAGGGTTCTGGGCGTTGAACAGATATTTCCAAGCGGCGACGAAGATGGAATGCGCAAAATAGTCTTTGCTGGTGAAGTACGAGACTGTGGGACGGAAGATGTTCTTGAAGGTTTATGAGCTAGAAAGGAAGGAGAAAGAAGGTAAAGACTGCCGGTAAGGCGTCCTACCCCAGTCAGCAGGATGTAAACCTCGCGCGATTAGCTTGGCCTTTTATACGCGATTAAAAGATCTCGCTAACAGCTGCACTGGAATTGAACATCGTGCTCTCTGATAGTTAATAGAAAAATCGAGCTTCTTCTGGGGCGGGCGTGCTGACGCGCAGCTGCTTCCCAGCTTATTCGCTGTCTACTGCTGCTCATGTCTGCAGTCTTGAGCCTGGAACATCCTCCCATCTCTCTTCCAATACCGTGGAATACCCCAGAAAGTATCTCCCAACCATTCAGAGACGTGGATGAAGGCGCTGGAGGATTGCTCACCGTTCAGCCTTACACCTCCCGACACCTCGACAGCCGCCTCTCTAAGCGCCCGCGCCCGTCCCGATCCCGAGGCCCAGTTAAACTTCACCCCTCGCTGCAGCCCTCTCACCCTCACGTACGGCAGCATCTGCTTGCAAGCTGCAGGCACCCCTATCTTCGCCTCCTTCCCCTTTGGCACGAGCTGAGTCGGTCTCCGGCCTGTCTGGAGCGCCCCGGACGCGTTTCGAGCAGCGCATGCGTGATCGAAGTGCAGACGCCACCAACATTTTGACGTCTTGGGTGTGCTGCGATGAGATGTCGATCGCGCGTTGCCTGCATGTCCGGCGTTTGATGAATGGGGATTTCAGCTCCGACCGTGCGGGTAAAGGTGGGAGGGGTGCGCCGTTGGTAGGGCAGAGACAGATGCAGGAGGGGCCTGGGGTGGGTTGTTGGTAAGTTGAAGCGCAGGTGATGAAGGTGACGCAGGCACGCAGGGTCGAAACTGAAGCAGCATATGCCGACTGTTTCCTTGCATTAGTCTCGGTGGTAGACGGAAGTCTTGTGCGGTCGGGCATCGAAATCCATCGCGCGTTGGGCCCAGAGTAGGTTGGCGTTGAATCCTGTCTATATTTAGGCCCGCCAGATGCGCAGCCTTGCTGGAATTGGTGCGAGGGGTAGAGAGATCGTGATTCTCAAACAGAGGCTGCACAGCCATCACGCAATTAGATATCTCACAGCGGTGGTGGTGGGACATGTGAGCTCGAACTTGGTCTCGATGGCTAGAGTGCTTCATGTACCGATAGCGGGAGTTGGTTCTCCAGTTCCAAGCTTCGAATGTGCAAAAGCACGTGACCATCACGGCTTCTTCCATATCTGCCACTATTGGCTTGAGGGAGGAGGCCAATCACCTTCTGAATACTACAATATCCTTCTTGAATCATAGGCTGCGGCTATTCTCGTCGGTGCCCGGCGGCGCGTTTGGGAATCGTACGAGCGAAACTAGTGAAATGAAAGATTATGCGAGGCGAGAGCCCTGACCATGAGTGGGCGCGCATATTGCGCACAGACTCGAGCAGCTGGAGCGTGCTCTGAGGGATCGGTCTTCGAACTGATCCTCCATGTCTTGTGGCTTATGAATGTCGCGAAGATGTCGCGAACTGATTGAGTCGGAAGCGTCTGTCGCACCGGAAACCCTATGTCTTGCCTCGTCAGGTCGCACTGCTTTCGAAGGAGAGCCCGAGCCTGGGGGCACCAGGTCCACATGCTGGGATTGCCACGTTCCTCGAAGGATCTAGGCGTCTGACCGTTGACCAGAGGGCCTCACCATGTCGGCATCAACGCGCATTTCAAATAGGTGGTCAGAAAAGAGATTTCGACAGTGCGAAGCCCGCCCAAAAGGGATAAAGGTATGGTGCGGATCGGGCGTCCCGTAGCGCGTTGCAGACGCGATGTACTTTGGCCTGTCGCCTAATCTCGCGGAAGCCGGTGCAAATGGATGGTGCGCGGCGTTGATCAGCCCACGACAGTGACAGGGGCGCTGGGAATGCAGAAGTGCATGTTTGAAAGCAGCCTCGATGCCGGACTTCGATCGCACGTGGAGGACGGTGCAACGCGCGCCCAGTCCCAGCTGGGGGTGCTGAGAGCATGCTGAGGGTGTGCAGACATGTAGGGTGGGCTGCGGTCGTGGTAATTTGGTTGCTTGGGTCGGCAGGAGACTTGAATGCCATCATTTAGTCCTGGAGATGTTGTGCTTGGCCCTGACTCCACGTGATACTGCTGATATTCTGCTCCATGCGCCGAGGATGCAAAGTGAATGGCCTTGGAATTCCATTTTACATTCATTCCATGTGTGTAATGAGGTTCGAGTGATCTATGAGGCTCGCAGTCAATCCAAATTACAGCTCCGATTTGAAGTCTCTACAGTGCCACGGGCTTTACATGCTATTTCGAATTTCATCTTTGGTGCGAGACGGCTCAAGGGGTCAATCAGAGTACTAGAGGACTAGTCCGTGCAGTGTCCACCGTTTGAGAGTCTATTTACGGAAAACCTGAAGCCTGCGAAGGAAGTGTCGAAGTGGATGATGAAGATTGTTTCCTCCCATCGTACAGCCAAGAGGGTGGCATTACAAACTCCCACCCATCGCCCTGGAAGGCTGCCCTCGAGCCTCACCGGTCAGTGTGGGGCCTGTCCAGGGTGCCAGGGTGCGAGCTCGTTGACTGCCGCCGATCCACTTCTGAGGCCTCGGCTTTGGGACATGTTTAGCTCCCCAGAAGGGTTTCCAAAGCCCACGGCGGGTCGAGGTCTCCGTCGAGGGATTGGGCAGCGTGTGCTAATTGTCAGAGCACCTTTTGCGTCCCTGAACGCGGGTTGTATGTGTGCCGGAGCGATGCAAGCCCGTCTGACCTCCAGCGCGCGGCCAATCACCGCATGGTTGAGGGTGTTGGGCGTGTGCGATCTGTTCCCAACGGCCATCCCGCAAAGCCGCGTCCTGTATCAGATCCATCCACGAGCGAGACACGGGCTCCGCAGCGGCGAGTCCGCGGCAGACACACATTCATCGATCCGAAGCGAAGTAGCCGCCAGTCTGCTCCCGCTCCAGGGATGTGGTATGGGTGTCTACGCGAGCACCACGTCGACGGCTTCATCAACCACCACGGCTGCTATCTTATTGTACTCTGCCCTCTGTCTCTGCCGATAACGCTCTGTGGCTGCATGCTACGCAGCGCGGGCTGAGCTCACGCAGCGGACCGAAAATAGCGCCCTGCTCGACGCCTCATGGCCCGAGCAGATGGCGTGTGGGTCAGCGTTGTCGAGCTGGGGGGTCTTGTTGGTTCCAGGGGCACAGGGGCATCCTCCCGTCAACCGTTCACCCTCAGCCCTCTCCTCGTCGCCCGGGCCGACCAAGCTTTCACGCGAGACGGGGCCATCATGAGCCTCCAGCACAGCCATTGGCGTCCCCCGCATGTCCAAGCACCTTGCCTACAATATCTCCTAGGCCCGGCTGCCATGAGTGCACTAATGTCGCCAACACAGCCCTCCTGGATTTATTTAGACTCTTCCACAAACAAGGCTGGAGCACTGCTCTCGTCAGAGCTCTGCCAGAAGCCACTTGGATCGGCGCATCTCCCGTGGTCCTTATTCCTCCTTCACGCGCCGCTCCATGCTTATTTCTCCATGACCAGCCCGGCTCTTCACTGAGACATGACCTCCGGCCTCTCGCTGCTTGCACTCTCTCCCCACTGGCGCTACCGACCGCTGGTCTTTTCTGGGAACTGATCGTGGGCGCAGTGCAGTTCCAGTTGGGGCACTACAACACCAAAATACCAGCACCAAAATAACAGGTTGCGCAACCCGCTTTGGATATATACCCTTCAGCCCCTTCCTATTAGCCATGGAGTCGACCGACGCGAGCGGCCGCCCACTGGCAACCATCATCCCCCACTCCTCTCAAGGCACCACTACTCAATCGTCTTCCCTTCGCAAACGTCGCCGCGACTCGCAGTCTTCTGACGAAAGAGTCAAGTCTTCACGGCGGCGCCCCACATCTAGCAAGGACGTCTTCGTTGGCCCCCACTCCGGGTTCTCCCGCGGACAAAGCTCTCCCATGCAGCGCTCCACCAGCCCTACGAGCAGTATGCAAGCCGATGTCAAGTACACCAGTACTGGCCGTATCAGTAAAGCCAAGAAAGGTTTGAAAGTTCACAACTGCGAGTGTGGAAGAGTAAGTCTTATATATCCATTCATCTTCGTCTCAGCCCTGTTCCTTCAGCCCGCAGCTCCACTGGCTGAACTTGCGGCTGGCGTCACCTTGCCCTCGCCTGTTGCATCAGTTGCTTCTTAAGTGTTGCTGGTGTCAGCAACTCTTTGAATTTGGTTACTGCCGGATGGTTAGCTGACTTCGTCTTAGTCTTATACTCGTGCAGAGCATCTAAGGTATGTCCTTCATCTCAACAGCTCAATTAGCGCGTAGCTGATGCATTCATTCAGGCGGCACCAGAAAAACCACAATCAAGATGCTCTGGTGTGCAACTTCCCACGCTGTGGGAAGACTTTCTACAGACCGGACTTGCTTCAACGACATCAAGAACGACAGTGAGAATCCTTGACCGCCATCACCGTTTCTGGACAGTGCTGACCGCCATTAGTAACGAGCCTAGCAAAGACCAATCTCGCAGGACCTCGCTATATAGTCAAGGCTCTGCTGCAGAAGTCGAGGGACCACTAATCACTTCAGCGCCCTCGATGTCGTCTTCTCTTCCAATGGATGCCGTGTCACGGACCCACGACAACCCGAGTACTTATCTCCCGGTTTCTGTCTCTCCCATGCAAGAACAGACCTCAGACCCAAGGTATAAAGCCGCTCAATTCCTTACTCCTCAGACTCCCACGTCAAAATCCGGTACTTTTCTTCGTCCGTCTACCAAGTGAGTTTCAGTCTGGAGCAACACCTGGCAGTCATAACCACCTGAAACCGTCCTTTGTCTTTCTTTGTCGTATGGCCATCTTAGGACAACTACTAATGTGATTACAATAGTGCCACCAAGCAGCAGCGAGCCTACGGTGCGTCCACTCGGCAACAGTCGGTTGCTGTCCCTACAGGTGCCCACGATAGCATGACCACCTACAGCGGCATCGATTTTAACCCATGGAATGGCTCTCCAAACTATTCGTCCTCCAGCGGTTACGCATCTCCCGGTCCTGGTCACGACTATTCAATGTTCGTTGGCCAACCGTTCGGATCAAGCTCAAATCGCACTCGCACTTCCTCCAATGCATCCTTCATTGAACCTCAATGGAGCTCTTACCCTTCAACACGTTCGCCAACTTCTGCAACTTCCACGATGCCATTTTCATGGTCAGGGACGGAAAAGAGTCCACACTTGGGACTGGCGTTACAAATGGTCACGACGTCCGGGGGCTACCCAGTGCCCGGAATGTCTGCTCCAGCAGACATGCCGGGCTTCCTGATGTATCCAACCCAGAAGACGGCTGCGCAAAGAGACGAGGAGGAGCAGCAGTTCCTGTTCCCAGAACACCTTCTCGGTATGGCTGACACCTACCAATTCCAAATCGAGCAATATCTTGACAACTACTGGAGGCTATTCCACCCCTCCTTCCCCGTCATACACAAGCCTACCTTCGTAAACGAATCTCCCCTGCTCAGAGCAGCGATGATTGCGATTGGGGCTCAGTACACGGATGATTCGGGAGCCAAGGCAAAGTCCAGGCTTCTGCACGACAAGTGCGTAAAGCTACTAAATCAGGTATGAACCCTTGTGCAGATGCCCACCATTGCTTTGTGCTAACAGGGAATAGCGAGATATTGAAGTCACCCAATCTTCACGTCTCTGTGACTTACAGTGTGTCTTCTTGGTCGAAGTTCTGTCCCAGTACCGCGCCCGTCGTGGCGCGAAGATTCTCACTCGAAGATTTGAGGAAATGTACCGAAAGGTGAGTTATAATGCTTACAGACGCTGCGAATCCAATGCTGACACAGGGCAGCTTTCTCAAGATCCCAAGGTGCAGACTTCAACGACCCTCGAAGCTCTCGCTTCTCAGCCTCCTATCTCGAACGAACAACCCACATACGACCGCTGGTGCCAGTGGATTGAGCTGTCCAGCCGACAGCACCTGCTTCTTTGTTCTTACATTCTTGAGACGCAGCAAACGATTCTTCTAGCTCGTCCTCAACAGCATTCTCTTTTACCACATCTTTCTGGCGACGCACTTCCATTCCCATCATCTGTCCAATTATGGGAAGCTCCCAGCGCAGTCGATTGGGCCATATCTTTACACCAGCAGCCGCAAACCCCAGGATACGTATACGAAGTAACCTCCGATATCGGAGTATCTACCCGCTTTTCACCTCTCGATGTGTTCCAGTCTTCGCTTCTGCTAGCGACACATTACAACCACTTCCACAATTCAACGCCATACCTCCAGCCTCCATCTTATCCATCGATCGATCATCTCCTCGACCCATCTCCTCTCACTCGGCATCATCTTTTCACTGCTCAGTTGCTGCAGCATGTTCCCGTTCGCGCTCTCTTGGCGGTCTCTGGGGAATCGTGGATACTTTCAGAAAAGGTCGCCTCAATAGCCTCATTTGCAGGCTACAAAGCAACGCTGAGGACATGGCTGAACGATCTGTGGACACCAGAGGGCCCAAATGTGAAGCCAGTCAGAGCAGCCTTGAAGGTCGCCATTAACATGTTGTGCCACGCCATGACTGCTCCCGCTCAGACACTCTGTTTGGAACCGGGTGCCGAAATGGGGCTTTACTATGCAGTTCTAGTGCTATGGGCCGTCGCTCTCGCCTCAACATCCAGGCAAACGCAGGCGCAAAACCCCCGTCACCCTCAGCACCGTTCTCCGAGCCAGTCACGACGCCCGTCGCAAGGAGCTGTTCCGCCCTTCTCACCGCCAGGATATGGCGCTTCGACGAACCTAGCACAAAACCCCTCTCAACTACAGCAGTCAAATAACCCCGCTCACCCGTCCACTACTAGCTTCCTTCCCACCGTATTGGCCTCCCAGGCACGCCCATCAAACACAAACAGCATGCTTCAATCCGACATCACCTTCACGTCTTTGACCTTCCTCAACCTCGCGTCCCATGAGCTAGACACTCTGGGAATCTCGCCCTGGCCTCGCGACCTAGCACAGTGGCAACAAGGCGTCGGTGCCTTGCTCCGCTGGGCGAAGATGAGACTACGCAGCGGTGCTATCGATGGCAGGGACAGTGTCGTTAGCACCGGTCCCACTAGCGGAAGCATGAGCAGAGGCACCGACGGACTGGGCGAGCTCTTGGATGGGGTCGTCAGCGTGCTGGAGAAGATCATGAGCCGTGGGTGGGAAGGCTGGGGCATATAACTCTCTTATTCGCTTCAATTCTCCTCTTCTCCCCTTTCTAGGTAGAGTTCTTTCATATGTGCTGGCGACATTAGGGCATCTTTTCTTCACCTTCACCATCATCTTTATCTTCGGATTCTTCTTTTTTTCTGGGCGGAAAATTCATTCACGACTTCAACGTTTCACGTCACGTCTGTCTCCGAATTTTACATTTCAAATACTGTGCTTGTACGTCTTATCTACACGCATCGCGTTCTGTACTTCTATTCTTCTGTTCGTCCTCAGCGTCTTCTGAGACAGCTTGATCGGACTTTTCCAAGTATCTTCTGGGCATAGCATTCACGCGTTTGGAATTAGACATGTACGAGCAAAACGGCGTTGGTTTTTGATATACCCTGTCAGGTCTTTCGCATATTTTCAAATAAAAAACCTCGTCTACTTCCTCCAACTCGTCGCCTTTCGTTTTGCTTCCATTTCCTCCTTTTGCATGCAAGCGCTCAGCGCTCCAACGTGACTCGACCTCACGGGACTGAAGACTCAGCCCTTTCATGTCGCGTATCTCTTCATCATGTACAGTACATATAGTATTTCGCTTCTCAATCGCTTGCGTGCAAACCAAAAATTTGCAGTGTGAAACCCGATTTATTATCACCCCACCATCGTCTGTGCTAGCTCATCAACGTCACAGCGCGACCAAAAAACATCCAAACCTCGTGTTCTCTCTCTCTCTCTCTCCTATCTCGAAAAAAAGTGATACAAGACCCTTTTTGAACAGCACCGGCAAAAAAGCATACCCCCAACGTCGTTTCAACCCCACGTTGCAAAAAAGTCGATAACATCATCATCCCTAACCCCCCATGTGCAAAAGGTCGGCACATCATCCCAACCCCGTGCTCCCAACCATCCATCCCACCACCCCCCTCCCAACATCAATACGCCTGCACATACCACTCCCCCTTGTCCACATCATAGCACTCGCCCGCCTCCACGCGGTAGGCGGTAGAATGGCAATCGAACGCCTTGCACAGATTCACTATTGCGAGGTGTCAGAAAAGAGCTTCAGCTCGGCGAGGGAAGCGCGGAGGTTCGAGGGGCTGGGCTGCGCGGGGCGGGGCGGGGCTTACCAGTCCCGTTTGACCATTCCAGCCGCACGGAGCCGGCGCGCACGGCGGTGCAGGTGTTGTTTACGGCCTGTGAGGGCGGGGAGGAGGCGGGCGAGCAGCCGGGGAAGGGGTAGAGGGTTATGGCGGCGAGGGGGGATGCTGGAGGGGTGGGGGATTGGAGGGCGGAGAGGGGATGGGAGAGGGTGAGAAGGAGGAGGGTTGTGAGGTGGAGGAATGGAAACATAGTGCGCGGAGATGGGAGGGTTGGATGGGAGATGTTTGAGGGGAGGTTGAGGATAGCACGAGGATGCGAAGGGCAGAATGGATTGCAGATTTGGGGGGATGGTGTCATTTATGGGTCTATGAGGGTGGGATATGGGATGACTAGCATTACACAAGATGTTGATGGTACGCTACCGTGCCTTCGATATGTTCTTTGTTGCCGCCGCTCGTGTGATCATGGTAGTACATTGATGTGATGAACCACTATTCCAACTTGACGGCGGTACGGGAAGCCTTGAAGGCAGGCCATTGTGTCTGTAAACTCAGCGAGATATGATTACGCTTTGCGAGCCTCAGGCGACCTTATGAAGTTTGCGCAGGTTCCACAACGGGCTTCTCATCATCCCACCGCTTGCAGATGGCCGTCCATCCCCTCCCTACAACGTCGGCTTGGACACTGCCCTCGCCGAGCAATCGAAGTGCCTCGGCGAGGGGATAGAGGTCGCTTTCGTACAGGGCTTCGTCCGAGTCGACGCCCGTCCCTGCCGTTCGCTGCGGCACCCAGCCCTTCGGCTCCATCTCGAGCCGCGACTGCAGCGTCAGATACTGGGGATACTCTGGCGGCGTCCCAAACAGCGTTGGGCCATGCTCTCGATCTAGCGCCTCGACGTCGTCTGGCGGGAGCGTCTCGGCAATGTACCAGAAGAGGATGTACTGCAGTCCCCTCCCCACCGGCATAAACTCCGTAGCTACAGCTTCCGCCGTCAGGGATAGCTGGTCAGGACGCGGATGAGGCGCTGGTTGCAGGTGTTTGGTGGGTAGCGGCAAGAGGCGATTGCGGAATCCGGACTCCTCGAAGCCTTCTCGGACGGCGTTGCGTCCGCTGTCTTCGCCCATGTCGCGCCGGCCCTTGGGGAGGAAGTAGTACTTCCTGCCCCGGTGTATTTCGCTGCATAGGACGACACGTTGGGAGGCGAGGTGGAAGATGGCGACGCCGGCTCCGATGACGAAGTCCTCGGAACCGAAGTTGCGGGTGACGGACTGCGAGCGGGCATGCGGGTCGGCCATGGTAGAGGAAGTGTGGCTGCTTGTTGACAGGGGTTGAAAGTCTGGGGGGTTGAAGAGTTCTTCTGGTGGTGGTATTGACGTGAGAGACGTTTTCGAAAGTGATGAAGTGTGGGAAGGAGAGAGGAGATTGCGCACACGTTTATACATGCTAGGAAGCTAACACAGAGAGAGGTTATAGTGAATACACGACGCTTTACACAAATGCAGTGCTAAGAGTGAATTTGCTTGATATATATGCTTTGATAATGTGTATAGGATAGAGGTGAACAAGGTAAGGGAGCAAGAAAAGTACTGTGTCACGTGCCTTAACTTTGTATGCCCAATCGAAAACTTGTTGATGCTGAAAAGAAGGCTGTAACTATGAAGTTGCCTGGCTCTTTACAGAAGTCCAAAATGTTGATGCAGTCCGCCAGCTATAAATCCCCGTAGCGCGAGCTTGGATGCCTAGAAGTGAATGGGGAGTCCTGGTTGCCAGGGTGCTAGCGGGCCAACTAGCGCTGAAATGACGTGAATGGAAAATAACACGGCGACAACACTCGAGCTTCCTCTCCCAGCGCATACCATCCTCTGCAACCCTCACGCCGCGAGAACGCTTTTCTCTGTCAACCTCCGTCACTCCTTTGATCGCTCCACATCGCGCGCGCGCTCACAGCCATGCCGCGACAAGACGCCATCCCTAATGGCATCACCCCGCCGCCCGTCAAGACCTCCCGGCTGCCTCGCGCCCTGCGCTTCCCCCTCCTGGCCATCATCAGCCTGTCGCTGAGCATCTTCTCCTACTCGGCTGCCTACGAGCTGCTGGGCTATCGCCTCGGGAGCGTCAGCCGCACCCTGAACGACTCGTGGGGCCCAGTGGCCTTCCTCAGTGCTCGCGTGGCCGAGCTCTACGTTGGCTGGCACATGCGCTACGATGGTAAAATCAAGCTCTCACAACACCCTCCCCTAGAATCCCCACTGACCGCATCACAGACCTCGACACCTTCAGCCTAAGCCTCCTCACGCAAGCCCCAAGCCTCTACCTCCTGCACACCTTCTACCTCGTCCCGCTCCCCACGCTCCTCGTGCGCCTGGGCGTCGACTCGCTCTCCGTCGTGCTGCCCACCAAGCTCCTGCGCCCGCGCTCCGCGCTGCACAACCGCCGCGCGCCCAAAACCGCCGTGCCCAACCGCGACATCATCCACTCGCCAACGGCCGTCTTCACCACCGCCTTCCTCGGCGCCACCGCCTACGCCTTCACCCTCTACGCCGCCCTCCAATCCGGCCTGACCACCTTCCTCGTCTCGCACTTCACCGTCGCCACCCTCGAGCCCGCGCACGCCGCCACGCTGCAGCTGCTCATCGCCACCATGCTGCCCGTCGGCTGGGCCGCGCAGTCGTTCCTGTTCACGCCGTCGTTTGGCGCGCAGCCGAGCGCGGGCGACGCGGCGGATGCCGCCTTCAACCCCGCCACCGCTACCCTCGCGCAAACGGTCCGGCACAATGTCTGGGGGTGGAGCAAGCGCACGAAGGTGCTGGTCCAGCAGACGGCGGTGCTGGCGGCGCTGACGGGGTCGCACACGACGCGCATGGCGTGGGCGAACGAGGGGACGGATCTGGTGGGCGCGGCGGGGTATGCGGGCGTGTGGGTGCTGGCGGGACTGCTGGCGGGGGGTTTGTTTGGGTGGGTGGGGGATGTCGGGGAGACGAAGGCTGTTAAGGTTGAGGAAGTCGAGGAGATCTAGGGGGCTCGAAAATAGGGCGAGACAAAGGGCTTTATGGCGAGTTGCGGGCTTGAAGGGCATCCATCTCGCGAAATGGGGGGGGGGGGGGGGCGATTTTGAGGATACCCTTTCCATCTCAAAACGTCGGTCGCGGAGTCGAGAGAGTTGGGAGGCTAGGCTGGACTGGCAGAGGACGGTCACGATGATTCCCCCCATAGCATAGCACACGTTAGCTAGATATAGCTTGGCATCTCCTTCCGTTAGAACCCGTAGGTAGGTACAATAATCAGTTATTCCCCCAGGCCAGAGCAAATGGCAGAAGACGATAATTTTTTTTTCCCCCAACGAGTTTGAAACGGCATGAGGTTTGGCGAGTATGGATGGATAGGCGCAAGATAGCACCCTAACCTAAACACAAAAGCCATGAAAACGAGCGAGTTTGAACACGTTATCGATTACATTGAAAAGCCACAATGTATAACTAAGCATCGAAGCAGTTTGCAGATTGGAAAACACACAGACCGCACGTAGAATCCATCGAGGCTGAACATGAACAGATTCAGAACGTCACAAACCTCACAGATGTATATCCATCGAGGCTAAGCATGAGCAGTATATCAATTCATTTCCCCCTACCCCCCTATTATATACAACGAAAGCGCTCACCCCCTCTTGTGTTCTCCTTTCCTTTACGCAAAGCACCATGTCTAACGCTCGCGATGTTATCACGCAAGGACTGTTCAACATCGCCGAAAACAATGAGCAGGTTCTGAAAAAGGAGAGACCAGGGGTGAATTTACAAACAGAACCATCTCATAACCCAAAAATGAATGTTTTGAAATTTCTACAGTGAAGACCAACGTGTTCGGATTCCCCCTTTACCCCCCAAAGTGCGACTACAGAAAATGAGGACAGATGCCAAAAATTCTCTCGCTTTTGTCAACAAAGCCGAGAAAAGATGATGATGATGACGCCAAAAAGGCCAGTAGTCTTACCAGAATCTATGTCTAACATCCCCTTTCTAGACTGTCGTGACTCTAGCTTCCTCTAGGCATGCCATAGTCGAGATGGCAAGGCGTCTAACTCCGTCGATGCTTGTTTTCTCTACCAGGAGAAACTTTCCTCGCGGAAGTCCACATTCCATGTCGTCTCACGCATGCGCACTGCACGCCTCACATCGTCTGCCAGCCCACCGGTTCCACAGACGCTGACACAGGCGGCGCCAAGGCCCGCTTGCATTTCCTGGTCGATAAGGGCTTGAACATTGGGTTTGCCGGGGAACATCTGTACGCTGGACGACGGCGAGTGGATCTCTTTCGTTGATCGGGGGCGAGTGACGAAGAGCAGAATCTTGAGGATATCCCTACGCTTGGGCATGGAGAGAATGGTCGTCATCCATGAGCGGATCCATTCGAGGTGCTCAGGAGATTGGATGACCCATACGAGCGTGAGGCGGCGGGTTGCAGTCGTTCCGTTTGCGAATTGGGCGACGATGTCGCGAACGTGGGGCACTTGATGTGCGATACCGACACCAGCAGCCCAAAGCATGACCGTTCCGTAGGAGCTTAGGTTCTCGCCACCTTATTATTGCATTAGCGATCGTGTACATAGCAATCCTTGACGAGATGAACGAATGCAGACATACCATATGGTCCCTCGATCATAGCAGAAGTCGTGAAGCGACCAGAGGGAGAGAGATCAGCCTTCCTGAAGAGCTTCTCCGTGAATCCAGTTCGTCGACGAATGATCATCGAAACGCTCGTCTTCTTGTTCTCTAAGATGTCCTGACGATTCATTGCGAGGCCCTTCTCCTCGCTCAGGTCGTCTTCTTCGTCACTCCAGGCCAACGAGAACGGGTGGTTAGTCCACAGGCCGACAGACGGCATGTAGATGTATGCATGCTGGCCAGGTCGGAATGCCCAAGGACGAGCCATCCGAATAGTGACCTTCACGGCGTCACCCGGGAGTACCTCAACATCGGCCTTAGTACCACCAGCACCGAAGTTACGCATTACTAGAAGGACGACTCGGGACGTTCGCTCAAAGACCCAGAGAGCGATAACGCCGTAGAGGATGCGCTGCTGGGGCATTGTCTTGAGGTGAAACCACAACGCTCCAATTGAAAGTGCTGCAACCAGAATGTGCATGGTCAAGAAGGTCTCGTAGAACGCGTGGCGAACGGTGGATGGCGAGTGAAGAAGCAGGAAGACGAGAGCGACTGTACCAATGGTCCCAGTCATGATCATTTCGCTCTTTTGGATGGATGCCGCGACTGCACTCCAGCCGGATTGGTGGACCTTGCTAGCCATCCAGGCTGCGGTATGAGCAACTGCCTCCAGGACAACGATCCGTCCAAACCATCGATGAATCAGGTTGAACGTATCGAAAGAGATACCACAGAAAGTGATGAAGGGGTTGTTCCGGCCAGCAAGAAGGAAGAGCGGAATCATGTTCATGACGGACAAGACACCTGTACGGTTGCGGAATTCTCCTGCTATTTCCTTGTACGGGCCGCTCCAGTCAATCCTGATTACACAGAAGGCAATATTGGTGGCAAAGTAACCGGTCAAGAAGAACATTTGCAGACGGCTTGGAAGGGTGCCAACGTTCAGAGCGGAGGACAACTTGAATTCGCGGTGGTGACGGGTCCTGAGCAGAGGCGCATCCAGAAAGTGCTTCTTGAAGCGTCCAAAGGTGAGACTGGGAATGGCAAAGTATCGCTGGGTGTCATTGCTGAGGCTGGCAACAGTCCGGACGTAGCGAATCAGGTGGAAGACAACCTGGTAGACAATGAAGGCGCCGACGATGGATATCCAGATCCATCCAAACCAGAATGACATTGAGATGTTCTCGAGTTCCGCTGGGTCAGGGCCCGAGGCAGCACCTCCCGCGGGAGGAGCATCGGCGGCGACGAGAGGTGCAGCCACCAAGATGGCGGCCCATCGGAGGAGGGAGACGGTGTTCATGATGACTAGTGCTGGTAGGGCCGGGCGTGATGTTGAATCGGCGAGAGGAAGCCCGAATACGCCCTGCGCCAGTCAAGGTGGTGTTCTAGGTATCCGGGTTGGCCAGCAAGGACGGAGAGGCAGCAGCTAATGTAGCACGGAGAGACGCTGGCTGGCAGCGAGGGTGGGTGGGGCACCTGGCAGACTGAGGCACCTGGGGTAGGATATACAATGGGTCGTTTGGGGACGTGACGCAGGGCCGGGGGCGGCTACGGAAGGATCGAATATGGCTGGACGGCAGCGGCCATGCGCACACGACTGGGCTAGGCAGTGGGTGTGGTGTGGTGGTGGAGGTGGAGGAGGGTCGCTATGGTGGGCAGCGGAATGGAGGAATATCAAAAGCGGAAGGACGCAAGGGGATCCAGAGAGAGTGGCTGGAGTAGTGAAGGTGAACAGAAATGCTGCTGGCAGCGGTCGAGGAGGACGTGGGCGGGCCGAGATGCACGCAAGAACAGGGCCAAAAGAGAGACGGTTTTGACAGCAACGGCCGACGAAGCGAAAGAGTGAAAGGAATGGACGTCGAGACAGGAGGCCGGTGGGCTCTCGCGCCGCAGGATGAGGATCGCCAGAGATTGGCGGACTGGGGCAACGCCGGGGCGATCCATGGGCTGCGCTGTCTGATTGGCGCGCTTCTGAAACGGCCAGGCGCGGCAGGCACGGCCGGGGCCCTTCCCTGGCCTCTCGCGTCCTGGCCACGTCCACGTCGTTTCAGAGGCGTGCGAGGCTGCCGAGAGGGCGCGCAACCAAGCCGTCCAAGCAGCCCATGACGCATGGAGGCCGGCTCTGCTGAGTTTGCTGAGGTCGAACGGCGCCCGCCCGCCAGTGCTGCTCCACTACAGCGGCTGCCCGCTCTGCCCGCTCCTGCCCGCTCCTGCTTGTTGCGGGCCTCGTGTACAGTGGAGTATGTTCAAACAGCCTCTCCCGCCCCGGGAGATTGCTCTATGCTGTTTATTGGCTCCTGTATACCACCCTGGTAGCGCTGAGGACTGCCGTCTGGTGTTGACTCTGCCCAGGCGCTTCCCTAATGACAGCCGTCGTGCTGCCACCGGGCGACCACCGGGTGCTGTCTATGCATACCACCTCCCGCGTCCGGCATCGTCCTGGTCTTGGTGGCTTCAGGCTTCCGATGTATGCTGGCCTCTTCCTGGCGCTCGACGTCGCTGCGACACAGACCTCGACGGCATCTTGCCCGGCACTTGGGGAACAACACTCGAAACGAAAACAGCCACCCGTCCTTATGCATCACGCCTCCACGTGTCGCCGTCTCCCAGGCTCGGCTCTGCTTCCTCTCCCAAGCGCGCATGAATCTCCTCGCTTTCTGTTCCTCGTCAGCTCTGCTCCTTTAGCCGAGAGCATGTTTGAGCTGAGGTTGCCAACGTTACACCCCCCGGGACTCCCATCTTCCACCCCTCCGCTGATAGGGCTCGCATTCTATTCAAATTAGCAGATAAGATATCGGCACACGTACCCTCCATGACGTTCGCCACCCCTCTACGTGCCTCACCACTTCCCGTCCTGATGCGGCAGCTGTTTCTGCTGCGCTGGACAGCCAATATCTCTATACTATCTCCACTCCAGTCTCCACCGACAGCATTGCCGTGCTACGAGTGTCCGAGAAGCCCCATGATCAAACCTCAACCCTCGGCCGCAGGGCGCGGGACGACGTACTCGGTAGGTGCCAGAGCCAGCCTGCATGAAATGCCCTCGACGCATGCCGTGTTGTGATAGCACGAAAACAAGATTACCGCGAAACCTGTACCCCCGACTGCTGTGCTTCTCGCCCGCATCGTTATTTGCATGAGTGTGTACGACGTCGACGACAAAGGCCTGATAAGCCTTGTATGCAAGGCAATCTAAGTGCTGAAGCGCCCCTCGACGCCGTGATACGCCCATATCTGCTTAGATGCTAGGCTACCTTTTGACGAGCCAGTGACCTCCTAGCGGGGCCGCTCCTGACAGTGGTATCAAGCGAGCAGGAGAGAGGGTAGAGCGTGGCTTTCTCGAGGGTGAGTTTGGGGGATTAGTGGACGAATGGTAATATAAGTTCGCGTAGATAGTACAGTACAAATCGGACTAACTACTATTGTTAGCTAGGGTACTCCATACAGTGTCGTCTAGGTAGCAAAAGAGGAGCCCTAGGTATGTCTATGTCTTGCTTACAGGTTTTATAGACTCCAAGTATAGTGGAAAGGTTCATAGACTAGAAATTGGACTACATTTTGACCACCCGGCTATCTGCTAGCCAGCGCACTCCTTACAGTGGCGTCAAGCGAGCAAGAGAGAAGCCCCAAGTGCATCAATTTCCGCGTGTTCGAACTTGTAACCCGCTTTCATGAAGCCTCTTGCTCTCTCGGCACCACCACTGTAAGAAGTGCCCTAGGGTAACATGTCTTGAGTTAGTCAAAAGGTAGTCGAATTGCCACTGCGTTGACCTTACATCGTGCTTGGAGTTTCCAACGCCTGTCGGGGTACCTCCGCCAGTTGCAAGGAGTGCTCAAACTTATGTCTTGGTATTATTGTACATCTAGTGCATGATGCAGAATCATTCTCAAGAAAAGGGACGGGCATATAGAGGAAAGGATTTTGTATCAGAGAAACCTTTTGTAAGCTACTCCGGGTTAAGCCCTTCTTGTGCCATTAAGAGAGCATTCGTCTCGCCAATTCAAGCTTTGTGCTCTTATTTCTCAACATCCTTAGCCTCGTCGTCCACCTCCATAGCCTCTACCTCATTCAACTCGGACTCCTTGTGCTCCTTCTTCTCCACATCGTTGGCCTCGTCGCTCACTTCCTTCGCCTCTGCCTCCTTCAACTCGGCCTCTTTGTGCTCATCTTTCTCCACATCGTTGGCTTTGTCGTCCACCTCCTTCCCCTCTGCCTCCATCAACGCAGCCTCTAGGAGAGCATTCAGGTCCGCCTCCTCCATCTTCTTCTCCTCTTTGATGACCTCCATAGGCATCTTGCAGATATCCGTCAACCGCTTCATATCCAGCTTATCACAAGCGTTCCCCACGATCTTCTGAAAGCGCCTGAACGCCGTCTTCTGGCTCTCCCCGGTCGCGCCCTCCTCCACGTCCTTCTTCTCCTGCGGCACCAGCTTGTCCGTCCCCTGCTGGTATCGCTTTAGCGCCGCCTGCTCTCTAGGAAAGGACTCGGCCGTCACAGGCACTCCGGCGATGTTGTTGAGGTAGTCCGGCCACGGCGCCGCGTAGAACCCGCGCAGTACGAAGCGCTCCAGCGACGACAGCTCGCGCAGCGTGGCGAGGCCCCGCGCGACCATCAGGCTCCGGCCGTAGCCCTTCCAGCCCATCAGCTTGGCCTCGCGGTCCGGCTCGCAGATGTAGACGGTGAGGGTGCGCAAGCTGGTGCAGAGCTTGGTGAGCGCGGTGAAGAGGATGAACCAGACGGTGCCGTCGAGGAAGTTGTCGAAGACCTGCCAGTCCTGGAAGAAGGGTGCGATGCGGATGTCGATGGTGCGGAGCAGAGCAGCGCGGTCGGGGCCGATGTGGCAGAGCCAGGCGAGGGCTTCGATGGGGTCGGAGAAGTACCAGACGGTTGGCTTGAAGATGCCCGTCGGGGTTGAGCTGGTGGCGGCAGGGTTGGAGGGGGCCATGGAGTCGCGTTGAGGCTTGTCAAGCTGCATGCGTCTGATGTCGCGACGAGTCTTCGTTCCCTGGCTGGCGGCGCGGGGGGCCATGGTGACTGTAGTGAAGCTGTAGTGAATTGGAGGTGAAGAAGTCTGGGTGTGGAGGTTGATCGGAGGGCAGATGGTTGGGCTCGGAGAAGGAAGAACCTTAGCCCATGTGTGTGACCGTTTAACGCCGTCTGAGGTGGCCCGGAGAGCTATCACGCCCAGAAAAGAGTGCCATACTCATCAAACACTGTCTCGTGTGTACACCTGTCTACCACTGCTTAGGGTGCTTCAACACATTTTCAGGAATCTGAATGAGACAGAAGCCCGTCACCTTGGGCTATATGGAAACTCATTGGAGCACCCCAAACAGTGGCAGACAGGTGCACACACGAGACAGAATCAGAGTGCCACCTTTTCCATACCCTACGTGGCTATCAAGCTTGCCAACTTTGGCATTTCCCAACTCTTAATAACATACTAGGGGCCCTTAAGCGGTGCTAGAGAGATGTATATAAATATAGAAAGAGTATACCTTAAAGATTAAAAAAAAATTGAATCAGCATCACAGAATCGTAGACTGCCACTTTCTGTTCGATGGAGCCTGCCGCTATTTAAAGCAGTACGATACATTTGCTTTTGAATAGAACAAAATAGAAGCTTATTGCAAATGCGTACCCACACAAGAGTGTGGGTGAACTGGAGGGAGCGGGGGTGGTATACAAGAGACTGCCAAAAAAAAAATTTATTAAAAGAGCAAAAGACCACCCTCTTTCGAGGGTGTAGAAACTCTGATGGTTTACTCCGTGACAATGGACGTTCCGCGCGACTTTTCAGTCGAATCTATAGGCACCTTTCCGCGCGACTTTTCAGTCGAATCTATGGGAACCTTTCCGCGCGACTTTGCAGTCGAGTCTATAGGAAAGCCATAATGTCAGCAAGGGCTGGAGTCGAACTCACAACCCTTGCGGGGCTCGTTGGTGGCGCTGAACCAACTGAGCCGAGGCCTGCTGTTCGAATTAGTTGGGGAACAGCAGAATTAAACCAAACATATAGACTCACTCAGGCTGTCAAGCCACAATCTTTCACCTTGTGGCGTCACCGCTGCCTAGGTGGCTTGCCGCAGAGGTGCTGCCACAACATCCCCCTCGAGGTAGATTGCCCACTCAAAGACGTCACCGATAATGAACAGTCTACAGAAAGCAATCCTACCGAACTTACAGTCTCTAGAAGTGTTTGCGTCCTGATCACGTGCTTGCTTCAATGCACATAACTCCACGCGACATTATGAACTCCACACTCTTTCACTGGAGAATTGAGAGGACGAAAAGATATACAAACTCTCATAATTACCGAGATAAGGTAGGCCTGGTACCGGCCCCTAGACGGGTTTCGTACGACATCTTATTCGCATAATCTCGTGCATCCCTCCTTACACTTGCCCTATCGCCCAACGACGATGGAGAACCCAGAGCTCCCACTACTAGTTTCAGGCTTCACTTCGCCCGCTTCTTGGGCCTTCAGATCCTCAGGGCCAAGAACGACTCTCTCGCACCAATCACACCAACTCCTCAACTGGCCGTTAGCCTCCCGTTCCAGCCTCTGGACGCCTTTCTCATGCTCATCCCGAAACTCACCTACCCCTGCACCTACCTTGACCATCTTTTTAGCCTTCCGCTTAACCACACCACCCACACCCTCAATCTCTTGCATCATGTAGCTCGTGCCCTTCCAGCTCCGTCCGGTTCCCTCAGCCTCCACCCTAGCTGCCTCTTGCTGCAGGGCGGCGAGCGACTCGGCATCGCATTCCGTCTCGTGTTCTACGGTTCTGGCGGCTAGACAGTTGCCTTTACGGCCGCACTCGACGCTCTCGATGCCCTCGCCGATGCCGGTGCCTATACCGCCTCGGGAGCGGGTGTAGGTTGTCCGCCATGTCCAGCCGCGGAGATACATGATGTCGTAGCCACGGAGGCTCTGGCCGCAGGGCTGGCACAACCAGACGGCTGTTTCACAGGTGCAAGGATGGCGCTGGAAGGCTGGGGTTGTGAAGGTTGGGGTTGTCAAGGCAGACGTTGAGGGAAGAGGGCGTTCAAAGGAGCGGAGAGGAATAAGACGTGAAGGACTCGTGGAGCGTCGGCGCGGTGCCTGGGTCAGGGAGGCAATCGGGGCTTTGAGGCAGGTGCCGCAGAGACGACGGTGGCGGTCTTTGAGGGCGGAGGCAGAGGGCGGTTTGATAGTGCAGTTCTATGATAGCTTAGTCGAGCTGTTGGGTTTGAAAGGGGAGTATACGTACTCGACACACCACGGTCCCGCAGCGGTTACACTCGCTGACCAAGTCCCTCGCACATTTGCCCACCTTGCCGCTGGTCAGACGTGCCGTAGAAGAGGTCGAACCATGGTTTGCCCATGTGTTCCGGGCTTCGCGCATACGGTCCGCGAGCTTGGCACCGGGCGCGGCATCCTCGTTCACGCAGCGCAGGCTGTGCTGGACGAGCTGGTTCCGGTATTCGAGCAGGTTCGCACGGAACTGGCGGCACGTCCGCGAGAGGTTGTGCAGGTCGTTGAGGTCGAGGAAGCTTCCGAGCTGTGAGACTACGCTGTAATGTCAATTCGGGTCAGCGCTCGTCAATCAGCGAAATGGTGTCTCCGCGTGGAGCAAGCTCACGGATAACAGCTGAGGGCAGCTGAAAATCCATTGACGTTGGGATTTGGTCTGTCGTCCACAGCAGGCGGCTGCGTGTCGTGGTCGTCGTGGTCGGTGCCGGCATGGCGGAGCTGCTGCTTGAGCGTGGCAAAGCCGTTGGCCGCTGCGGGATCGACGTGCGGATCGTGGACCTCGTCGCCCAAATCAACTAATAGCACCATAGTAGAGACAGGCGCGCAATACGGGCCTCATCGAAGCGGACGATGATGGCGAGACGTGTTTGGCGGGGGGACGGCGAGGTGGGAGGACCAAGGGACGTTCCGTAGACAAAGCACCGGTCCCGCGGCAATGACGACCATCCCTGACTCCGCATAGAAGGCACACTCTGTTTACTTTCTCCGACTGTTCTTTCATCTACTCGTCACTTTCAAACGTTCCTGCCCTCGATTCCGGATCTTATCATCGGTAAGAGTAAGGGTGAAAACGCCTTACAAAGGTAGATCTGCTCACTTGCCCATGCCAGATGGCGATAAAGAGTGTGGCATTGAGTATGCTGAAAGATGCCAGTCTGCCATTTAATACAGTAGGGTTTAAACCTTTGCTGCTAGTATTATTTCAAGAGCTTCCTCGTAACATCGCACACAACTTCCGATGCAAAGTGAGCGAAATATATATCTACGAATCACCCGCCTCTGGGAACACCACCTAGATGCTCCCCAACCCAAATCCAATCCCAACTCAGATATGGCAATGAGGGATATCATAGCCACAAGTGCTCTCTCAATATCCTCCACTTCACTGTCATCTAGCACCAATTGGTGCAGCTTTGATATCTCGCTTCCTGGTCCCGCGTGGCAACGCACTCGTGCAATCAACGAGTTCGTCGATGTTCTCGACACCCAGCATCGACATCTTCCTGAAACTACTCTTGCGTTAGCATTTCTCTCAATCTGCTATATCATGAAGCAAGCACTCACCCAGCCACATACGCTGTGTTCCATCTCTGCTGCTTACCCACGAACTCCTTGAAGCGAGGCCCGACGATGGGATGCTTCACCAGATTCTTGTCAGCTGGGAACGAAAAGGGCGCGGCCCCGTCAATCGTCTCCTTGTAGTAGTTGACGTCCCAAATTCCGGGTGTGCTGTCTTGCCCATAGCCAGCGAACTGCGCATTGACGAAGTTTTGTTTCGCGGTGGTGTGCGCGCCGATGAGAGCTGCGAGGTCGGTAGCGGTAAAGCCTTTAGATTGGAAAGCTTTGAGTAAGGCATCGCCGGTGGCGTTGGCGGGAGGGAGCCAGCCTTCCTTAGATGGTGTGTAGCTGTCTTTCCGGCCGACGAAGACAGGGACGACAGGGCCTTTCGGGCAGGTCACGGTAGCGTGGGCTGTCACTTTTATTAGTTCATCTTCCCAATAAAGAGGAAGGGAGTCTGAGCCGTACCTCCGGCAAACTGGATCAAATCAGCCATTCCGACGTTGTACTGTTCTTTTATAGCCCTGAGTTTCATAGACCAGTCGAGAAGGCCGTTGTTTGAACTCCGGAAGCATTCGTCTCCTAGTACAAGAGATCCATCGCAGGCGCCATCGAAACAGTCGTGGAAAGAAGAACGGATCGCAGCTCGGGCATCGTCGGTGCATACACCTTTCTTGAGAAATCGAGAGGTGAGATCTTTAGAGATATCAAACCACACTGCCGGACAGCCTGATCCTTGAGCTTGCTTTTGACCATTTTTAGTACCTCCTTTACCTGCCCCATCTACTCCACTTTGTGCTTCTCTAGAGCTGAATATAGAACGATCGAATATGTTGAGGGATGAGACATCCGGGAATGCGAATGCCTGGCAACACGTCGAAGCGGCAAGGATGTGGACGAGGACAAAGGGATGCATACTGCCGAGAGCAGAAGTGAAAGGAAGAAGCTCAGAGAATTGTTATGAGAAATGGCGGCTTCGAAATTTCATCGGAGACCGCATTTGAGCAGAGACCCCATAGTGTTTATACGGACTCCGAATCTTGGTTCCTTGATGCGAAAATCTGCTCTATCCACTTGTAAAGAGCCAATTGAAAATCGAGCTATACCTGCCTGGCCCGGAGATGCGTGAAGCCGCACCGTGGTCGCGGCAGCTGTTGCTGGCGCAACAGTCCAACGAAGCCATGTTGATTGGTATGATACTAGTGTCGTCCAATTGAGCTCAAGCGGGGTACTCTGCAGCGGTGCGTGTGAGTCGGCCATTGCGACTAGTCTTGTATCCAAGAAACTAATCATGAGAAGCTAGGAACATCTTTGGGCCGATGAAAGCCTAGAAGACTTTCGTGGTAATCGTCACGATAGCTTCACGTCTCGAAGTACGGGATTTCTCATAACCGACCGCGGATGATCGTTTTCTAAATTGCCTTTGAATATTTCCACCGCTTCTAGAGATCGCTTGACATAATTCCTTGGCAACCTGGAATCTTGATGGAGGGCGTCGAGCTCGTCGTATGGAAGGAGGCTATTTAGTAATAGCTGATTGAAGCTAGCTGGATTGCTTACGCCACTCTACCAAACCACGGGTGACAGGGATAAGGGTCTCGCCGAATGAACCATGGAACAGCTTGCTGTCGACAGGTCCAGACAGCTTAGAAGTAAACTGTGCGAATAGCGTTTAGCCTCTCGGTAGTAATGGAGGAAGCGCAGTGGAAATTATACTACCTTTTGACTAGGTAAACCATGTTACCTAGAACACTATTTACGGTGGTGTCTACAGAGCAAGAGTGAAGCCAGAGCGGTGGTATATCCCTGTATTTTTTGACTAACTAAAGACACATTATCTAGGGTACTCCTTATAGTGGTGTCGAGAGAGCAAGAGGCTTCATGAAGCAGGTCACAAGTTCCAACGCACTTCGAACGCACGGAAATAGATGCACTTGGGGCTTTTCTCTTGCTCGCTTGACACCACTGTAAGGAGTGCTCTGGCTAGCAGATAGCCGGGTGGTCAAAATGTAGTCCAATTTCTAGTGTATCAACCTTTCTATGCTAGTGGCTTCATTCCAGCTCGAAATGCCGCAATGAATACTACTACTGTACAGAGGCGGCGAGCATATGTGAAATGGGCGCAGGCCCGACCTTGGTACCATCTTAACGCCAGTCCGCCTTTCAATATCGCTTTGACCTGATTGGATCACCGAATCCGTGCCTGTGTGATTGGAGAAGATGATACTCGTATATCCCAGCGCGCAAAATCAAAGGCAGTGTGGACGTATTCCTATGGTTCAGATACCTTTCGCGGTCCCACGATGCCGAGAAACGGTCTATTTGCGCGTGAAAGCCGGGTTGCGTCGATTGGCGTTCTTCTTCGGCTGTGCTCGCCTGGTGAAGCGTTCCGATATTGACGCATTGTGACATTGTGTAGCTAAGTGACCGTACATGTTGCAGTGAGAACAGCGACCGCCGACTTTCTGGGCCACAGCTACTTTCAGGGATTCCAGTGTCCAGTTGGCATTTATGATTGGAAAGCCGTCAAGCGTATGGAGAAAGATATGGCGAGCCAGCGAAGACTGACTAAGGGCTCCGAGAATGGTGACAGCTAGTATGTCTTAAGTTGGTAGCACATATGTCAGCTGGTTTTCTTGAAGAAGGGGGCTTTTACGACAGATAACTAGATCCTCTAGTGTCAGTTGCCCTTGGGTGCCACTCAAGTCGTGTTTAAAACATCGTTTTGGCTTCAGTCTATGTTTAAAGCGACTAAAATGGGTGCCCATAGGCGACTTGGGTGGGTGTTCAAGCACAACACGAGTCGTGTTTCAACACAGTTCCAGGAATAATGACTCTCGTATGTGTACTAGGACCTTACTTACATGTTGCCTGGTTGCCAGCGTTGTGGAGCCACAACGGCTCAATCCCGTATCGTTCGAGCAATCCAGAAAGCGAAATAGGAGATTCAGGCAGAAGCGGACCCACTGTAGTCTCCATTTTCTGTACGTTGAGAACCGTCTCAATGGTAGACAGCTCCGAAAGCGATAGGCCCACCCTTCCAAGATACTCGTCCGCTTCTTGGTGACCGTTGATAACTAGGACAACCTTTCGATGAGTTCCAGACCCACGCGAATGACCGTCCATGATGTGGAGCGCTTTCCATATCTTGTCTCTGAGTGCGGTCCCATCTACACTCTCGCTTTTCCCGAATTCGAAGTCCTTCGCGCATGACAGTGGGTGGCCCTGAGACGTTGCAGTGGTGAAGAGCGTCCGCCATTCAGCGATCCTAATATGTCTGCTTCGTATTTTCGTAATCCATGCCGCCCCAGAGACGCTCGGGTGGATGTCATGTACTTGGCGCATGTCCAGCGTTGAGATTCCAACCTCGATGACTGCATTCTGCGCTTTCCCGCTGGCCCACGATGCGTACTTGATGTAGATAGCGATGAATACCACGTCTGGCTGGTTACTAGGAGGAGTGATTAGAACCAAATAGAAGTAGAAATAACCTCCGACTTCACCCACGGGGGATCCCTAAGTCCCATCAGGCCTTGTAGCAACTCTCTTGATTTGGGGCCGGAGTCTAATGGTCTAGAAGAAGGGCGCCTGCTACCCATGGCCGTTTCTTCAATATCTGTCGTTTGGAGAGTCGTCCGGGGCGCTGTTGGGCATAGAGCGCTAGTAGGAAAGAAGATAAATCGATTGTGGCCATTCATGTTTGGAAGATTCGCTACGGACAATTCGTGCATCTAGATTCATCTCGGGCCGCGCAAAAGCGAGAGAGGCTTAGCCTAGCAGGTGAATTGTCGAGGGAGGATGAGATGAATGTTGAGTGAAGCACCCCTGCCCATATGACCCAGCCTCAACCCTTTCCAATCTCTTCTTTGCTTCTGCCTGAGAATCCCACGTGATGTTGAGATACATCTCAGATAGGGAGTGCTAATGAAATTCGAGGTTCTTCATGATTATAGATAATGAGATGAGTACGTAGGGGGATGTACGAAGGAATCTTGAACACAGATACACTGTGACTCATCATGGCCCTGCTTCAACGAAGTTTACGCTTCGCGCTCCCCTCGAAACCACGGGAAAGCATTAGGATCTTTGATTTCATAAGGTTGGGTGACCTGGTGGTGATAATAGGGAACTCCGCAAGCTTCGAGGTCTTGGAACAGCACTTCTGCAGAGAAGGTTTAAGAAGTGTATTACTGTGCAGAGATCAATTCTGAACTGATGAAGCTATGTTACTACGAGCTTTTGAAGATGAAACGACAGGAAGAGTGATGTTCGAGGTTTCGACAAATGATGCCAGCGCTCATCATATGAACTAACCTGTTTTAGTATCCGCTAGTCTACTATCAGCCCCTCGTACTGAAAAAGGTCATCTCACCGGATGGAGATAACTCGCAGGAAGTTATGAGGCGGGGATATCCCCAATTCCATTATTAATACGCGTATATGGGTCAGTGGCGACTCATCGCTCGCGAGAGCTAAAGATTTTCAAATAAAGTCCCGATGAACATCCCACCAGCCCTCCTCCAACCCCGCGTCCAAACAGCACCTTTCAACCACAATTACATCCACCATCCAACATGCTCAATTTCGGAATCATCGGGACGGGCTGGATCACAGCCTCATTTGTCACATCGGCCCATTCCACTAAGAAATGGCAACTGCGCGCCGTCTACTCTCGCAACTCCAGCTCCGCCTCAGACTTCTCATCGAAGTTCTCCTCTGAAGTCACAGAACCCATACAATCACACACGGATCTGTCAGCGCTCGCATCCAATCCCGATGTGCAAGCCGTCTACATCGCTTCTCCAAACTCTCTTCACTACGCCCACGCAAAACAAATGCTTGAGGGCGGGAAACACGTGATCCTCGAAAAACCCGCGACATCAACATCAGCGGAACTGGACTCGCTCTTCGCGCTTGCCAAGTCGAAGAATGTGTTCCTGATCGAGGCCTTCCGACATTTGCACGAGGTGAACTTCAAGATCTTGAAGAAAGAGCTCAGCCGATTGGGGCCTATCTTCGGCGCGAGCCTCAACTACGCCGCGTACTCAAGCAGATACGACAACGTGCTCAAGGGGGAGGTCCCAAATATATTCAACCTCGATTTCTCGGGAGGCTCGCTCGTTGATCTGGGAGTGTACCCCGTCAGCGCGGCTATTGCGCTCTTTGGGGCCCCGAAGTCGAGCTCGTATTACCCTGTCAAGATCTCGACGGGCGCAGACGGCGGAGGGACTATTCTGCTGCAGTACGACGGCTTCACGGTGTCAATTCTAGCGAGCAAGATCTACACAAGCACCGCCCCGAGCGAAGTGTTCGGGGAGAAGGGAACGCTGAGCGTGCCGACGATCACGGATATCGAGTCGGTGAAGTTCTTGGACGCGAAGCTGAAGGGAAAGGCGACTGAATTAGGAGGTAAGAAGTGCGATCTTAATCTGAAGGAAGAGGCGGAATTGTTCGCAGAGATCATTAAGGAAGCAGATTGGGATGCTGCTAAGGAGCTAGAAGCGCTAAGCCGGGCGGTCATTGAGGTGACAGAGAGCTGCAGGAAAGCAAATGGATTGACCTTCAAGGTTGAGAAGAGTCAGTAGGATGGTCGCATGGAGGAGCATATGGTCTGGATCAAGTAGCGACATACCTAACATTCACGCTTGTCGAATATCTTGAAATGGAAAAAAAGAGTATGCAAAATATGTTACTCGCGGCACGAAGGCTCAGTCTAGCATATCGTGAAACGCCTTCTCCAGTTCTAGTGTATGACATATATGCGGCCTTCGTTTTACAGGGCGGCTCTGTGTGAGTACCCTAGCTCTTATAGATGCTGACAGCAGTGCTGGAATAAGCCATGAACACAGCAGATGCAACACGCTAATATGATTGACAGGTAGGACAGCAGGTGATAAGGGTGGATACCTCTTTCTCTCGTCTCTCGGCGGAAGTGCTCTTTCTAGTCTCCGTGCGGTATGCTTAGGCTATGGTCGTGTGGAAGCGTTGGTATTCTCTTCTATTCTATCGACGGTCTTCGCAAAGAGAGCTCCTAACAAGCCATGCGCCTGATTAAACCCATTCAGAATACCGAGCGTGTTGCAATGGTCAAGTGTAGGTCCCAGGTCGTCATGACCTCGTTACTCCATCCAAGCGTTTATATGGCCACCGTGCCTACTCGTGTAACACTGCGGCGCCTGACTTGAGAGAACACACCTTGAAACACGGCTTAGAGTTAGGTCATCTAGACCTAAAGGAAATCTCAAGGTCGTGGTGGGGATGTGACCAGATACATGTAACAGCTCCTTCTCTTCTTACTCGGGAAATGAGATACCAATCCATGTGCTTGTTCAGGACCGTCCACAGCGACACAGCCTTTTCACATTTCCACATTCTCTTTCCACCTTTACTACTTCGAATCCGAGACTCGCCTCACCACTCCTCAATACATCCCTTCCATCAATTAGCATCTGATTGCTAATCACTCGATGACAATTTGATATCTCCTCTTTTCTGCCATAAACCACACAAAGACCCCATCTTGAATAACCCCAAGATGCATTTCATTTCCGTCAGTCTTGCCCTCGGTGCTGGGGCTTCGCTGGTTGCCCCGGCGTCGGGCTTCTTTCGCATGTCTTGTCCAGGACGTCTCGTGCGTGAGCGGCTAGACCCCATCGTCTTTCCTGACGCGGTTTCTGCCCACGTCCACACCATCTTTGGTGGATCAGGCTTCGGTGCCTCCATGGACTACGCTCAAGCTCGCTCCTCCGATTGCTCTTCATGTGAGATCAAGGAGGATCTGTCCAACTACTGGACCCCCCAGCTCTATGTCCATGCGAAGAATGGATTTTTCCTCCCCGTTCCTATTGTCAATTATGGCAGCGATAATACTAGTGGTGGCATGGCAGTCTATTACTTGTAAGATGATGATCGCTCTTGTATTGATCTTCTTACTGACCCACCTGTAGGCAGCGCCACGAGAACTCACAGGCTTTCCCAGAGGGCTTTCGCATGATCGCTGGCGACTCATTCAAGCGGAACATGACAGGAGGTCTCAACGCCAAAGCCATCACCTACTCCTGTTACGGTACCAAGTACGTTGAAACTAACGGCTTCCCTGATCACCGCTGCTCAGGCGGGCTTCGCGTGAATCTCTTCTTCCTTTCCTGCTGGAACGGAAAATACACCGCAAACGGCACCATGCCCGCCTGACTACCCCCAAACCATGATCTCAATCTTCTACGAACTTCTCTACGACACCGGCAGATTCGAAGACGAGTGGGACGGCAACAAGCAACCCTTCGTCCTCTCCAACGGCGACGCAGCTGGCTACGGCATGCACGGCGACTTCGTCAACGGCTGGGACGTCGACGTTCTGCAAAACGCTGCTACCCATTGCAATGCAAACAGCGGCAAAATCTCAGACTGCGCATACCTCACCACGTACACCATAGCCAAGAACCACGCCTGTCGGCTTCCTCCGATCGTGGACGTTGTGGTAGATGGATGGGTCGACGCCCTTCCCGGCTACAACCCCGTGACCTACGGCCCTGAGCCCGCTAAGCCAATTCCTTGCGCCCAAAAAGCACTCTCACCTCCGAAGCAGGAGTTCGTCGACCTGACTAACTCCAAGCGATGGGAGTACGTAGGCTGCGGCGTCGACAACTACTTCACACGCACCTTCACCGGCAAGACGACGGCGGGGGATGACATGACGGTCGAGAAGTGCGTCGACTTCTGCAACGCTGCGGGCTTCAGCTATGCCGGCCTCGAGTACCGCCGGGAGTGCTATTGCGATAATACACTGCCGGAGGACAAGGCGCCGAAGCAAGGGATCATGGGATACTGTATCCTGCAGTGTGCCGGCAACTCCAAAGAGTTCTGTGGTGGTGGCGCGGCGCTTTCGATATATCGCAAATGCACCGCTGCGGCCTGCCAGAACGCTGTGTTTGATGTCGCTGCTCTTAATAGGACGGCTCCAACTCCTATTGTTGGCGGCTCGATCGCTTCTAGAGTTCCGTCGTCTTAGTCGTCTTAGTCGATGATTACGAGGACGGCAGTGGGGTGACACCTTTTCTTGATTGGGCGTGCTATATTTGAGATAGGGGCCCTTAAACAAGAGGAAGCCGGGATACGAGACCTCTTTATCTTCTTATATATCTTGCTTGGTGGGATGCATACGGCTTATAGCTCTGTTAAAGAGTCAGAGTTTTCGAATACAATAATATCAGGATTTTGAAACATGACCAGGAGAGGTCGATCAAGGAAACAGAATGTATTCATCCTATCACCTATCAAATTGTAAGGAAAAGGAGATAGAATTACAATCGCACGCGCGCCAGATGAAAAAGGCAAATGAGTTTTGCTTCCATTATCTACCCATCATCCCATCCGATCCAATCCACTCCACTCCACTCTGCTTTCCACCGCCAAGCGGAGAAAGCCTGTCCGCAAAACAAGATACACTCGAGAATACAAAACATACAGGCATGGCCACTCTAATCGCGCAATCGATTCCGTGAGCATCATGCGAGATAAGGAGATATGTGGTCGTGCCGGGATGAGTTCCGAGGAGAGATGGGCATGAGGTGTGGTTCGTTTCCAGTCAACGCCTTCCGTAGGACCTAACGTCTCCGGCTTCGAGGAGTCTCGATGCAGAGTAGTTGCCTGAGCTGCAAGTCCTCGTCATATAGTCTGGACGTGCCTAATAAGAACACACGCTAGTGCTGGCTCGGGAGTTCATGAGAAGGGCGACGATGAGTCCGTAGAGACCTGGGCGCCGTTAATGGAATCCTTTCGAGCAAAGTGGGAAATCTGTACATACCCAAGACTTCAGCGAAAATGAGGATCAGAATCATGCCGACGAACAACCGTGGCTGTTGTGCAGTTCCTCGCACACCAGCGTCACCGACAATTCCAATAGCGAACCCAGCAGCCATTCCAGCAAGACCGACGGATAGGCCAGCACCTAATTGGATGAAGCCGGTGAAAAGGGAGGATTGTTGCGTAAGGTCGTTCGAAATCAGCACAGACACAACGAGCCCGTAGATACCAATGATACCAGCCATGACGACCGGGATAATGTCTACCGCCGCGAATTAGCAACGCGCATCTATGATATCCGACCCTGCTTTCGAAGACAGGACTGGGTGGTGTGCCATACTCTTGACGATCAAATCAGGGCGGAGAACACCCATAGCTGAGACACCAACGCCGGCCTTGGCGGTACCGTACGCAGCACCGAAGCAGGTGAATACGATGGCTGACGTGCAGCCCATCGCACCGAAGAAGGGCTAGTCCACCACAGTCAGCTTTGTGTATCCTTCGACGATATATATTCGCGAGGGAAGACAGGGGGAGCTCTGGAGGCTCGCAGGATGACTGCTGGGATAGGGTCGGCGGCGGCGGGGCCTTGGAAGGACTTACGGCATAAACGGGACTGTCAAAGGTGCCGTGTTAGCTCATATTCATTCGCAATATCGATTTGTGATGAAGCTCAATGGCAACGTTGCAGCTTGAAGCTCGACGCTTATCTCCGCAAAAGGAAAGATGCCTGATAAAGAGAGCTCCCAGGGCGACTTACCAGAGATCGGTGGACATGCTGGCGGTTGTGATGGATTACTGCTGCAGGAACTGATTGGAGGGAGTGCGGTTGATGGAATGGGAGGCGTCGGGGGAGCTGCTGGCGAGGGTGGTGGAGTCGAGCTGGAGTGGTGACGAGGGCGAGGGTGGAAGAGGTTTGGAGTTCTTCGCTTCAATGCGCAGTCCTTGCACGTGACGGACGGCGCTAAGAGGAGCCGCAACTTCGTCGATTAAATTTCTCTGCCTGTCCCCCACCACCATCCACTCGACTCTCCACAACCAACGCACCAGCAGCACAAAGGGCGAGCTATTAAGCAGTGTGAGTGCCCAGCCGCGCTTCATTTATCACGTAAAATCTAACATCGAGTCTGCACAGGAACCCTTTTGCGATCCCACAAGACCTCTACCTTCTCCGACCAGACCTCTACCTTCTCCCACAAGACCTCCACCTTCCCCAGCAAGATGTCTCAAGATACCAGCGCTGCGTGGCCCGTCGCCGACCAGGCGCTCAGCCAGGAAGTACGGGTCCCGTTCCAATGAGATGTGTCACTGCTGACATTATTTTCAGATCCTTGACTTGGTTCAGCAAGCGGGAAATTATAGACAACGTGGGTGCTGCAGTGCGTTAGAGAGATACCTCAGAAGCTAACGGTGATGGTTGCAGTGAAGAAAGGTGCCAACGAGGCAACGAAGGTCAGAAAACTGTGCGATAAACTAGAGATACTATGCTGACATCCGGGCAGACTCTGAACCGCGGTATTGCAGAAATACTGGTTCTGGCCGCCGATACGAGCCCTCTGGCCATCCTCCTCCATCTTCCCCTGCTCTGCGAGGATAAGAATGTCCCATACGTTTATGTTCCAAGTAGTATGGCTCCCATGCTATATACACTCCAATATTATTTGAACATATGGCTAACGTTCCATACAGAGATGGCTCTTGGCCGTGCCTGTGGTGTCTCGAGGTCTGTCATTGCAGCCTCTATTACGGTATGTATTTCGGGGGTATCACAGGGTTTCAACACATTTCTGACCGATTTCGCAGACCAATGATGCTTCCGACCTCATGAACCAGATCCGATCGTAAGTGCACTAGCAAACCACTAACAATGAATTTCAGCGACTGACATATGACACAGCCTCAAGGACAAGGTTGAGAGACTCATGATCTAAGTACCCCCGAAATCTACTATACCAAGGCCGTAGTGTAGGATTTTGGTCTGGCGACATAGTCATCCTATGTACCATGTCCATACATGGCGGCGTTAAACGGCGTGTTGATGAGGGTTGATATCAAACGAGAAGAATTCCTAATGTTACCATGCAATTTCCAAAATTTATCATCAAGTCCCATCCCCTACCACGCTACCCTATCCGTCGACGCTGAAAACCACGATCATGATCTGTTCAACAAAGGAAACCACCATGACCGCAGAGAGCCTCAAAAGCGACGCATATTTCCAAGCCCCTTGGACCTTCGACTCTGTGCAAACCCTATTATTCAAATCCAGAACATGACATCTTCCAAGTTTTTGTGCCAAGGATTCTTGCGATTGGAATCATTCCCATGCCAGGGATTCCAGTCTAGGCTTTCAGACAATTTCTCCGCAGCTTTCCTCATGTATTTTTCATGCGTTTCATCCTTGTCTTCCCTGTCTCTCTTTCTCTTAATCTTAAGTGCAGCTTTTCCGTTCTCATTCCATTTCCTGAGATACGCACGCCTGCGATCGCAGAGGAGATGTGCCAGGTAAGCAGGCGGCGCATAAGAGATGAATTTGTTGCACGGCCGAGAGCGTAACAGAACGAGTGCTTCAGGCTCTGGATCTGTGCATGATTCAGGCGCATATCATTCTAAAGTCCTTGGTAGTGGGCTGGTCGAGCGGTACCTTTGATCGCCGCATGCGCTTGAAGACTTTCGACGAAGTTAGCGCAAGTCTATGGATAATCTAGTGACGCTGCTTACTAGAAATTGTGCTTGCCAGGCTGTGTGGCAACCTGATCAACGACAAGGCCGGGCCTTGGGTTACCGTTGGCTCCTTAGCACCCCTGAAAGTCGAATCAACTGTGCCGCTGAGTTGATTTGGGTAGAATTGAGTGTGGTGTCTCTTTCCGACGATGAGGAAGGTGATGATAGGCTTCTTCGCATCAGTTCCCGCCACAGCTTGGTAGGCTTCAGTGACTGCGTTGATTTCCTTGCTGATAACCTCGAGGTATTGCCCTTCGCTCACGCCGTCTCGGTAGAAAAGTATCCGTCCTGGTAAGATTTTGTTTTTCGCCTTCCAAGCCAGAAGGCGCTCTTTCACCATGTCCTCCATGTCACCAGTGATCTACAACTCGTCAGCTAACGCAATACTGTGAGAGAATTGGTACTCTGGGCATACCTCAGTGCGACCGGCTTGAAGGCGTATGGAGCTAAGATAGGTTATGAAATGCTCGTCTATGCTTCCAACAAGGGCGGCGATACTTGGACTGCCATCCGGCCCATTTCCAGGCGGGTGGCTGACATCTGCACCAAGAACGATCGTATCCAGCGCGCCCTTCGCGCCGCCCTTTAGAAGGCTGAATTCGTTGCTCGTTTCTAGGCTTCTCGAACTGGCTCCTGACGCAACAGACCACTCGGATTCCATGAACAGTCTCTGCAATTCGCTTGATCACACCATAGATACCCTGGTGCTCTTGGGGCAGTACGACGAGGAGCGAGACGTTCCTGCCGTTACGCGAAATGTATGTCATGTAGCTATCGATGCGCTCCATGTCCTCCTTACCACGGAAGGGCTCTTCAAGTCGACGTTTTTGAAGTAATTTATCTGCCCTCTACTGACCTTCATCTAGACCACAACATCAACATACCAGATTTTACTCTATCGGGACTAATCTCTAGGAAGTAAAGGCCCTCATTGAATATGTAATTAACACTCTCGAACGGTTTACGAAGAGCGTGTTTCATCATATCGGAGTTATGGGTCTTACTCAGTGTCTCGCCGACGAATTGGTTGGGCACAATTTCGAGCAGTTCTCCTGGAATCCACAAGCCGCCAGTTTTAGAGTCCTTTGCACCAGGAATTCCAACGTTGACGTGTGGCCAATTAGGGTACTTCAATTCGATACCGCACTCTGCAGATTACGTTAGCTAAGGGTGGTGTGTTCGACTCGAAATTACTTACCTCGATACCCTGCTTGAACATTTATTTTTGTTCCGGTCTGCTTATTAGTGAATATTTGACTCGGAGGAGATTGTCCAAAGTTTTGGAACACTTTCAGCCTGTGGTGGTCAAGGTCGGGATCAGGCTTTCCTGCTAACTGAGGCCGCTCATAAGCAATCCTCAGTACTTTTCCCCGCAACAGCCTCTCAACCTGGCGACGGCTGTAGTGCTTCGGTCTCCCTTCCTCGTGTTCCAGATTTCGCTCGAAATCAGTCACGCTGATGGGCTTGAAGAAAGCAGAAGTTGCGGTGTTGACGTTCAACAAGGTTCGATTGCCACTTCCTGGTCGGATTGATGTGAAGTACCTTCGATTGGCATAGAGGGAGGTCATCGGGTTGTATCCATTGTTGACGAAGAACTTGTTCGCTCCAACCTAAGTAATTCTCGTCTCATCAACATCGCAGATCTTTCCAGAGATGATGGCATTCAGTGCCGTTGCGATGACTAATGCGTGCTGCTCCGCCTCATCGCCCTTGGGCTCGAATGATGCGTCGAAAGGATCGTGGCTTGCTAGATATTCAGGCTCAATCTTCCTGTTGAGGTTGATGTCGATTGTCTTCACTGTCTTCATCTCTCCATTCTGCTTTTGATAAGTAAGCCCTTCTAAAGTTTCCTTGGAACTGGCACCAACTTCCGTGGTGTACAAGCCACAAAGCTGGATAGGGCTTTTGCACCAGACTCATTATCACCTGGCGTCTGCCTCCTACGATCCATCATACCTTAAGCAAACGGAGGCGGGGCTGGCATTCCAGGAGGAGGAGGCATTCCAAAAGGAGGTGGAGGAGGAGGAGGGGGGGTACATGCCACCAGTACCTATGGCCATTCCTTGCGTTGCTAATCCAGTCGACCCAACCGACCAACCTTGCCGCCCTGTTTTTGGAATATGCTCGATACCCTAGCTGCAAAGAGAGCCGAAAATGAGAAGATGATCCACTGAAAAACACTCAAAGTCTTCCCAGCTGTGATGCGGAAGCTTGATACGGCCTCGTTCTGGGTAATAAACTCCATCGCACCCGTAGCCTGGCTGACTGCAATTACCGATGCCAAAGCCAGCCCGACTGATAACCACATCAATGCAAGCGAGGCACGTCTTAATAACTGCCTGCGGTTCTCTGCAGTTAAGTTGTTCTTTAGGGGTGCTTTTAGGTGTCATTTTAATAGCGCTAATAGGATTAGGCTGATGAAGAACACAACGCCGGCGGCTGCGAGGAGGTAAAGAATGATCTTTGACTGGATTGTGAAGGCGAGAGACACTAGGGCTGCTGAAATCGTTGTACTTGTTACGTTGGCGTTGCTGTTGAGAATAGAGTTGAGAAGGGCGCCGGCTGTCTTGCCAGAGCTGGATTGGCAAAACAGCTTATTTGATATGGAGGCGCAGATGCCTATTTAAGTATTAATGGATGTTCTTGAACAAAAGTAACAACAACTTACCAAAGTAGTTTACACGTATTGCAGAAATTGTTGACACTGTACTATTCCTCCCTTCTATCTTTGCTGCAAAGATGTTTGGGATTCCTGGCGAGTTTGATACACAACCGGTAAGACACAACGCTGTATGTAAATTAGCAAAGCCGAAAAATGAATGATGCTTGGGGACGTTACTATAGAAGAGGAGAATTGGTATAAGTAAAAGGTAAACCAAAAGGCGGTAGTTGACATTGTCTAAAATCCGAATCGGTACAAATCCGCAGAGACAACACGATCGGGTCTAGCACACATACTCATACGATCAGAGATAGTCATGTTCGAACTGTTGTTGTTGTTGAGGACTTGTCGTCGAAGGGTAGTGTTTGTAGAGAAGGAAAGTCTCTGATTGAAGTCCAGTCGTGGGGTATCTTTGTAAATGGAAAAGTATTGCCAGCAGTGAGTGCGCCGTTGGGGGTTCTTAGATGGTTTGAACCATTTAATGTCGATGCCACGCGTTACGACCTAATTAAGTGATAGTTGATGTCATATTTTGAGAAAGGTACAAGGCAGATTCGCAAGATACGCGCGCGCCATCTCTTACGATGGTATGCTGGAACTCCTCCATTACAGCCTAAAAGGGCCCGGCATATGAAGCGTGTCCGTCTTGGAGGCGTTCTTCGTGCGGCAGTGCTAGGAATATCGAGCTCGGGAGTTTTCACTCGCCGAGAGTCTGCTCCCTATCGGTTCCCTTTCCAGAACCCGCATTTTCCTCTTATTTATAGCTTTTTGGGTTAAAACTCCATGGTTTCAGCTTTCAAGATTGCCCCGAGAGGCGGTCCTAGTAACGTGGAGGCGTTTGACTCCACGCGTTTCCTCTTCTTCGATTCTCCAATGACGACGCTTCAGTGGAGATCAAGGGCCAACCCTATCGACTTCTAGCTTGCACGAGCGGCGCAACAAGCTGCGGTGCGAAACCCATGACGTTAGGCAACTGCCGCTCGCCAACACCCGGTTTTTTCATTGCTTAATTGCCCTATCCCAACAATTAGGCACAGCTTTGAAGCACAGCGCTTCTTCAGCCCAGATGTCTCGCTAGCTAAGCCGACAGCCTTGCCGCAGCCGATAGCTACCCCGTAGCCGATGTGGGTGGCATGGATACCAACAGAGCTACCCATCCTGAACGGCGTTGAAACCTAGGAACTGCCGTTGCGCGCGTCGCGCACGTTGGAGAACACCTTCTCTCCACTTTTGAGCGGAGCGGGTAGGCTGTTGGGTTTAGGGTGGAGAAGATCAGACGCGAAGCTCGTAGCCAAGCCGTGCCGCACGCTCAAGAAGCGAAGAAGTTAGCGCAAATAGTTGTGCTAATTTTAGGAAGACTCGAACCACCTTTCTGAGCTTTGATTACTTCTTGGAGTTTTGCTTGAGGCTATGTTTTGGAGATTGACTGCTTGAATGTTGAGACAATGGGGACAAGCAGTATAAGGAAGAAAGTCTTATTAGGAGCATAGACTCGACCACGCAGGAACAGGAACAGTTGCTATTCGGAGCAGACGGTGAAAGAAAGATGGGTGTTTGTTTTTTATCACATCACGGCCAGACATCGATGTAAGCCTGCCTGCGATAGAACTTGAGTGCTTGGATGCCTGGTCGCCTGGTCGTAGGCGGACGACGCTTTGGCCACCTTTTATGCCCGTGCAGGAACATCGTGCTCAGCTGTACAGGAGGCACAACAGCGCATGTAAACAGTCGAATTAGCTAGTTCCTTATTGTGTTGGAAGGAACATCTAGAAATGCTCAACTCCAAGGACTAGGCCTTAGATAGCTATATACAGCAATTCGAAGAGCCTCACGTTGTCTGTAGATTCTATCACGGAGACCTGAACGGGAGCCTCCTATTGGCCAATTCCTTATTGATAATGTTGAGCCTAAGTCGACGGTGGAAGGTATCCTGCCCACTGCCTGTCTCCTCCTGATCGATCACCTTCTCTCGACCTGCGGCCCTTTTATGGACCAAAACCACAACTTCGATCACCAACATTGTCCATCGCCCAAGTCTTCAATCCTGCTTCAGATACCATGGGCGTGGTCGCCCTTGTTCAAGGCTTCAAACTCGATGTCGCCAAGCTCGACGAAGTGCTTGCGGCAGCCGGTATTCCACCAACTGGTAGATCGCAGCCTTTCTCTCAAGAAACCTCAGTCGTCGCGGAGCTCTGCAAAACCAAAGGCGCTGATTGCGAAATCCGAATCTTTATGCCGCTGAAGAGGGGATACAGCTTGTCGAGCTATGTCTTTATTTGCTTTGATTGGGTTTATGTGCACAACGCGAGAGACATTGAGGGCTTGTTGCAAAAGCCAGTGCCGGCTGCCTTCGAAGCCATACGCAAATCGCTCCAGGCTGAGTCAGGCATTTCAAAGTACATTGTATGCAACGACGACGATACTACATGGATCCCGGAAGAGTTAATTGCGCGCAACACGGTGAGTTGTTAATGTACAGGCATGAATCATCTAGCTAAACTCAGCATAGCCCCCAGTACATTGCGGTGTGTGTGATGCTGTCTTTGATAATTGGACCGCCCGCTTTTTCCATCGTCGTAATCAGCATGGAATAGACGAAGACAGGGAGCCATTGCCTGATTGTTAGAGTATGCAAGAAAGGATGCGCTAAGTGGGATGAGTGGAATGGCGTGGTGCTAGCTGTTCGAGGCGATGTTAAATAGAATTCATCACTGAGGTGTGGAGGAATAGTAGCCCGAGTGTTACAGATTCGATTAACACGTGACTATGCTATGCCTAAGCTCAGAGGATTACAACATGAATATGACGCCATTGGAGAGCCAAAGAAAACAAGAAACAGAGTAGCTGTGATAGTATACACAGCTTGGTATAAAAGTCAAGACGCAGAAGACATTCAGGTTCGATCCGCACCACCACCTTTTCCCTTTGCCCTTTGCCCTTGTGCCGTCCCTCCCAATGGTAAGACCTCGACAGTTGACCCACCGCGATGTGGCCGACCCCATTACAGCCCACCACGCGACGTCCTGTCCGCGGCTTCCACAAAGGCCGCCAAGAACGGGGACCTTGAAGCGGCCTCTCTAACTTCAAGGAGTATATAGATATTGGCTGGAGATGGAACAGGCACGCCCGGCGTCGGCCGGTTTAATACATTTACTGGTTGCGCCGGCTGCTGGGTTATCCAGGGGTCTTGCGCGCCCGTAGCGGAGGGCGGCCACGAGGCGGGGAGATTGTAATAGTTGTGGTTCGGTGCGCTGTCGCCGGCCGTATTGGTCGCACTTGAAGTGCTGGCGGTGCTGGCGGTGCTAGCAGTGCTGGGCTGCATGCAAGGAACCCATGAATTGGTACGAGCATCGAGATAGAACCGCCGATCATCAGTCCACAAGGTCCCGTCCGTATTTCGAAACGTCATGTCGAAATGTTTTGCGTACCTGCATAAGCTCTACACTTAAAAGAACAAGAAGGTGAGTCGACAAAACGTACTTGATTGAAAGTTTGCAGGATTTGTGACCCGCCAGATGACCGGACGACGATGAAAGGTATTTGGAATATTTGATGGGTCGGTACTTGGAACGGAGGACGGAGTTAGACTTCGATGTTCGGGGTGCAACAGCTATACCTTATAACTCCTGAAGTGGCACGTGAGTGGGTGAAGAGTGCAGTAGTGGGCCCCAGGCTCCCTGATAAACGCCGAGGGCGGCGCAGCGCGCTAGAATAGAATAGTTCTAACTCCGCCAAGGCTACCGGTCCATTTACCCGCAACGTTCACCTGCAGGATACTTATTTCGATTATCTCGACGCATCCAACTGTGCTTATACCTAATCGTCTCAAAGGCTATACCAAAAAGACCATTACCCCAGCGCTAGGCAAGCTCCTACGCGCCCACGAACTGCAGGTCCTTAGCGGGCGAGACGCCCTGCTAATTGTGTTAAAAAAAATGGCAGCACAGATGGAAACTACTGGCCAGCAGTGCCTTTCCGTCTGCTTCTTCGCCGCCATCAGATTGTTATTAGCATACCGGCATTGTCCGCGCGTATTGCGGCACGGCAGGGCGAGCATCACATCTCAACCTGCGCCAGATCGGTTATTAGCAATATCCAGAGAAACACGGCGCGTACTACGGCACAGCTATCACGTTTCATGCTCCGGCCATGGTGGCATCACGTCTTCTTCGCATGAGCCTTGCTAACTCATCAGAGAGAAGTGCTGCGCGTGCTAAAACAGCCACCCAACACCGCCATGAAGTATGAGCAGGTGTAGATGTTGGATTACTCTTAGTACACTAGCACGTCAGAATGGTGAACATAAAATTCCCTGGGGCATTACTGATATAAAAGAGCGTTTATAAACTTAACTTTGTGCTTTCTATAGCAAACAACAGTGCTACTTGCCAGTCTTAGCCTCGTTTCCATTATCTTTCAATCGCTATTAGCCATCAACGTGGTTTATACTCGATTTACCGAGTCAAATTTCGACTTTTCTTTTCATTTTCAGCCCTCTGCCGTCATCCTAGTTATCTCAAAGATACATCTCTATACGCCTGCGGTATGTCTCTATACGTATAGCAAGATGACAGCGTAAGCAGTTCTGCCTTCTTGACGCTTCTACAGCTTGTCTCACTGATGTCCAGAACCCCTCCCAACCTACCGCTAGTTCCTGGCATCCCTGGAATAATACATTTCTGGGATGCCAATACTATGTCCTATACCCTCATCGCAAGATTGGGTTCCTTAGGGCCCACCTATACTTTAGAGGATATCGTGACCCTTACGTGGGCTGCCATCTGTCAGCGCTATTTCTCAGACTTGAGCTTTACGCCTACAGGCTTAAGATGGACCGTGGCACGAGAGCAATACAGGGACCCTGGTACGGTCATTTCGGAAACTAAACTAGATGTCGTCGTGATCAAGCTCACTCCATCTCAACAACTAAGGCAGCAGCCACCTGCTCTGAACATGATTGCTTAACCACCACCGGTCGTGCAGGATATCTATCGAGACTACGTTTGGATTGAATGCAAAGCCCCGAGTTACGACACGCCTGGTGGTTGGCATACACTCGCAGATTAGACAGTGACGCGCCTGACCGCCGCACATCCGACTCGAGAGGTGTTCGTAATTCTTGCCATCGACTTGAAATGCGTTTGGCTTATGTGGGACCCCAATAACACGATACCACCCCGTCGGCGTCTCTTTATCCGTCTCAGCAACCCCGCCATGACGGTCTACTGGGTTGATCCGCGCCTTAAGCCCTTGACGGCGTACCCCTGGTTTGATTTTACCACTGGCGAACTCAGAGTTGCGCACGCGGCGACTCTCGATTGCTGGTCGAGAACGACGTTGCCTGTAACCGGTCAAGTTGTTCTCCAGAACGGGATAGTCTTGAGTGCTATTGAGCAGTTCCTTCACTGGGTTTCAACCGTTCCTAATCTTATGGGGTTAAATAATGGCAATTGGTCTGTTTAAGGAATATCGAGCGTAGCACGGCAGAGTTAACTTGCAAATTAGAGCGGAACCGATTTGTATGAAGAGGAATAAGGCGCTAAGCGCGAGGACTTTCAGTTGTTTTTAGTCTTTTTGTACTTAAGTTGTGTTATGATCTTTAGATTCCGTATTATCGCTACAAAGATGTCTTTGAAGATATAGAATAAGGGATTTCCCCTGCGTTAGGACATCGATTTGTGTTGGGGCTGAAAGGTAGATAATGATCGCTCCGTTCATCCAATGGACATTGCAGTGGTTCTGGGGTTATTAAAAGGCGACGAGGTGCAACAACTAGGCTGAGTGGCAGCATTATTGCAATAACATCAGCCGGTCGTTGCGCTTCAGGTCTTAAACTTTGGGAGCTGCTTCTCAGAAGAGCACTAAGAAGCAGCACCTAAAGCGTTCGAACGAACTAAGTTGTAATGGTGGAATGCGACCGCAAAAGGTCCTGGTGTACCGCCCTCACAGACTTGTTATGTTGTAGAGCTCTGGCTTATTATGATGAGCAGAAGGCTCGTTATATAGCTATGGAGAAGGAGAGGGCCACCCCCTTGGGGGCTAATGGAACGTTCTACCGGAGCGGCCGAGGAGGACAAGCTATTAGAAAGCCACGAAGCTAACTTCCTGGAGTTTATTTTTCTAACCGAGCTACAGTGCAGAACTGTTGGTGTAGCGAACTGACAAAACTGCAACCATGAGCCCTTAAGCCCTCGGAGAGAAATGGTCTTACGTGCCGCAGTTGTTATGTGAAACCTTTATAAAATTGTTATAAAATTGTGCACGTGAGGCAGATTCTTCTCCGAGGGTCTAGAGTCAACTGAGATAAGAGCATATAGAGCAGGCGGGATATGTTCACGTGATTACACTACATATTGTTGTGCTACGTCCCAGCCGCATCTCCTACTTCTTCGTTCGCGCCTCCTACCTCTACTTGGTCCTGTGGTTCTCCTTCCTGCTTGTTCATAGCATTGGCCTATAATTGGATATGGAAAGAGAAGAGGGCGCATTCTTAGCTCTCGACTGAAAGCCCGCCTACTCTTCTCCTATATGTAAAGTTTATTCACATCTTTAAGGCCCTTCTTGTACCTCTCTGCATCTAGTCTATAAAACTGCAACACCCGCGTCGGATGACAGTTTTCTAAGAACATGATCGTATTGATATGTCACCGTCTTAAGATTAGTTCTATATTAAGAATATAACCGTCTTAGGGAGAGACTGTCTTAAGAGTGTGACTCTCTGGAGAACGTCCTCATCTTAAGATACTACCGTTTTAAGACCATGATTTTCTTAAGAACATTCGGTCTTAAGAACGTGCCCTTAGGAACGTGACTGTTAGCAGAATAGCCCGGAACGTATCGTAGAGCAAGTTTACTCGAGACTTAAGATCTAGAAATTAGAACCTGCTACGTCTACGGGCCTTCCAAGACAGGGTACGGATCCCTATCCTTGTCGAATAGAGAACCCAAAATTAGGGCCTCAGTCTCGGCTCAGAATGCGCTCACCCCAGAACAGCCACAGCTCAGGCTGGAGCATGAGCAGCTCAGCTCCCTGAGCGGAAAAGGAAATTGCTTGGGTGCACATTGGGATATTGTACTACCTGTTATGGAAATGTTGCCGGTCCTTGGTTTTCAGCAGTGCAACTTCGCAAGGTGCACTGTTGAGTCCGCCTGTCATGTCACGTGGACTTTCTCCCATGCGCTAGCAACTCGACCACTTGCGAAGTTCGCTCAATTATTATCCGGCCCATCACTAGTCGACGTCGCTCTGCGACTCACAACCTGCTCGCGCAGTTGCCACTGTTGAAGGACCTAGAACGCAGTTGTACCGACCGAATCTTTAGACTGTAGCTGGGAAAACCTAGTTTTATTCTCGATCGACACATCCCCTTCCATATCAAGTGTCGTCGTGCCATTGTCTCCCGTTACGGTTCACCACCGTATTGCCTGTAGAAATCCTGGCCGGTCCCTCACGCGGGCAAGGGCCGGAATGAAAGGATCGTACGGACTGGAGGATTGTGAGAGTGGGAGGATTGCGAGAGGATTGTGCAAACGGGAGGATCCTATGGAAAATCTAGAGGTGTAGCAGAGCAGACTTATAAGACAGTACCGTAAGTATCGAGGGCATATTGTTTGCCAGTGCGTCTTGTTGTCCAAGTCGAGCTAGCAGAAATTGCATTTAAAAAAGGGGAGGGATATTAGCACACCCCCTAATCACTCCGCGCATACCCCCTAAATCACTCCACGCACACCCTCCCCTCTTGGCGCTTCACCACCTTCTAATTGGCTCGGAGCAGCGCGGAGCTTCCTCCGGGCATTCACCTTTACATCTCTCTGCACGTGATGCTACACGCGAGGCCATAGGTGAGCTCGTACGTGAGCTTGTACGTGAGCTCGTATATAAGCTTGTACGTGAGCTCGTACGTGAGGCTATACATAAGGCTATACGAATCGGCATAGCTATACAGCCTCTCCGTTCCACGGCGCATTCTTTCCGATTCGTGTGGCCTTACATATGAGCTCACGTACGGCTGTATATACGGCTGCACGAATTGGAAAGAATGCACTGTAAAATAGAGAGGCTGTATAGCCATGCCGATTTGTATAGCCTTACGTATGAGCTCACGTACGCCTAAGTGAATAAGAAAGGCTACACGTGCAAATACACGTGAGAATAGAGCTCCGGACGAAGCTCCGAGCCGCTCCAGCCAATCAGAAGATCAGACGAGAGAGGGGGTGTGCGGAGTGCAAAAGGGGGTGTGCGCGGAGTGATTAGGGGGTGTGTCAATATCCCTCCCCAATATAAAATAAGTATATATATATATAATTATATAGCTGTTTTAGAGTCATGCAGATCAGATCACATCGTTCTATATTATGAAGGAACTACACTTTTCCACAGGTCGCGTAACCCTCTTCCATCACCGTTTACTCCGCATCAAGATTAGCTCAACTCTCACCCTGCCTTCCAATATTGCTTCCCCACAGTTGACAAGAGGCCCCTGTATGCCATCCCTGCCCTGTTGGCAGAAATCCTCAATCAAGAGTGGAGAGAGTATATCTTCTAGCAAAACGCTGGCCAATGGTACGATTCGCGTTGGTGCCTGCCATCTGAACAGGTACGCATCCTCCGAATGGCCCAGCACGCGCGGGATTTTGACATCGTACCATGCAGACGTTGCTCTGACCTGCCACGGTACCAGTACATTTTTGATTGGCAGCGACTGCTGCAGTGAGAGGCTGTCATAACCCATTAGCAAGAGAACTACTCGTAAGGGCTATTTGGGCGGTCCTACGAAGTCTGTAGTTGCGCCGTCTTTGTCACGACCTTTTTTCCCTGGCACGTTGGCCGTCACTTGCATTGATTCCCACTGAGTTCCGGTACCAGTGGCGTCGATCATGCATGTATAGGGACCAGCCCCATCCGCGTTGACTTGATGCAATGTCATTTGGACCTGCGTAGAGTCAGTTTGTTTTTGTCCTCGGCGAAAAGCTGTTGTATAAAGGAGGGAGAGGGAAGGAGAGTAGACTGACCTCTCCTCCAGGTGTGATCTGCGGTAGCGTGCCACCAGATGTCGCAAGAACCTGTGCGGTTCCAGACTCAGGGTTGTTGTCTCCAGCCTATGGCCATCGTCATCAGCGTGAGAAGATAGTTTCAGCAGAGGCAAAACTTACTCCCAAGGTTTCTCCACAAGCGTCCTCCGCGTCTCCTTGAAAGCGAGTTGTATCCTGTTGAAACGGGTTGCGCCTTGTGCCGTCTCTTGGAGTTGAGGCGTCAACTGGCTAGGGTTAGCTAAACTGTATCTCATATCAAAGGGGAACGAAGCTTACTTCCGAGGGCAGTTCCATTCCCTCCCGCATCCCCAATAGCTTTTATGATAGCACCATGGCCGGCAACTAATTGGCCAGTGACTAAAAGAACGGCAGTCAGGAGAGATGATGACAGAAGCATTCTGAACCAGCAGATATCGAATTCAAAGACGGTTGAGAGATTAAGACGAGAGTATGAAGAAGATAAGATGATCAGTAGTGTAGTGGCTAAAAATGAGGGCAGCGTTCGGATAGTTATATATCAGCCTAGAGTCACGAAATACGATATCTCAGCCAAATTCTCTCACGCTCTCACGCATGCCATTCCTATTAGGCTCACTCGTTTCGGCCAAGGAGCATCATGTATGTTCCCCTGGTGCCTGAGTTTGGCATTCTTACATACAGGCCTCACATTGGCCTCCCTCAGCTACCCAAAGAGCATACTTTTTAACGGCTTCCGGATTGGGAAGAGTACTGAGGGGGTGGGTCAATCTTTGGACAGATCTTGGCGAAGGTAAGACATCAAGGTCGAGACCGAGGCAGTGCAAACCGTTTCATGAAGCAGCTCCCACCATTCACGAGTCCAGGAAAGCAGCAACGAAACCCAGGATAACGAGATTGGGAATAGAGAGAAACAAGTTGAAACCGGATTTTTAACTTCAGTTCGTTTGATGGTGTGGAGGGGGGCTCTCGGCAAAGCTGTGGTGCAGGTGGTTGAAGCGGAGAGCCGAAGGCTTGCTCTCACTGAAGCTGGAAGGTAGAAGATCAAGCAGTGCAGATCACAAAGCTTGGTGATTCTTGAAAAAGGATGGGCTTCCGGATTATGACACCGTGTCATGAAACGGGAACACCGGGAATACGGGGAGAAACTGCAGTTGTCCGATAATCTAGCGAAAACCTGGCAGTTATCACCTATCTAAGTACGAGAAATACGAGAAGCCTGCTCGAAGTTTTCAATGGAACCGAGAAAGTGGTTTGAGATGATGGTTGCGCTGTATTACTCCTTTCCTGTGCACGGTTGCGACTTTAGTGAAGCAAATACTACGGAATAATGTAGTTCTAGATTACACAAAGGCTGCTCAACTGTGCATAGGGATGTAAGCTGCTATGTCTTGGCTTCTTGAGTGAGTTCAATTTCGACCTCGCTTTGACACGTCGACTGGCAGAGAGGAGATCACTGAGAGCTGTTTCGATACTCCTTTCCATTGTTTGATATTGTCGCACACCGGTTTCAACTCCAGGGAGTCCCAATGTTGATCCGGCTCCATAGGCGCTTCAAGAGCAAGCAGGAGACACTCGATGTCCGTACGGTTTTGGTCGAGGGGTTGCGGTACTCTTCGTGGAAGATAGGGTGGAGTCGTTGTTAGATGGATTGGTAGATGGAGGAGGTAGAAACCACTAGGCTTCAGATGAACATGACTAGTCTAATCGGGAAAGGCGTGCCTCGGCCCTGACAACTCACCACCGCAACTCCAATGTCTCGTCTCTCTCGTCAGCGAATGCTCTTTATGAAGTATATACCCAACTCTTTTCGTGCTCGTCAACATCCTCCTTGAAATCGCCGCCACAATCAGTTTGGTTCTTTGAACATCGCTCCTAGCGCCTGCATTAGATCCAATGTACCTCCACTCCAACAGCGTTCTCCTGCATTTGCTTTGCGGATACGTATGATTTGCGGGTTTCGTAGAAGGGACACCATATACCATAAACAGCTCACTCGTTACTAGAGTAGATGATGCCCTCGTCTGCTAGGTTTGACGTGGCATCAGACGGACCCTCGTGTTCTCTTGCTACTCTTTGCAATACCTCTAACAGCTTTGACGATCACTTCACGGAAGGGAAACTCGTTCAAGGTCAGGCGACGAGAGGGACGTGACCATTGAGCGGTGGCCCAGATAGGCATATCTATATTGTAGGTAGGGAGTGGACACGGACCGTTCTAGAAGGTGGTACCTCGGCGGGGTATCTGGAAAGATAGCACTGTCCTCACTTATACCTCGTGATCTAAATTTCACTTCACTTGAAAATTCTAATCTCTCTTACCAACATACATCGCTCGCTTGCTTCGTGCTAGTTCCGCGTGCTTTCATCCTGAACCAAGACACTCTTCAGGTTCACTTTTTAGGCTATTCGGCCAGCAGCAAAGATGGCGCCTAGTCTCTCAAGCATCGAGCTCAATGACGGAGGACCCGCCGCTACCCACAGCGAAGGAGATAAGATGACTATGGCTGCGAATACCACCAAAGTCTATGAAAAGGAAGACGCTTCACCTCCTGATGTTGATGTTGAAGAGCTACGAGCTACTCAAAGATCTCACCGATGGGATCCCAACCTGCCGCAAGAGAAGGCCAACGAGATTCTAGACGACACCAAGACCGGCAACTTGGACACGATTGACTCTCTTGTAGAGGCATTGGAAGAGAATTCACCCTATAACGAAGTAAGAGCCGCAGTCCGCAATACGGACGGAGAAGAAGTTGCCAACACAGTCCGTGCCTGGATACTGGGTATGCTGTTCGTTACTATATGCAGTGGGCTCAATATGCTCTTGAGCATGCGGAGTCCAGCAATATCTTTCCCATCCGTCGTAGTGCAGCTTCTGGTATTTCCGTTGGGCTGCTTTTGGGCCAAAATAGTCTCTACTAAGGCTTTCACTATTTTTGGTCTGAAATGGACCTTCAATACTGGACCTTTCACAATCAAAGAGCATACTGTTATCACAGTAAGAAAACCCGTCATCTTAAAGTATCTCTTGGCTAACTTTCCATAAGCTCATGGCGAAGTAGGTCATACTAGCTTTAGGAATGCATATTGAAATAACCGCCATCACCTAACCTACATATGTAGTGTCTCGATCTCGTATGCATATAGCACGGATGCATTGCTTGCTCTTAAAGGAAAACGTTCGTACTCGTCAATATCATTGATTCATTGACATAAAGGTTCTAACGGGTTACAGCGTACTATAACCTCGACATGGGATGGGGCTTTCAACTGCTATTCACATTGAGCAGTCAACTCATTGGGATTGCTTTGGCAGGAATGTTCCGCCGATTTCTGGTTTACCCGTCAGCCATGCTTTGGCCCAACCAATTTGCCAATTCCTCTCTATTCTACGCTCTTCACGACCAGAGCAAATCTGATCCAGCAACCACCAACGGCTGGTTGATTTCGCGATACCGTTGGTTCGTTTATGTCGTTGCCGGGTCATTTGCCTACTACTGGTTTCCGGGTGTGCTCTGGCAAGGACTGTCTGTCTTCTCTTTCGTGACGTGGGTAAGTGCTTTGTGATGCAGTCTTTTGCTATCTAGACTTACTGACGGTGCTATTAGATACGACCCAATAACGTGGTTCAGAACCAGCTCTTCGGCGGGTTTACAGGTTTATCCTTAATCCCCCTTACTTTCGACTGGACGTAAGCAGCCAAGTTCTCTCTTCTGCAGTATTGAAGATACTGAGCGTGATTCTAGATATGTTTCGGCCTATTTGCTTGACCCTTTGCTTGCTCCGGCCCACTCCTTGGCGAACACACTAGTTGGACTGATAGTCTTCATAATTATCACCGCAATCGGAATATCATATTCTGGAGCTCTCTACTCAGACTATCTTCCGATCAATACCTCCACGACCTTCGACAATACAGGAAGCACCTACAATGTGTCTCGGATTCTCGGTCCAAACTTCACATTCGATGCGGCCAAGTATAAGGACTACTCGCCGCTATTCCTAGCACCTACCTTTGCGATCAACTACGGACTTTCATTTGCAGCACTGACAGCCGCCATAGTCCATACAATCCTCTTCCATCGCAAAGAGATATGGTACAGATTTCGAGCCGCCAAGAACCAAGAGCCAGATATCCACATGAAACTGATGTCGAAATATCAAGAAGCTCCGGACTGGTGGTATGGTGCTCTCTTCGTCCTCTCCCTGGCCTTGGGTCTCGCAACCGCACTAGGATATTCCTCGCAGCTACCCTGGTGGGCTTTCTTCGTCGCTAATATCATCGCCCTGGTCTTCATCATTCCGACGTGCATGATCTTGGCGATCACCAATATTTCATTGGCCCTGAACGTTCTGTCCCCGTTCTTGGCAGGATACATGATCCCTGGGCGGCCCATCGGCGTAATGATCTTTAAGGTGTTTAGCACGATCACACTAGGACAGGCACAGACCTATTCCGGAGACTTGAAACTGGCTCATTACATGAAAGTCCCGCCTCGAGTCACGTTTTGGTGCCAGGTCGTGGCCAGCATCTGGGCCTGCTTCGTCCAGGTCGCCGTCATGAACTGGACACTAGGAGCAATCGACGGCGTGTGCACCCCAACGCAGTCCACCCACTTCACCTGCCCGAACGGGAAAACCTTCTTCTCTTCCTCCATTGTCTGGGGCGTGATCGGACCCAAGCGCATATTCGGTCCAGGCTCCATCTACTCAAAGATGCAGTGGTACTGGCTGCTCGGGGCCCTCCTCCCCGTCTTCTTTTACACCCTCATGAGACTGTTTCCAAGGTCCCGAGCACGCTTTCTCAATGCTCCAGTCATGCTCGGAGCTATGGCGTGGCTTCCTCCTGCTACCCCTCTGAGTTTTGCGTCTTGGTCTATCATCGGCTTGATCTTTAATTACTGGATTCGGCGACGCTGGAATGGCTGGTGGTCCACTTACAACTATGTCACGGCTGCGGCGCTTGATTCTGGCCTCATTATTTCCACGGTTGTCGTCTTCTTTGCTATTACGCTGCCGAATGTCAAGATCCCGGATTGGTGGGGAAATACTGCGGTGTTTGAGACTATGGTAATTCAACATGAATGGGCTTTTATTGATGAATATTGCTAACTTAGTTCATAGGACGCGACGAACGGGGCCATGCGGAAGGTGGTTGCCGATGGGGAGACGTTTGGGCCGGCAAAGTGGTGATTTTTGGGAAGTGTGGTTGAGGAGTCCTCGTTCTATTAATGAAGCTAAAACCAAGCGCGAATCCAGAGCGTAACCCTCCCTCTGAGAGCCTCCCAGCGTCTGGCCAATTTGATCTCTTTATCAGGTATCATGCCCAATGCAACCAGAATTATCGCTAAGCCTAGAGCCCCTGCTTAGTCCAAATCTCTTAATCTAACTCCCGATTTCGGTAGTATTGTAGGCTGGCATATGAACTGTGTTACTTCGAGGTTCTTTTCCCGGGTTTTCGTCTCATCAGAGTGTGTGAGCCACATCATAAGACACACTGTAGGCCAAAAGCTGAACGATGCAGCTCCTACAAACTGGTGTATGTCCAGATAGCCGTCCCTCTCTTGAGACTTCTGCCTCTCTGAAAGTAACATACCAAATGAATAGCCCAAACTCATTTCGTTCAACAGAGTAAGATACAGCCACGAAAGTAAGGCGCTTTGCGAACAGGCTAAAACCCAGAGATCGTGTAGTGCAAGTACAAGAAAACTCAGGTGCAGTGCAGTACCTAGCAGTCCCTAGCAGTCGATCTTGAGAACGTATGGACTCTACGCCTGTAATCTCTCGTGATATAGGCCTTCGAACTGCCCAAGTGGTAACCAGCGATATCGCCATAACCAGCACACTTGACGGCGCTGCGGAAGAGGCTCCGAAGTTGTGATGATAGTCGCGAGACATAAGATCGAACATGGCGAATAAAGGGTAGCCTACTAGCCCTATAGCACTCGTATTTCGCCACACAGGCCTATGAGTATGTCGCTCACTACTGTCTGATTGGGGTAATGATTGGGGCATGGACGAGGTATTCCAGATATCTTTCAACAGCGCCATCACGGCAGTCAGAAGCCATGCCTAATATACGCCGGGACTCAGGTTGCAGCACTACAACCTAGGATCAACAACTCATATGCCAGAAAGCTACTCTCCGAACATCAGCTGTAGAGAACCCAGCTGAAATCTCAGCTGTAGAGAACCGAGCTGAAGCCTCAGCTGTGCAGGGCTCATCTGAACTTACTAGCGCGCCACCCTGGGGGTGGCCCCCTTCCTTCCCCTAGTATATATACAACTAGCTAGACGTCTATAGAAATCAGAGTTCACATCAATTTCAACCTGAGTCCGGGGCCATAGAAGCCAAATACGAGGCTGAGGTCGCGGTCGTAATCTTGGCCTTCGCATCGACCGCTGTCCAACGTGCAACATAGCGGGAAATGTAGAGGAAGCTGGAGGATGCCGTGAAGACGGCGGTTGCAGTGAGAAGACTCCAAAGTAATCTGGAGGCCATGTGGATAGAGGAGTTTGTACGCATTGGTTACTGCCAAAAGGACCTTGTAGGAGTGAACATTCTTGAGGCGAGCCCGAGAGGTTCAGTTTAGCTGAAGCCTGGAGGCTGAGCAAGCGTAAGCTAAGAAGAGTTGCTGGTGGGCGTCAGCCAATCCACGAACCGTCTCAGTTTTCAGCCTTGCACTGTCTTCTTCTGATATGCTCGTACCGACCAATCTCAGCAGTAGATGGCCAGGTATACCGAGACCAGGAGAGGCAAAAAGTCGAATGGCTAAGATATGAATGTCGATATTCTGCGTACCCAACTACGGGATGGTCTCAGCTTTCAAAATAGCTGCCCAAGGGGTATATATGCCATCGCGCAAGTACATCCGTACAGTACCCAAACTTCAGATCCAAGTCGTGACCGACGTCAAGAGGCCCTTGAACTCCCCGTCCCATTCGCCCCCGAAGAGTTCATCTCACGCCTCATCTCCCCCTCCAAATCCTCCAGCTCTTCCACCTTCTCCTCAAGAGACTCGATCTGCTTCCTCGCTGCCCCCTTTGCCTCGCTCTTCCGTCGCATGTACCTCGCTAAGCTCTCACACAAGCGATCGAGCACGAACTCCGCCTCCGCCTTCTTACTGACCAAGGGACTGTCCTCGCCAATCCAATCCCACTCCACGAGTCCCTCTTCTTCCTCTTGGGCCTCCACCTCTTCCGCACTCTTCGTCGTAAAACGAATTAAGCGCGTGAACTCAACCCATTCCTCGTAAGAATATTTTCTAGGCGGATCGTGGGTGAGGTCGTTAGCAACATTGCGGATAGCGAGTGCTAGTTTTCGTGAGAGGGTTGCCTCATCAAGTGCTGGGTCTGAAATGGCATCACGTTCTGCTTCTTCGGCAAGGTTCTCAATATTCGGCGGTGCCGTGTCTTCCTCTTCTGCAGCGGCAGACTCGGGGTCTGGGCCGGTGGGGAAACCTTTCTCGAGGCGCTTCTTCGCAGCTCGCTTCTCAACACGCCGCTGCATCCAGCGGAGCAGCCAGGGATGACGATCCAGAAAGCTGCGCCAGATGCCTTCCTTCGGCAGGACTGTAAAGTCGGCGAGGTTGGTGATGAAGTTCTTGAAGTTAGAGATGACGGTGTCACCCATGTCCGAGATGAGCACTGTCATGGTCGGTACGGCGATGAGTGACCAGACGACGAAGAAGGCGCGGCCGGCATTGGTTTTTGGTGAGAGATCACCATAGCCGATAGTCAGTAGTGAGACGTAGCAGAAGTACAATGCTTGGAAATAGGTCATGTCCTGGGAGGTTTTCTCGCACTGCCAGAAGACCACGGCGCCAACGCACCACAGGATGCCGAACGCGATGACAGAGAGGGTGAGCGCCCACCACTTCTTGAATTTGTGGGTCGCGTGCTGAATACTGCGCATCTGATCAAACCGGTCCTTTTCCTCGCGCAGCAAGAGGAGCTTTGGCTTGCTGGGTCTCAATGGGATTGGCCTAAAGGTGCTCCGATGAGCTCTATGCCGCCCTGTATTGCCCATCGCTGACCGTGGGTACTCGTTTGCGCGGTGTGGTGCGCTGATGTCGGCTTTCGAGATGTGGCGCTGGCGGCTGGGCGATACGCCCTCTCGCTGGTGTAAATCGAAAGAGTTGGTAACGGTGCGGTCCATGGTGCGCACGCGCTGCTTTTCGACGTGTTTCTGGATCAAATTTTCCTCGCCGAGCTGCCCAACAAACTTGTTGAGGGACGAGATGACGAGACCAAGCATGATGATGCCGCCAACGGAGTAGGGGAAGATGAGACCCCGACTAACGTCGTTGGTAGGGTAAAGATCGCCGAAGCCGACGGTGAGGATCGTTACGTCGCAGAAGTATAGCTAACAAAGATTAGTGGGTGAACGTGAGGGGTGGTACTCGGTAGGTAGACGCACCGCATCGACAAAATCCCAGCCGGAAGTGCCGTTTTCGGTTTCAATTCTAGAAAACACAGCACCGCCGCCGGCAAGCCAGATGAAGAACATCATAGTCTGTAGAATCAAGGTGCGTTGTGCTTCTGTCAACGCGAAAGTGTCGGGGTAGTGGCCTAGGAAGTAGCCCAGCATGTTGATCATGAGAATCATAGAGCAGACGAGGTATATGCAGGCGGCGATAACGGCATACCAGAAGCCTTGGGTGTAGGTTTCATACGGCCGCATTGGTGGAGTATAAATTTGCATACAGGCAGTAATGCCAATGAGCTAAACCAAGAGTCAGTGCATTTGACTACTTTGAATATGCGAACGAGAGAGGAGTCGTTTATAATATGCTTATATCTGTTGATTTGAAGAAGACGTATTATTTGAAGGAATAATTACTTACAAGTGCTGTCGCAACATACCAGAAGAATATCGTCATAGGCAAAGCAATGATGTATCGGATACGTTGGGTGAAGTTCATCAGGAGAAAAAAGTTGCCAATGAAACCCAAGATTAGGGAGGCTACATTGAGCCAATAGCACCTGGCCATGTTAGATTGACATCATGATGGAGAAGACGGCGCCATCGTTATGTCTTGGTTGTTGAAGTTGGTAAGAAGAGCAGTTGCGGTTCGAGTGAGTATACGCCCGAGACAGTTACGTACCAGTGAGGATCTTTGAAAGACACTCCGTCGAAATCGCCAACGAATTGTCCATCAATATAGATAGTTTCTCTCCAATATGAGACTAAAGCGGCAATAGAGAGTACGTTTGCGAGAGGACCGAGAGTGGCGGCGAGCAGTCTGTATCAGCATAAGCAAAAGTTTAATGGCTACTTTTGGGGGAAAGTTGACTAACGGAATACCGGTCGAGGCGAACCACCAGTCGCTTCAAGGATATAGAAGTTAGTATTGTTGCTATATAAATCTGCAAAGAATACAGCAGTAATAGGTTCCAGAATCTGACGTACTGCTCCTGGCCGTCGTGCCACTTTCTCGGCTTGAAAGACCACTTCCTCCTCTGCCGTTGCGGCTCGCGGTTCGGGTGGTTCTCAGACAACTGGATGGCAGGCCCGCTGTCATACAGGCCATTGTGAGAGGAGCTCGAGGCATTGTTGAAAGAATTCTCGGTCCCGGAAGTCAGTGGCTTCTCAGGGAGGATCTGGGATGAGGTTGGGCTGGCTGCAGTCATGGTGTCGGTGTCGAGAAGACGGCTTCATGTCATTGAACAGTACCGGCCATTGCAGGGCATATGAGAGCAGACAAAGCTAGATATTTCGCGAGGCTGTTGGTATGGACTCGTATCTGGATAAGAGCGGTAGGATGAACACAAGTAAAGAGACTGGCACAGAAACCGGAGGAAGGGGAAAAGTTGCGGGGTCTAGAGCTGAGGACAGTGAGGGTAAAGGCCGTGGAGGCAGTGGTTGGTGATAAGGGCTGGAGGCAAAAGCAAGGCGCGCTTGGCAGAGGAATTCGGTGGAGAGATAAAGACACGGGAGCGGGTGGCAGATGACAGCATCGTTGCTGGCGTGGCTGCATCAACCAGATCGTGAACCTTGGAACGATCGATCGATCGCCCAAACCCGGGGTAAAGCTCGCCGTTGCCTGTCGGTCAGGCCTCTAGTTAACCACCACACATGCTTATGTACGCTTAGTTCCCGGCCGAATCCGGCGCTTCACAAATGCCTGGGCGTTCGACGACGCGTCGTCCATGACGGAGGTATATGGAGAATATAAAGCACTGTCATAGCTTCGTATACAAAGCCTTTCCTGCCGCTATCTGTAGGGCTTCACGTACTAGTAGAAACCGGAGGCAGCGGATACCGTCCAATCTGCGTCCACCCTGTTAACACTGCGTGGGGTAGCTTCATGAGTTCACTTGTTGTCCAAAATGCCGAACTTCTCTCCTTTTCGGGATGCTGAAAATGCTATGAAGCTCCTCACGCAGCGGCAGACGAGTGTACGGATTTCTATGACGAGGCATTGTAGGACTAGGGTGCAGACGATTGACAAGAGTTTTGTTACTATATACAGGGAATATAATCTCGTCCTTTCTATTGCGCCTTAAGCTTCTCTGTCAGTTCAGGCACCCTCTCGAATAGATCTCCCACGAGGCCGACATCGGCTACCTGGAATATGGGCGCCTCCGCGTCCTTGTTAATCGCCGCAATGACTTTGCTGTCCTTCATTCCCGCCAGATGCTGGATAGCGCCTGAGATACCTGCGCACAGGTAGAGCTGCGGTGCCACGTTCTTTCCAGTCTGCCCAACTTGTAGGCTGTTGTCTGCGTATCCACTGTCGACTGCTGCTCGAGAGGCTCCTACAGCTGCGCCCAGCGCGTCGGCCAATGGTAGCATAATCCTGTCGAACTCTTCCTTCGACTTCAAGCCTCGCCCTCCAGACACGACTTTGGTAGCGGTCCCAAGGTCTGGTCGGTCTGACTTGGCAAGGTCCTCTGATATCCACTCGGTGGGATTTTCGGCCTTGGGATCCACGCCCTCGACCACTTCTGCTAAGCCGCCCGTCAATTCGCCTGGTTGGAATGCAGTCCCTCGGACAGTGATGACTTTGACGCCGTCGGACGATTGAACAGTGAGGATAGCATTGCCAGCGTAAATGGGCCGTACGAAGGCTGGAGAACATTAGCGTGGGTGTTGGACAAGACATGACGGACACTCACTGTCCTCGCTCTCGATGGCCGTGATGTCTGAGATCTGCTGAGAGTCCAGCAGTGCTGCTACTCGAGGCATGAGGTTCTTCCCAAACGCCGAGTGGCCTGTGAGAACGTGTGTAAAGCCGCCCTTCTTTATGTTTTCTACGAGTAGTGGTGCGAAGCTCTCTGGTAGTCCCTGAGTCACGTTAGACCAGCACCACAATCACAATGACAGGCGTATTCTCACCTTATCGTACGCGTCATTCTCCACGTATATGACCTTCTCAATGCCCTGCACCTTCGCCGCCTCCTCGGCCACTGCCTTTACCCCACTCCCCGCAATGAAACCAGTCACTGACCCCCCCAGCTTCTGGCCGGCTGTCACGGCGGCCAGCGACGAGACATTGAGCTTTCCTTCCCTCTGTTCGAGCAGTGCGAGTGTGGATAGTAGGCGTGCGACGGCGGAGAATTGCGGTAACACGGTAGGCTGGGAGCGTCTGAGGTGGGATCGCGCTTGGCGGAGGACGGACTGCCTCGCAACCGAGAACATGGTGGAGAGGGTATTACAGGAGAGGTTGAGGAGAAAGAAGAGAGAGAAAGAGGGCCGATTGGAGCAATGGTGGTGTATGCAAGAGTGAACCTTGGAATGGTGAATGATGATATCGCCGGAGAATGGCAACCTCGGGCGGTTTGCGTCGCTTCCTTTCTCCCCGGCTTTCGGGGGCCCAAGCTCCAGCCCATCGCTACGGCGTACCACACGTGCGAGTTTGGCAATGGCATGCCGTATTCTCTGCCAGGAGCAGCAGGTCACGTGCCCAATTTTCTCACTCCGCCGCCAGCCCTGAGCTGCATCGCGAGTCGACGCGCCGCCATCACCACCACGACCCCCCATCATTCACTCAGCCCGCGTTCCTATCTCGGATCGTCGCCCCCGATCCCCTCCTGCGCCTCCCGCGACTGCTACCCTCGACTTCGGCCCCAACGCGACACCTCGTGGGCGCCCCTGCCTCCGTCTGAGGTCCGCAGCATCCTCCGCTCTCTGGCATGGCCGACGACGCGCTTCCATCAACCACACACGACGCTGACAATACACTGTTTGGGGGAGAAGGTGCCACTGGTGCCCATATCGACGCCGGCGAGATGCAGGCAGAGCAAGGTACGCTTTTCTCACTATTCATGTCTGCGCGAAGCACACTAGAGCCGCATTTCTTCCGTTTCCACATTTGTTTCATTCACAATGGCTCGTGCACGTACTGCCACCGCAGATATATATGCAAACGAGCTCGACCTTGGGTCTCCTGGGCAGATGTCGGAGTTTTCCTCGGATTCTGTCTCCCAGGACACGTCTGAGCAACACCCAGATGGCTCTGAGGGCGCTGCCTCAGGCTTTCAGTCCCCAGATTCCTTTTCAAACTTCCAATGTCATGGTCCCATCTCCCCTAGAGATTCACCAAATGCGCATAACGACGTCTTTCAGGAGCCATCTCCTCCGTCTTCGTTTACGCCTGGTGCACTCTCGCTTGATTTGGTTCAGCATGCCTTTGGGGATAATCGATTCTAACAGTGATGCCTTAATATAGACACCTCCATGCTCGAAGACCAAGAACCTACCTCCCTTTCAGTCAAGGAATCCTCTCGCGAACCCTCAGCAGCCACGCCTGCAATTGTATCTGACAACCCCCTGGACGCACCTGATGGACCCCGACCGGAGAACGAGGATGCAGACGCCCAGGATGACGAGGAGATGACCGGCATCGAAGATTCTGCAAAGAAGGAGAGCCCGACAGAACACCCCGAAGCAGTAGATGGTGCCTTTGATGGCCAGACCAAGAGCGCCCTCGAGACCTCTGCACGGTCGCACCTCATCGCTCAAACCCACGCAATTATTCTGCCCAGCTACAGCACCTGGTTCGACATGCACGTAATCCACAAGCTCGAGAAGAAGGCCCTCCCAGAGTTCTTCAACGCTCGGAATCGAAGCAAGACGCCGGCGGTTTACAAGGACTACAGGGACTTTATGGTTAACACTTATCGCTTGAACCCAGCGGAGTATTTGACGGTCACCGCATGCAGGCGCAATCTTGCTGGTGATGTGTGCGCCATCATGCGCGTTCATGCGTTCTTAGAACAATGGGGCTTGATCAACTACCAGGTTTGTTATTCGGATGCTGGCATAATGATACTCGTTAACACTTTAGATAGGTTGACCCAGACACGAGACCATCAAACATCGGTCCCCCGTTTACCGGCCACTTCAGAATCACCGCAGATACCCCGAGAGGCCTACAAGCCCATCAACCCGCACCAGGATCCATTACCACCACAGGAAAACCACACCTCACAACCGAACGGTTAGCAAGTGCCGCTCCGCTTTCGAAATCAGACCTGAATCTCGAAATCCGACGAAACATCTACGAGTCGAATGGTAAGGAAGCTACACCTGGAGAATCAAAGGATAAGCCATCGAACGGAGAGGGTGCAGCGAATGGTTCCGCTGATACTAAGGTTCTTGAAGATGCCCTGAAAGAGCCTAGCAAGCAATTTTTCTGCTATTCCTGCGGTATGGACTGCACCCGCTTCCGCTACCATAACTCGAAGTCTGCGCCTCATTCCGCCCAGGGTAAGACTGCTGCTATGGTCAAGCACGACCTTTGCCCGACGTGCTTTCTCGATGGTCACTTCCCAGCGTCGAGCAAAGCATCGGAATACACCAAGATCGAGAACGAGAAATACCGAGCATATCCGGATAGAGACGCACCATGGACGGACGCAGAGACATTACTATTGTTGGAGGGACTGGAGCTCTTCGACGAGGACTGGAACAGTGTTTCGGACCACGTTGGCACGCGCACGAGGGAAGAGTGCATGATGAAGTTCTTGCAACTGGAAATCGTGGATCCATATCTGGAGGCTGATGTAGCCCAATCCGACGCCCCAACAACCTCCTTAGGCTACCTGAACAACGGCCGCCTCCCCTTCGAGCAAGCAGACAACCCTGTCATGAGTGTCATGGGCTTCTTCGTTTCCCTTGCCGACCCTAGCGTCGCCGCAGCGGCCGCTGGCAAGAGCGTTGAAGAGCTCAAGCGCGGTCTACTCGAGAAGATCGAGAAAGCTCCAACAACATCCGAGGCTGCCGCTAAGGGTAAAGAAAAGGAAATGGAAAAGGAAAAGGGAAAGGAAGCCGACAAGGCTTCTTCAACCCCTGCTGCCGCTAGCTCAAACGTCAAGAATAAGGACGCAATGGACGTCGACGAGGCCCCAGGCCCCTCATCCTCCCCACAACCCACCTCTTCGAATGCCCTCGCCACTACCACATCCGCCCCCACCGCACAGCAGGCATTCACCGCCCTTCCCTTCGCGCTCTCTGCCGCCCGATCGGCTGGCCTGGCCTCGCACGAGGAACGCTACATCACGCGCCTCGTGTCTAGCGCTGTGAACCTGCAGCTGCAGAAGCTCTCGCTCAAGCTACAGCAGTTCAACGAGCTGGAAGCTGTTCTGTCGGCCGAGCGCCGCGACCTTGAGCGCCGCCGCCAGCAGTTGTTCCTCGACCGCCTCGCGTTCCAGAAGAGGGTCAAGGGCATCGAAACGGCTGCGCGCAAGGTCAGCACCGGCCTCGGTGTCGGAGAGCAGGGCACTGGCATCGCCGGCAACATGGTCGGCATTGGTACCATGGCGCCAGATGACGCTGTCCGGGAGCTCACCGAGGCCGTGAAGCGGTTTGGTGTTGGCAAGGGCGAGGAAAAGGTGGGCGTGAAGCGGACGGGGGTGGAGGGCGGCGAGGTGCAGCCGGTTAGCGAGGAGACGGGGAGTGGATACGGGCGGTTGGAGATATGAACGGGTGGATAATCGGGGTAGGGTAGGGTTTGGGCTGGGTTGTGCTTTTTCTTCAAATCTGGATATTCGGTAGGGTATTGGCGCGGGATTCTTGGGGTAACTTTCTCTCTTTTTTTTTCCGTGGAACGGTTCATCGAGCTGGTCGCCTGAGAGATGATGGGTGATGGACGAGCTAGGTGGTCGTTGCTGTATACTATTTCGAGGAATTGAGATAAGGCAGGTGCTTTACTCTAGGTTGTCCTAAGTGATGTGATCTCCGATATTTCGATGCGGGAGCAGCTATCTTGCGTATCAAATTTGCCACCTCGGGGGGGGCACCATGGATGTATTTCGGCCGCCCAACGCAAGTAAGATCTGGGAGCCTGATTTGCAGTCTCAGGTTTGCTTTCTAGAAAACGGGACCCTAAATCAGGCCTGCGGTCAAAGAGTTAGCGGTGGGAGCAAATCCGCCTTTTGTGAAAGTGCGTCACGAAACTCTAGGCTCTACACCTTTGGCATGCCAAGAATTGCCACTTCGGGACATGTTGTTGGGTATCAGTCAATGCCTGAGTTCCCACAAATCATCCAAGCCTCAAGAATTTGCGGCATTCGATACAATTTTTTTTTTTTTTTTTTTTGCCGGGTTCGATGGGCTCGTCACAAGTCAACTAGGCCATAGGCATTTGCGAAAGATTCCTCAAAGCTACGTGGAATTCAGAGAACTAGATGCGTAGACAGTAGGAGATCCGCCAAAAGCATGATACCCGTCACGGACCCCCCAACTCGGCCTGTACGATTTCGTAGCAGTACATGGAGAAAGAGAAAGGGAACGCAGATCAGAAAACGGTAGACAAGAAAGAAAAGAGCAAAGAGGGAACCCGGAAAGAAAGTCAGAGAGCAAGTCTCCCCCCCCCCCCCCCCCCTTCCCCCCCAAAGGCATTAATCATACCATGAGTCGACTCCATGGATCGCGAGCTGTCTACAACACCGCATCCAGCACCTCCCTTAACCATTCCACACAGCGCTCGATAAGCCATGTTTCAAGACCCTCGCCTGGCTTCTCCGCAGGCAAAAACTCCGCGGCGAGTTTGAAGAAGAAGACGCGGAGCTCCTCCTCCGGGCCGTCGAAGAGCAGTATACGGAGCTCTGTCACCGGCGCGCGAGTCTCCGTGATGCGCGAGGCTAGTAGATCGCCGTTGACGTGGAAATATGGGGGTTTGGGGTGGCCTTTGTCTTTCTCCATGCCCTCGACCACGTCCTGCAGGCTTATGTGGGTCCAGCTTACTCTTGCACTCGCATATTGCCTCTCGGTGACGGTGATGAGGGTTTCGAGGAATTTGAGCAGACGCCAGGCGGGCTGGTCGAGGATGGAAAAGGCGAAGAGAGTCCCGTCGACGGCTGTGCCGATGATGTCGTCGACGAGGATGCCGGAGACCGGTGAGGTTGTTGGTGGGTCTTCTGGATGGTCGGCAGAAAGATCGCGTTGGGGGACGCCGAGGTGAGAAGTGTCGAAGGATTTGGGATGATAGCGTCGCCAGGAGGGCCTGATTGCGCCGCGGCGGAGGCGGGTCACGCATCGGGGGAGGCGAGCTTCGAAGAGGGTTGATGCTGCGTTCTTCAAAGCTTCCTGGGATGGTTGGAGGAGTCCGACAAGAGTGGAGGATTTGTCTGAAATGAGGATCAAGGTCCGAGGAGCTTTTGCAGGAGGGGATGAAGACGCCGCTTCGGTAGTCTGCCTATCAACGTCAAATTTGATTGGAGGAAGCCTAATGGTGAGGTGATTGAGTGTGTTCCTAGTTCCTGCGTCGCTGAAGAAGGGCTGTAGGATAGGTTTGCTTGATGACGATAGCCCAATTCCCAACGCGTAAACTGAGTCTTGAGCAGTCGATATGTAAATGCTGGGTCCTTGGACAGTGATGTGAAGTCCAGGCGAAGGAAGAGTGTATTGTGAAACCAGAAGCCATCTAAATATCACTATTAGAAGCTAAAATTCGACGAATATGATAACATTCTCACCTGCTCTCTACCGCCGAGAACTCTTCAAGCTGAGCCGTCGTTCCACAAGTATAAATCATGTGCCGCTCGTCATAATTTGCGATAGCAAAGACGGGATGTCTCAAGTCTCTTTTCTTGCTTTCCCGGAACTCCGCCTTGCCTTGGCCGTCGAACTTAATCTGCAAGAAAATCAGGCGTCCAGATAAGTCCCCGTTTGCATTGGTGATTCCTGTGCCAACGACAAGAAAGTCGTGCTTTTTAGTCCCCTCTTCCCAGTGCCATTCCAAGAAAGCATAGACTTTCTCGTGAGGATACAGTACGAATTCGCCAGCAATGAGAGTTTTATCAGATTCACTTTTGGGCTCATCTTCCATGGCAGTATTCTCGTCATCATCATCGCCAGCAGTAGCGTAGCTATCAGAGCGAATGAGCTGGATGACAGACCGAACGCTTCGAAAACCCCCTATCCCGAATCCTTTTTTTCCCTTCTTTTCTTTGATCCTGAACGCCGCGACTACCATCATCTTCAAGTGAGGGGAATATATTAGCTTATATGGCGTATCCCGCATCAATAGCCGTCGCGGTACAGCTTTGACCTCGTCTTCAAGTTGAGCAAGGAAAAATGTCGAATCCGAAATAGCCAGGAGAGATCCTCCAAGTGAAAATCCCTCAGGCGAAATTCTTGGCCAGTGCGGAACCTGAGAAAGCGCAGATACAGCAGGTTGTTGCAGCGCAGGATTTCCTTGATCTGTGAACCAGATGTTATCTGTTTCGTACCGGATGGTAGAGTCGTTTGTCTCACTACGCTTCAACCGGCAGCATTCCGAGCCGCACATCACAAAGGCAGTACTTGGCTCCGAGAAGCACTGAATGACCCTAGCCGAGGTATGGCCCATTGGGATGATCGTGGCATTAGTAGCCGAGATGGCTGCATAAAATGAGCACCGGGTGATTTATGAAGAGGAGAGCGTTACTTACTTGGGTTCGTATGATGTTCTTCTAGATTCAAATTGTAGACACAGCCGTTCCTCATTCCGCAGACCAAGGTGTATTCTCCACGCTCATCAGAGGAGAGTAGGGCAACGCTCTCGCACACCGCAGGTATGCCTTGCATGAAGCCGGCCTCCACCTGCTTCTCCAGTACAAGAACAAAATCCCCTCCAGCAAGACTAAAAAGCAGCAATTCGGCGTTTCTGGTTCCCACGAAAACATAGGGCTTCCCATGGATGTCAACAAGCTGCACACAGGTTGGCTCTGCCGACAGAGGTATCTGTGCCTGGAAGACAAAGGATGGACTGGTGTTTGGACAGCCAGTGCCATCACCTGGCTCCGCAAAATGGCGGAGCTCAAGACCGAACTCTGAACCTTGTCTAGTTGCAAGGACTATCAATGGCCATCTACTATCCACAGTCGCAGCGCGTACTGGGCGGTCCGACGGGAAGTCGTGGCGAGTTACTCGACGAAATTGGGGGTTCTCGGCGGAGATAGATAGCAGGTGCAGAGCATTTTCTGTTACTTGAACGGCCCATTCAAGACTTAGCGTGCATGCCGCGAAGGTTTCCTTGTTCAGCTCCAGATCGCAGTTTTGCTCTTCGATCTCGGACACCTCCATTGACTCAATAGAGAGGTGGTATAGCCGAGTTTGCCAAGGGTGAGACACAAGGAAGAATACTCCCTCCTGTGTTGGATCGAATAGTGCCCACATGCCTGTATTTCCGAGACTACCGGATAGATCTGCTTCTGCCCAGATACGAGCATTCAGTCCATATCGTATTTCAGATATCGATCCGTAAGGTGCTCTTCCGCTTGTTGTAAGTATGGTATCACGCGACCTTTCATATTTCGATTTGACGCCTGGGAGTCTGGAAACGACGGTGTCCATCAAAGGCGTCCAGTTTGGTAAAGATTCAATATACTCAAGCTCCATGCTCTCGGTCCGTGTGAACATCTTTTGGGATCCTTTACTCCACTGGCCAATTTTGACAATCTCTCCGTGGCTCATGTCTCCTGCGGCAATCAAGACGTCGGGGCTCATGAGAGAGAAACCGACGTTTAAACTTGCAAAAGCAGAGTCCACTATACAGTTAAGTTGTCCGGCGCTCGTGACGACAACGAGAGAAGCGTTCGGGTGTACCACAGCATAGAGAACTGTTCCATCTTCTCTGACAAGGTATATGCTCTCATCTAGTTTGCCCTCCGGCTCCCAATTGCGGGCTGTCCGCGCCCAGTGCGTCAACAAAGGTTTGCGTCTTGAGCTACCAGAGTATCGTAATATCTTGGGCTCGGATTTATTTCCGTGCCGCCGAGGAGAGCCAGTTAAAACATCCCGATACAAAGATATAATGTGCTCACCTACCAAAAGGAAGTCGGGAGACTGACGGAGAGGTATCAGGAAGAGAGGATGCGCATCTTCTGAGGATTGTCAGCAATGATAGAGTTTCGGCTGTGAAGGAACCGAGGAAAGGCTACGGGTTGTCACGCGAGCCTCATTCGGTCTGTCACTGAAATTGAGCGTAGAGAAGGGCTTACCGATATCTAGCGGATACTTGTCTAATCGAACAACAACTGAAGATTGTGGTCCGAGTATAGTCGAATTTGCATCCCACTCATAACAAGACATTTTTGTTCTCCCTCCAATGGAAAACAGGACGAGAAGCACGACCCTGTCAACATCGCTCGCAGCCGGCGAAAGAAACTCCATCTTCAGAATAACGCCTTTGTCGACCTTAAATGCGCGTTCCTCTACTTTAGGCGTTGAAAAGGATGCCGCTTGGAGGTCGGTATCAGGGGCGCTGAGTATGTCCATTCTCCAGGCAGCCATACTTTTCGTAGTATAGATTAAGAAGAGTTCTTCGGAGGCGCCGATAGCGATGGCTCGAGATTTGGGATCGACAGCCAGATGCTTTCCAGGATTTTCCAAGAAGGAGACGAATGGCAAGGGGTTTGTGCTCTGGATGAAAGTAACACAGCCAGCCGCACCCTGGCGGGCATACAGGAAGACAACCCTCTGAGATTCTAGCGTCAGCACAAGGACCTGTGGTGGAATGACATCGGAGGGCTCCTCTTTCAGGCCGCCATTCGCTTCTCTCTTGAGCTGACTATTGAATGCGGGCTTCCTTGGCTCTCCAAAACATCTGGCGGCCCTAATGCGAGAGTCGAAGTCGGTCTTGGAAGCAATGTGGCGAAGATGGCCATCAGAACCTATCTCCTTGATATGAAGAAAGTCCTCGCCAATGAAAACGACGTCGTTGAAGTATTTATGGCGAATTCTCGCAGGAATAATCCAATTGATTATGGGACTCCGTAGGATAGTCCGAGAAAGAAGGCCGAGAGTGGGCGTGGGCTCTGGTGGTTTTTGTTGCCTCGACTTGGCCGCTGCCTCTGTTTTCCGGCGATCATTCTCCAAGATTTCATCGAGGTTAACATGTCGGGTTTCCCACTGCCCGTTGACAAAGACGTTCGTCGCAACTGAAGCCATTGCCAAGACAACAACGGCCAAGGAACGAGCGATCAAGGGCTTGGCTGGGTTGATTGGAGTCGGCTGCTTCTGTGACTTCGGACTGTCTCTGGACGGATGTCAAAGCAAGAATTCGAATTGAGAGACAGTACAGCGTGGCGAAGGAGGACGCGCTCCACGGGCCGTGTGCTGATTGGTCCAATATCTTGCAGCGTAGCTGTCAGATGATTAATGCGGAGGGACGCAACGTGACGGCAGGTCACTGCAGAATGCTAGAAATGGAGAAGACGCACTGCCTGGAGAATTGTGTGTGCTGATTGTGGGCGCCGCAACATGGTGGTCGGGCTGCACATTCGACTTTCGCGCCGCGGTAATGGGCCCGATGAATAGCGCATAGGAGGGTCAGCAGCGACGGGTAGAGCTCAAGGAGGGCCCTGTGAGGTCAGCGGGGCGGGCCGCGTCGACATTGAGATGCAGACATGCAACTCTCTCAAACGGTGAGGGCGTGCAGCAAACAAATCACAGGATGGCGTGCGGCAGAAGGCAGAAGGATGGCGCCGGCCGGTGATATCTGCACGGGAGAGAGCAGTGCAACAGGGTAGGCTGATTCAATCGAGGGTCTGGACAGCTTGTTTGCTTCAGGATTTCTAGGAAGAGTGTCTAGGAATGTCGATATGGAGGTCGGGAAGCAGGCCACGGGGGTGGAGACTATCTGCACGGCGACGGCGAGAGTAACATGACAGAGGACTGCTGCGTTTGCTCATGCCTGCTACGTTTGCTCATGCCTGCTGCCTTTGCTCATGCCTGCTGCCTTTGCTCGTGCAAGGAAGGCTGAAGGCGGTTGGGCACCCATGCAGCACAGCACCGAGATGAACTATTGCGAACTGTCCCGCCATCCATCTGTGTCAGTGCCTGGCCGCCTTGGTGGCGAGAACAGCAACGACAGCGAGCACAAGACGCACAAGGCCCTGGCACGTGGAACCGGGAGAGGACGCTGTGTAGCACTCCTGAATCACTTTCCTTGATTGCTCATATTCACTCGATCTGCTGCGTTGGCGTCGTCCGGAGAGCCAGAGGCAATACTGGCAATATATCGATACATAAAGGGCATCCGATGAATGAGGGTACTGAAAACTTGCGAAAGTGGCATATGATCTTCGATGACCTCCCCTATGTAACAGCTGTATACGGGTCAGATGCTGCCGGGTCTTGCATGGGCTCTCCCTGGTTGATAGAGGGGAGCATCCCGGTGCGCGTGTTACACGTCGACTCCGTCGCAAGCGAATCCATCACCTTGACAACAGCCAAATGATACTCACAGTTCCTTGGTCCCGCGACACTGGGATCCCGCTTGGACATGCTCGCTGCATGCCCGCATCTCCGTCCGTGACGGAGTAGCCGCCATGTCTGCCTCTCAAAGCTCCCTCTCCGATCTCGACCATAAGGGCCGCGGTCCTGGTGAAGAGAAGCCCTCCGCCGCTCCCACGATTGAAGTCCCCTCGCTCCCTCTCCCAGACTCGCGTCCCTTGTCACCCGCTGCGGCAGAGAAGATAGCGCAGATCGCAGATGCATGCACAAACGAAGACTTGCGCGCCCTCATCGACCTCGCAACTACCAAAGATGGTCTGGTGGAGGATAGCTTGCGCCGCACAGCTTGTAGACACCCTGTACCGGTTCCAGGAACCATATACTGACCGTCTCGCAGGGCCTCTTCTTCTAGGATCAAACAATAGTTCTTTGGATGATCAAGTACCATGGACCTCGCTACCACCGCATCGTGACGAAGACCAGGTCAAACTTGACGTTAACCGATCATTCGTCTACTACCCAAACAGTACGCCTGGCGCTTACAGTCTTATATCTTCTCCACTTATAGAACATTTCTACAGACGAATCCGACAAGCAGCTAGACAAGCGGAAGCGGGAGCTGTCCAATGTCATCACCGAGGTGCTTCGGCGGCACCCGATTCTGTGCTACTTCCAAGGCTATCACGACATTGTCCAGGTCATACTTCTTGTCTTGGGCGCAAAGCATAGCCCTGCGGCCGTGACTCGCCTGTCACTTCTTCGTATACGGGATTTCATGCTCCCGTCCCTTGACGCTGCAATTTCACACCTCCACCTTCTCCACCCAATTCTGGACACTGTGGACCCGGCGTTGCGGGAGCATCTCTCACATACTCAGCCCTTCTTCGCGTTGGCAGCCACTTTGACGCTCTATGCCCATGACATCCAGGAGTACGGCGACATTGCCAGACTGTTTGATTTCTTTTTGGCCAGAGAGGCTGTCATACCTGTGTACTTCTTCGCAGTGGTCAGTACCCTAAGATGGTCCTTATGAATATGCTACTAATTTGATGGCGCTTCAGGTAGTCCTTGCGCGCAAAGATGAGCTACTTGAGATCCCCCCCGACGAGCCCGAGATGCTCCACTCCATTCTTTGCAAACTACCAAAGCCCCTAGATCTCGAGTTGCTGATCTCGAATACCACATCCCTCTTTGACCGCCACCCTCCCAAGTCCCTCTCCTACCGCGCCTGGAGCCGCGTGTCCTCCTACAGCGTTCTCAAAACCACACAAATTCCTTCGTCGGTAGCAAAACAAACACTAGAGGAAGGAAATACACTCTTCAGCAAGCAAGAAGTCGAGATGCGCCGGGCCAAGGCTATACAAAAGGCGGTGAACAATGTCAAACGTCAAGCCTGGCTTTACAGGAGGCCTGCTGGTGCTTTTGGCTTGGCTGTTGCCGTTGGCCTTGTTGCATGGTGGTTAGGAAAGTCACCGATCACTGGTGCTGGCCGACTGAGCGAGTCGCTGCGGAAAATTATGGCGTTTTTCGTATGAACCACTGGAATCACAATCGGCTCCCTTTAGAAACATGAATCGGGATTTAGCAAGGTAGTAGTATCGAGTGCATTTATTTGGCGTAAGGCTATAGGATAAGGGGGAACACATGAACTACATTGGCAATTCACTAATTATGGAGTGAAGGTAGAGAAAAGCGCGTATGAAATTCCATCGACAGGAAGGTAGAGATACATTATAAGCCTTCCACCTCTCTTAGAAGAACCTGGTACCTCTCTGTCACCCTGCTATGGCGCAGAAATATTAGTCTCTGCTTGCCTTTAGTCTCCTCCTAAAGATGCTTTAGCACATTTCTGTAATCTAGATAATATAGTCCACTAGGAAGAGCGTGCTATATAGCAATGCCTAGAGATCTATTTAAATGTCTTAAGGCATCTTAAGAAGTGATAAGAAGGTGCTCTAAGACATGTTTTATTAGAAGACGCCAGTGTAAATTATTTCCTTCTTAGGTTAGCGCGGTTGCAACCTAGACCTTAAAGCCTCCTCGCTTCACCTATTCTATTGTTTCTCTTCTTACTTCAAAATCTTTACGTCCTTTCTGTCCATGTGTTGCCATAGATGAAGAGATATGAGCTTCTTCACGAGCGTGAAGTTTACAAGAACAGCCGTGCGTCGGAGAGCGCAGACAGTGAAACGCTCGACTTCCACTCTCTTGTCTAGCACCCCAACGACAAGGACCAAGCCAACATCAGCCCGCAAACAGCAACCCCGCCATGGCATAAACTTCGGCAACCCGGTGTACTCGGACTCTGCAAAGGGGAGCTGGCATTGGAAAACCTGGCTAAGAATGTCTAAATCCGCCGTCAAGCTAGGAGTCTTTCGCAAGTCGCAGATGGACAGCATGGAGCTCATCCCGAAGGATCTATGTTCCGATGTATACGACGAAGTGGTATGCTTGCTTCCTATGCTCTTTCCCCCGTCACATATGGCTAATTAGCTCTTAAAAGCATCAACTCTATGACATACTGGGTGAAATCTGTGCCGAGTATGCAAAGCCAAGTGCCATTGCTGTAGGCGAAAACTAGGAAGTATTCTTTGACATTCCAAAGATCACTCAAGAGGCCGTAGAAGCTTTCAGGACCACGTTAGAGACACCCGACATATCCACATCGTTTGAATAATTACTCACTCCTATTCCAGAGCTCAGCACAAATGAGCGCGCCCCTCAAAGCTGTTGAACAACACCCGTCCAACTCGTCCTTCCAGCTCAACAGAGTTTCCAATGACTCTTCCACTGTCTTACTGCCTACTCCTGCACAGACCCCAGCACCCAACAATAATTACATTCGAATCAAAGAAGAGCACAATGCCTACGAGTATCTAAAATACGACACAGACGTGCCGGAAGAGCGTTTAGTCACAAAACCATCTACGCTGCAGAAAACGTCCCCGAAAGGTATTGAGAAGCGTACTGCGTAAAAGACGAAGATCAAGAGGGGATTCCAGACCAGGTCAAAGAATCGCTGAGCGCATTCGGGCATCCTACAGTTTCGATTCTCGCCAACCTCACCGCAACTAAGATTTTGTAACACGGTCATTCGATAAACGCCAAATGCATGACCTATGAGTGTCAACGGCTCGGTTTTCTGGTGTGGAGGGTTTCTGCAGGACCAAAGTCGATGCCTAGAATCTGTGACGGATACGACTTTAGTGTCAAGGTCTCTTTTCACTAGCTTTCACTCGTCAGTTGTTGGCGACCCCTAAATCCTTTTCTGAACAGTTCCGTCCTCGACATCGTCGTCGCCTCAAAGAGTGAAGTCCTCAATTCTCAGATTCCCGTGATTTAAGCTGCTTATCAACTCTCTGCACCGAGAAATGTACAACGTCTCTATTTCACTTGGCTTCATCCGCTACATGGGTCCTCACTTGCCACCTCTGCCCACTAATCACGAGCCCGATATCCCTTTCACCTATTCCACTTCACTAGACACGAGGCGAGACAAGATAAGCATGGCGTTAAGACTTGCGATATGATTTCTTACCTTCACTTCCGTCACCTTTACACTCAACTACAAGTTCGGACATCGTCAAGATGGCGCGCCCAAGTAAAGGCGTGAAGGCGTCCACTCACGAAAAGCGCTCCAAGGACCTGCGCTCGACGCTCAGCAAGTCTAAGGTCGAGGCCCTCGCTCGGGCTTTGCCTAAGAAGAAGAAGATTCTGGGCGAAAGACCCCGCAATGGTGAAGCAAGCCACCAGAGTGTGGGCCGCGGCGTGGACCCAAGGGTGCCTCGAATTGGGTCTAAGCGGTCGGTTGTGGAGGACAACGTCCGAAAAATGTGGGACCACATCGTCTGGCAAAAGATCTCCGATGAGGCCTTGCGGCTGGGCACTGTGAGAGAGGACGAGATGAACGAGTATGGTTGGATTCTGACGTCAAAAGTACCGCTCTTTCACGAGGAGGTAGCCAGCGTTTCGGTTCGTTTTCTCCACAAGAGTCCATACAAATCAACTGACATAAGACAGAAGAAGCTGTTCACAATAACCGGTGGAAAACTTGCTGTAGTACCCGCTGCTATCGCAACAACGACTGGTAGCCGACAATGTACCGTCGCGTTTCGCCTATCCCATGACATCAAGAAGGCTTTGGGAGAAGACCCGAGGCTGTAAGTACTGTACTTGTCACCAACTTGACGAATGTCACTAACTATTCACCAGCCAAGGAAACCTCTTCAAGATCTCTCAGCCCTTGAGTCTCGACCCGATTCCGGCTACATCTAAGCTCCGCTTCACTCCGGCAACAAAGCACGACCCTAGCTTTGCAGATACCAAACCTGCCGCTAAGACTGAAATCGACACCAAAAGCACAAAGCCCGGAGCCCAGATCAAGGGCGAAGTCAAGGTCAAGCTTCAGGAAATCAATATGTCCGACTACGAGAATGATACCGACGTTCCAGAAGAGGAGCTGGTGAGTCCGCGCACCCAACGACGCAGCAATGGAAGCGGCAAGAAATATCGATATCGATACCCCAAAGACCTCCAAAATTTTATCGCAGAGGAAGAGACGGATGTCGAGTCGGACGGGAGCTACAGAGACGAAAATAGCGGAGACAGCGACGATAGCCTCTCTGTGGACGAATCGACGGAGGGCGAAGAAGAGGAAGAGCCGCTTTCGGACGACGAGATGGATATGTGAACCGCATCCCCGTTTCACACGACGACCTTGTGAGGCTCATTTGAGATGATACTCGTTTGAGAAAGCTGGCATTGGGAACGTGTCAATGAGACGAAAAGCTCGCGATCTTAAGGTATGGTTATCGCTTCTCGGATCACAATCTCCGCCATTCGAAGGTAAGTTTTTTCTGAGGAGGGCCGTCGTCAATGATATTTGGTTAACCGCAGAGTCTAGCAGCGCAGCATGGGTTCTTTAGAGCATCATTGGCACTGTTAATGGTCTGTCCACTGGAGGACTTTCACCTATCAACTTTGGACGATGTTGACTGCAGTTCGACATATTTGCTTCGCTATCGCAGTAGCATCGATACTCCACACCTCTGACTGATTTACATCTGAATGAGTTTTCAGCTATGTGCATATGGGCGTACGCATTGACAGGCATCTAACAAGCGCTTCCAGATATTTTTGGCTTTTTTCTTCTTACTCTGGACGGCGTTGGCTCTTTAGGGCGGGACTAAGACCTGAGGCTTATTTTTCAACCATTCGAGAAGGGATGGGCTTATCAAAAATTCTTTCTATTCAATCACCTTCATTATTCGAATGAAAATACCAAACTCTCACAAAGGGGGCCACTAATCGCACACCCCCTTTTCACTAATCGCACACCCCCTTCTCACTAATCGCACACCCCCTCCCCCCCTGTCGCTTCACCAC